ACTTCTTTTCCCATAAAACCTCGACTGTATTAAACTTTCAAACGAAAGGACAAGAAATAACTTGAAGAAAACGAACACTATGCAATACTATTCGAGCGATGAACCTGCGTAAGAGTTTTTAGGCGATGAATGCCAGAGTCAATGTTTAACTGAAACGTGATCAGATGAATTCAAAACTAAAGCTAGTATCAAACGAAGATTGGTAAAAAAAAAGTTTGAATTTTTTTCTGGGTCTTAGCGTAAGAGAAAACCCAGATAGGACACGACTTACCTCCTCTTCCTTCGTGGATCCTTTGCGGTTCGCTTCTCTTTGTTGACGACCTCTTTTCAGTCTGTTTTCAGAGGCGACTTTGTCAGTTTCCTTCTCGTGTTGCTCTTCGGTAGAAACTCACCTTTTTACTTATGCCTTTATTGTTCTCTCTCGTGTTCCTCTCGCTGTATTCGGCCTATTTTGGCGTCCTTTGTAACTTTCTTGCACGATTTTCTGGACTCGCTTTACGCCGTTTACTTGTTGCTTTCTTTGGTCGCTCTGTCTCTTTATATCCAGCCTATTTTCAATTAAAACCTTCTGTCCACGAACTTGAATTATAACAATTTCCTCCGGTTGACAAAGCTTAAACTCTGCCGGTATTGTTGTCTTACGAATTGTTTAGAAATTGCAAAATACTGAGAATTACTGTTCAACTACATCCTGACTAGTTTGATTTCCCGTTCAAAACGCGGGTGGCAAATTTCATCTACTAGCTCACGTGAAGCCCTCTTGCAATGCCTAACCGTGTGCCCGCAGTACGCTACACTGCAGCTCGACGTTCGAGTATGGCACTTTATCGGAGTTTCCCTAATGGTCGCGGCTCGCGTGTCGCGGGTTTGAAAAAAGTCGCGGGTTTTGAAAAAAGTCGCGGGCTACACAGTAACTGACATTTTTTAATTTGCCGACGAAATTCGCGAATTGGAAATATCAAACGGCGACATTCTGGTTTCTTACGACGTGTCCTCCCTCTTTACCAACGTACCCTTGGATGAAACAATTGAGATAATCGCGAACAGAGCTTTTGACAACGACTGGTTTAATTCAACCTATGACCTGAACCTGACCAAAACGGACCTTGTTGACCTTCTCAGTGTAGCTACAAAAGGACAACTCTTCCAGTATAATGGAGCACTTTACGAACAGACGGATGGCGTGGCCATGGTTCCCCCCTTGGTCCCCTGCTAGCTAATGTGTTCATGTCTTCAATTGAAGAAAACCTCGAGCGAGAGGGTAAACTCCCTTCCTTCTATCGAAGGTACGTTGATGATACACTTACTATCATGCCAAATATCGCAACAGCATCTAACTTCCTGGACACGCTTAACAAGGCACATTCTTCCGTAAAATTTACGATGGAAACCGAATGCAATGGCATGCTCCCTTTTTTGGGCATCCAGTTACTGAACCGATCGCCCCAAATAGAGACAAAGGTGTACGTAAAACCCACGAATTCAAGTCTCCTCTTACATTACCAAAGTCACGTTGACAATCGGTACAAACAGGGTTTACTCCGAACTATGCTGGGTCGAGCACATCGTTTATCTTCTTCTTGGTCACACTTCTCAGACGAATGTGACCGATTGAAGACAGTATTCTCGCGTTTAAAGTACCCCAAACACCTCATCGACTCTGCCACCAAAAATTTCGTTGACTCAAAGGTTTGTGACCAGCAGCGACCATTATTACCAACTAAAGAGACGGATGACACAATTCGAGTGGTTCTACCATTTAAAGACCAAACCTAAGCAAATTTTGTGAAAGGACAACTCAAGGATCTGAGCCTAAAAGTGAACACCAACATCCAGCCCGTATTTGTCAGCCGAAAAATTGATCAAGAACTGAATGTGAAAGAAGCAAAGCCATCGATCGTAAATGAACAGTGTGTTGTTTATAAATACCAATGTGACCTGTGCGATGCAGGTTATATAGGATACACACGCGGACATTTACACAATCGTGTAAAAGGACATAAACAACAGTCCTCAGCCATTGCCAAACATTGCAAGAACGTACACGGGACGATCCCTCAGGACCTACTGAAATGCTTCGAAGTTCTTAAGTAGTGCAGGAACAAATTTGACTGCTTATTGTACGAAATGCTTCATATAAGAACTTTAAAGCCAAACCTGAACGTGCAATCGGACTCTATTCGTGCGAAAGTATTTGTATAATCTTCGCACCTATTATGTTAATTTTTTCGCGCCACATCGCTTAAATACTGTTATTTGCATGTTTTAAACTTTTACCTTGATAATGGAGTCATGACTACTCCGAAACGTCGGATTTTATCGTTCGTTTTTACCGTTTTATCTTTTAAGAAATCTTTTTCTATAGCATGCCTATAAAAGAAAGTCAAAGCACTGGAAAAGCATTGGAAATAAAAAAAAACCTAGTTAACAACAACAACAAAATAGTAATAAAAACAAACAATACAGGAAATCAACCAACTATTATCAAAACTTTCCTGCAGGGTGATGTTGTTGCATTTTGAGCAGAGTCGAATTTTGCACTGGAAATGTCATCTTTTTTTTTTGAAACTCAAATAAATGTGACAAGTTTTGTAGACTCACATTTACCTGTATATATCTTTACCAAAACACAACAAGTTTTCTCATATTTGGCATAAAATGTTATAAATTTGTGAAAGCACTAAGCAATAATGACAACAACTTTCCCCCATGTACTGTCACAATAACTATCTTGAAGTTAAGTACGTTAGCCAAAGCAGAAATCACCATGTCAGTCACATAATTCTTCTTAAGCTTTTCCAGTGCTTCCAGCCAGGTTTTCGGCTTCACTGTGTCCTGGAAGTCGACCTCACACAAGAAATCGAACCTGTCCAGTCCACTTTCCTGCCAGATTACATTCATCATATGAGAGAAAGAATATCAATTACAAAAGGCTGCAAAAAGGCTGCCTTAGATCATGCATGTTGGTTGATCTAAGTTTCGTAAAATAATTATAAAGTTTATTTCCGCTTTCAAATGCTGCTGCTTATTGAGAAGTGATAAATAATAAAATAAATTTTCAACGCACCGTACATTGCTCTTGTTGTTGCTTTCAATTAAGGTTTTTTCACACAATTACAATTTGTTTAAGCTCGTATATATGCGTTTTTTTGTAAACATAGCAATATAATTTTCTCAACTGAAATCAAAGCTAAGTTTTGAACCGTCTAAAAAATTATCATCAAATTCGTACACCACCGCTGTCATTGTAGCCCACAAAATTTTTTAAAATTTTAGTAATTAATGCTATCATAAATGCAACCTCCTGTCTTGGCGCTCACATGGTTGCCTCGTTTGCTCGTTCGGTTCTTGTCCAGATGTGAGCGTAGAACGCGTTTGGGAACTTTTGAGAAGCCCTAAGAAGCTAGCGTTGCTCATATATATAAGTATCTTATATTTTTTGGCAGCCGAGTACAAGCTTTACGTAAGCTTACTTACATCAATTTGATGGTTCTCGAGGTGCTGGAAAACGAGCTTCTTGACTTGTTCTCTCTCCAGGCTCAGTTGGTGGGCTGCCGCCGTATAAAAACAATCGCCATCACCTCTCGGATCGAAGGAAATAAAAAAACCCTATTTCTTTAGTCGCTGACGAAGCTTAAACATTCCTTGCTGACTCTCCATTCTAGAATGCGTAATTTTACAATGCACCGTCGCACACTATCATCTGGGCTCTTGCTTTTCAGATCAAAAGGCGGGAAAACCGAAGGTGCATTCCATTTTTACAGTCTGATCAGTGGGACTAACCAAGATAAGCTATTGCAAAATTGAACATTTTCCGATGAAACCAGGCCAATCGGTCGGAATGGTCTTTGCATTCCGTTCCTCAGTGCCACGTGTGTACTAACCAGTTTATGGAAATGGAAAGGTAAATTCCGATACGATCAGGGCAACCAGTCAAACGATGCATTTTATTAACACTAATTTCAAACATTCGCTTTAATTTTATGGACCTTTCTTTGCATCATCATCAATTTAAATCATGCTTTTTTACAGCATCGTTATTTAAAGATGCCTTTATTTCGAGAAAATCTACCTCGCCGTCAGAGTCAGTTGACATATTGTCATTCAGTTGATTGAAAACATCTTTAGATTCGTAAATTTAACGGTGCTGAACGTGGCTGTTTTATTTTGTGAAATTTTAACGCACAGGCTTGAAATTCACTACGAAATAGTTCTTATAAACACACGCAAATTCGCGTTAATTAAATAAATAAACGTAAACTTAACTTTGCGAAAATTCGCTTTAACGCGTAGATTTTGTTCTTCGTTATATTCCTATAATGCAATCTTCTGAAAACCCGCGACTTTTTCAAAACCCGCGACTTTTTCAAAACCCGCGACTTTTTCAAAACCCGCGACTTTTTCAAAACCCGCGACTTTTTCAAAACCCGCGACTTTTTCAAAACCCGCGACTTTTTCAAAACCCGCGACACGCGACTTGAAACCCGCGACCCGCGACCCGCGACCATTAGGGAAACTCACTTTATCGTCATCTGACGGTGTCTCTTAGCGCACACTAATGAGGTAGCCAAGTTACGCACGCAATCGCGCCAGCGCATTACCTTCTCCCTTGCCCTTCCATTACGTAATGGCTAAGATAATGCCCGTGGTACAGTTGGCCGCGCATGCTAAAAGTAGCACCTTGTACGGTCGTACGGTCATACGGTCGTACAACCAAATTTTTTTGCCTTGATGGGTTACTACTATTTCGTATAGTTATAGGGCTACGCTCTGCGAGCTCCGCTATTAGGTTTATCGTATATAAATGTAAAATGGAGGGACAGAACCTAAATTTTACGGGAGTACAAAGCTACCGAAAGTTTCACTACTGGCATGCAATTATTCCTATCAGGGAAAATTCTTAGAAAAATTTCCAGCTGCCGGGCAATTAGAAATTTGAAAACCGTGACTAGCAGTCAAACTCACGCAGTGTTAACATCCATGGTGCTATTTCTGAGCCGAGCGAAAACCAAGCTTTAGACAAGCGATTCACGAATGTCCTCGGTAACCTTAGCAGTTCCTCTACCCATAGACATATAATAGTTTGGATTCTGTTGTTCCCTCGATTTGTTAATTTTTTTTCAGAAAATTTCCGACCTGTATAGGAGAATCTTGACTGGCTGCCGGTCATTTAGCCATAGAGTCTTGCGGAATGTAAACACTCAAAGCTCTCGCCTAAACGACGATTTAAAAGTTCTTCTGGTTTTTTTTTTTTCAGTCCACTCAGTTCTTTCTACGGCTTTTGTCATGCCGATGACTAGATCTGTAAACAGTATTCAGGCCACAATCATGCAGAATTCCGGCTTCGTCGGGCTCTATGTTCAATTTATTGTCAGAAATAAACTAATTGATGGTATATACTAAATAATTATTCCCCTCATTGACGGTGAAAGACCTGGATATTTACCTCCAGTTTGGTGGATAATTGTTAGCTATTCACTGATCTGTGTAGAGCAAGTAGTTTGCAAATTATAAACGACTAAAAAATTCTGACATTCGAAGGTGACAATAGCGTCTACGATGTTTTGCTTGTTCTCAAACCTTGGTAACCTCTCTCTTGTATTTGAAAAACTAAAGAACAAGGAGGCCTTTTCTTTTAAGCCAGTAATTCAGCGTTGAACAAACGCTACACACCTATCAAAAGTAGTGAACAGTGCTTAACTTTCTATCTAAGTATAACTCTGAATATTCTCACTTGAGGGCTTCAATTTATTACATTCAAATCTCAATCCACGCTGCAGCAACTATAATTTGCATTTCTATTTATTGTCAAATAATTTTATTTTGTTTTTCTTTCCACTGAACTTCTATTGTGATGTTCTGTTTCCATTCATTCCAGTTCGCGTTTTTGCGTGAGGTTAGTTAAGTATTAATTTACGCCGGTAGCTATTTATTTCTCACCAGTATGCTTGTTGTTTACTTTAGATAGTTCTTAGTTGATTTTAATTGAGTAAGTCGTCTCGTTAGCATTTGCCATCACCGTGTTGCTTTTGAGTTTTACTGCTGAACCTTGTTACGCTACAACTTCGTTTCTATTTCATGTAGCTTTGTCGTTATTCTTAGCTTGTTGTTGTTATATTTGAACTTAGATATTTATATTTCAAATTATCTATTTTCAGGCGAGTTACATCTCCACAATTTTACATCTAAATATTCGTCTGTCTGGCAAAAAGATTAAATGTGCATTTATTTTGTGGCGTCAAACTTGTAGTATTTATCAACAACATTAGATTACGAAATTTAAGTGTTCCAATTTGTTTTCCGAGTGTGATTATTTGGTCTGCTAAACAAGGTTCATTGACGATACTTTCTCGATTTTCCTCCGCGCACATTAGCTCAGTCTCTTCGACGTGAAAAAGGGATCGCAGTCAGGCCGGATTCTGGCTCTGTTAGATCTAAGACAGTCCCATTAAAACATTCTTTTTGAAGCTAATTGATTGCATGCTGGATTAAATAAAGGTGAGTGATGTAAACGTGAGAAAGGATTGTCCAGACATGCGACTTTTAGACTCGTTTCCTAGAAATTGAACCGCAAACTATTCTCTTTCTTTGCACGCAGTGATGGCCTCTCGGAGTCCTCTCGGTGTTTGAATACTATTCCCAACCTGCGAATAAAATCTTGAAGAAAATCATCTTGATCCTGTTCGTTGTTGAGTTGATCTCCGCTCAGACTGGTTGTCTAACGAGAGTCCCTTCCTGTGTGACTTGAATCAAATGTTTGAGTTCCCGGTAATCGGATCTTTGTGTCATGCGCAAGCAAATATTATGGGGATCGGTGGGTGGCAAAGGAAATATGTAAGTGGCGAAGGGTTTTTTTTGACCACCGAAAAAGCCAGACATGTAAACAATTTTTTCGATGTTGTTGGAATTTTGCGATGTTGATAGGAGGGAAGTGTTCGCTTTTGTCTCTCCTTGCTTAAGCTAAGTTTATTGCGAAATCAATATTATAAAAATTAGCAAAGGAAACAAAATCTTTCATATTTGTCATGCTGAAACCCCGACTATAAATGACGATTTACCCCTCGAAGAACACAAGAAAACAAAACCAATATAAAACCAAAAACTAACACAAACATTTTACTGAAACACGCTCTGAAAAGTGTCTAATGTCATTTTAAACTTTCTAAGTCTAGAAACTATTCTGTAACTCAAGACAAACAAGGGGCTAAAGCCTTTTAAACTTTAAAAACGAAAAACAACAAAAAGGAAGCAAACATCATCGTCTGCAGTACACCGGACTTGATTCCAGCGGCTGCATCGAAATATTTCAATGCATCACCGCTCTTATCCTGCACGCCAGAGCACTGATCATTTCCGGTCGCCCCAGGGTCCCGATTGTTTGCACAGAAAGGATTGTAGTCACCATAACTCAAGTCCAACACTTCCTTAATGTAGGAGGGGAAGTTGCAGTCAGAATCGATCAGGTTCTTTAAACACCTCTTCGCTTTAGCACTTTCTCTGGAAGATACAAAATTCATAACGTTCATTAAAAAAATAAATGAATAAAAAATAACAATAAATAAATTAGAAAAATGAATGTCCTCTAAAGAATATAGTAGTGCAATACTATCTGGTGCGCTGGCCTCTTAATAGAGCGGAAAGTATTCACTGGGTCCCGTCAGATTAATTGTGTGGTGTCCCTGAGTATGTTGAGGGAGACGCTATTTCCATAGCCACCAGAGAAATAAATATGTGATTAGCATTTATAAATGCAGGTTCAAGGGCGTAGTAGGGAGGGGGAGAGGGAAAGGGGGGGAGGGTGGTCGTGGGGTGCCCATAACCCTCTCCAAACCTCTGTGATCCTTTTGTTTCATTTTAAAGCAACCTGATTACTGCATGCATAGTAAAGCTGTAAGAACGAGTGTCGCGCTCCTTTAGTCCGCACACCTTTCTTCCCCTCCCCCCCCCCCACCTATATAAAGTGTATAAAATGTAAAAAAATGTATATTGTAAAAATGTATATACGTTAAACTTACGAGCAAAGAGCGGGATCTGATTTGTCCTTGGCAAACTTTTGGTGAAAAGATCGAAGGCAAGTGTCTGCATCATTGCTGAATGATGCTGGACAAATCGATCCGTCGGTTGGCGGCATGGTGGGAATTTCCATAGAACCATCCAGACAATGCTGTTCTTCCGTCACGGCCTGGTCAATGATTTCTCTGACCTGACTTTTTTCCAGTGAATCTTCAACGCAGACCTTCATCACGTAGATAATACAATTCTTCAGTTTGCTAAGTTCCACACTGTAATGCGAACAAGATAAAAACCTGGTCAAACAGTCGAACCAAATTGAGATGCTTTGATATATTTTATGTGGGGCTGAAGACTGGCTTTTATTTTAAAAAAGAAAAGAAAAACAGCTGAAGATAAGAGAAAAACTAACAAAAGGCAACAACCAACTAAAAGACATCAGGATGGCGAAGGATGGAGAAGAGACTAGTAAAGAGAATTGACAGTTAGAAACTACAAAAAAACGAATGCGAAACGAATGGCTATGGAGTTCGGTAAATGTAAGACATCAATAACAAATGAGGAAAATTTCACTCGTAGCCCAACAGATACTTAACAAACAGCTGTTTGGCAGTTGGCAGACTTATGTCCTTAAGAACGTTCACTCTTCAAATGAACTTACCCACAATTTGCCTTTGGGTCCTTCTGCAACGATTTATAAAAAGCAGTATTGCATTTACGAACACTCCATGAAAGTACAAGAGCCCACGTTAGAAAGGGCGGCATTGCTTCCGACAAGAAAAACTGTATAAAAGCAAAAAAAAAAAAAGAAAAGTCAAATTAAAATTATTTGATTGAAATACATTAATTGTACATGTTGACTACCTCTTAGCCAGAATGATGTCAAAGAGTACGTGGCGAGGTCAATACAGCTATGCCGAGATCTGTGGTTTTCTCACGACAGCTGAACAGTCGGACCTTATCACTGAATACGTTGTTTATAGCTTTACCAATTTGGCCAGATGTTTTCTGTTTACATAGTCTCAACTAAACACGAGGAGGAAGGGAGAAGGGACTGGGAGAATTTGAGAAAGTCATGCAAGCCATCCGTAGCTTCTCGCGTTTGTATGACTTTCTCACATTCTCCCAGTGCAACCTGTTCTTCATGACAGGGCTTCCATGTACAACTCGCCGCTTTGCTGCTCATGATATTTTGGTGAATTTCAAATGTCACTCGCCATGTTTTTACTGAAATCCCTAGAAACCATGCTATTTCCTAAAAAAATACGACTTGACACCCAAACGTTTAACTGCAACCAAAGGTCACCGTGAAATACAAAATTACAAGCGAGACTTTTATATCCAACATAGGCTTAGTTCGCACTAGAGTTTCTTTTTTTTTTAGCCAGCACAAGAGGCGCAACCGTCAATCAAAACAGCGAGACGAGTTTATGATTGACGTACGAATCAATCAGTTCGTTTTTGTTCAAAGAACACTAGTTTGATGCAACCGCAACCAAAATTTGGAAAATGCGAAAAATGTTCCCAATTGTTGACTCGCGAAAGCAATGCGCTCTAGTGCGACTCAGCTCATAATCTAGCCTATACTGAACAACCAATTATCGCGAGCTTGTGTAGCGTTTATGCTCCCTAAAGAGACGCCTGCATTGCGAAGAGCTATCATCAGTGCACTTCGCGGAAAGAAATGACGCTCGAGGATTCTTGGAAAAAAGAAGATACTCTACGCTTTCCAAAGCTACTAATACTTCAGTTTATTTCACCAACAATTTAAAGCTCCAAGATAGTGACATTCTTGAAATAAGATCGAGCAAAATGATTCTCCAAACATGCGATTTTAGAGATTCGTTCCTTCAACATCGCTTACCAAAGACAAAGGAGAAGAATTATTCCGATTTGCAAAATCTCAATTGCTTTAAGAAGGGTCTGAGAAAGTTTATCAACAACAAAGAAAAATATTGAAATCCTGGTGGATCGACAACAGGAACTTTGCCAATATTGTGAGTGAAATAGGCAACGAGCGAGTTAGGTAAATATACAACCTTTACGCTTCAGGGCGATGGACATTAAACATAATCTGCTCAAGAATACTAAAAACTCGACAGAAAAACTAGAAACGAAGCCATCCAAACTAATGAAATCATCGGAAAGACTGTATAGAAGTCAACATCATTACTAAAACGGATGAAACAAATATCACAATGAAAATTCGAATGCAAACTATGGGTCTTTGCACAGTGATAGCCTCGCAGTGTTTGAATTATATGCTAGACCTGCGAAGGCTTTGCAGCTAAAAACGCAACATGACAATGATGCTTTTGAAAGTTGTTTCGAAAGGTATTTTAACTTACCAAAGACAAATAAAATGTTGAAGACCATCTTAATCCTGTTCCTTGAAGAATTGATCTGCGCTCAGACTTCTGTCTATTATCAGTCCCACCCTGTTTACGCGTCGGGTTGAGTCAAATGTTTGAGTTGCTAATAAACGGATCCTTGTGTTGTGCGCAAAGGTTTCTGGGATCGCGGGGTTGCAAACACTGCTAGTTGCAGGTAGGAAATATATGGTGAAGGGTTCTTTTGAGGTCCGACGAAACAATTTTGTCGAGAGGTCGATAACTTTTCGCCGCAGTTTTATCAGAGATGACTTTTGACAATGATGAAACGAGTGAATAGTAAGATTCTGTCTGATTAACCGTGGAATATGTTACAAAATATACCGATAAACTTTTTTCCTTGAGTAAGGTTTACTGTGAAATCGTCATTGCATTTAGACCTCAAATATAAATTATCAACTACACATATATATATATGTTTGCATGCGAGAACCCCATCAGTATAACTGATGATTTATTCCTTGAAAAACGAAAGAAAACGGCAACACAAAATAATCGAAAACTGACTGTATCACGCCTTTGACAAATGTCAATGCCATTTTAAAATTTCTAGGTCGAGAAACCCTTCTGTAAATCAAAGCAAACAAGGTGATTAGGCCTTCTAAATTAAAAACAACAACAACAACGACAACAACGACAAAAACAAAAGAAGAAGCGAACATCAGCAACTGCGGTGCGCCGAGCTTAATTCTAGCGGCTGCGCTATAATATTTCAGTCCATCGACGCTCTTATGACCAACATGACTTTGAATGAAATAATTTTTTTTTAATTTTTTTCTTTTTTGGAAACCAACCATGAAATCGGCTATAAAATATACCGATAAACTTGTCTCCTTGCGTAAGCTAAGTTTTATTGTGAAATCGTTATCAATTAGTGATCTCGAAATATTACGAGAAAATATTACAAAATATTCACGAAGAATTTCAATAGTCCTCAAATAAGCTGACTACAACCGTAGTAAACCTGAAAAATAAGTTTCCCTCTCGTATTTAGAAGGATCCGCAATCGTGCAGAAAAAATGAGGAAAAAATGTGAAAATATTAGTAAGAGCATATTACCTGGTTCCATCTTCTCTGTCTGGATCCAATTGCATCCAACTGATCCTTAAGCTTGTTCGTTGTTTTTCTTTCTATTCAACTACTATTGTGATGCTCTGTTTCAACCATTCCATTCAGTTCGCGTTTCTGCGTGAGGATATGTAAAAAGCAAGTTACTCTGGTAGTGATTTATTTCTCGCCAGTATGCTTGTTGTTTTATCTAGATAATTCTCATTGCTAATTGATTTCAACTAAGTAAGTCGTTTCGTTAATTGTTGCTTGCTTCGTTTTGCTTTTGAGTTTTACTGCTGGACCTTGTTATGCCACAAGTTTGTTTCTATTTCATGTACTGCTTTGTCGTTATTCTTGTTATTGTTATATTTGCACTTAGATACTTAAATTTCAAATTACCGTTCTAAGTCTAGTCACATCTACACATCTTTACATCTAAATATTCGTCTATCTGGCAAATAGATCAAATGTGCATTCATTTGTGGCATTAAACGTGTAGTATTTATCTACACACAACAACATAAGATCACGCTTTAGGATTCCCAGAAAAATACTCTATGCTTTCCAGAGGTACCTTTACTTCAGTTAATTTTACCAACAGCTCTTAGATCCAAGACAGTGACATTAAAACACTCTTCTTCGAAGCTAATAAATTGCATGCTGGATTAAATAAAGACCCAAGACCGTGCCATTACGCTTTAATGTCACGCTTCAAGATTCTCAGAAAAAAATACACTATGCTTTCCAGAGGTACCTTTTCTTCAGTTAATTTTACCAACAGTTCTTAGATCCAAGACAGTGACATTAAAACACGCTTCTTCGAAGCTAATACATTGCATGCTGGATTAAATAAAGACCCAAGACAGTGCCATTACGCTTTAATATCACGCTTCAGGATTCTACCTTTACTTCAGTTAATTTTACCAACAGTTTCTTATATTCAAGACAATGCCATTAAAACACTCTTCTTCGAAGCTAATAAATTGTTAGCTGGATTAAATAAAAGTGAGTGAGGTAAAACGTGAGAAATGGTTTTCCAGACATTCACTCGTTTCTTAGAAATCACTGACCGAAAAGGAGGGGATAAATGTTACTCTAATTCGCGTCTCTTGAGTGTTTTGAGAAAGATCTGAAGACATATGCTACCAAGAAAGTGAAATTTAAATGCCGGTGGATCAACAAATGCGACTCAGCCAACTTTATGGTCGAAATACGCAACTGAACGACTGAGTTAGGTAAACATGCAACCTCGACGTTCAAGGAGGACGAACATTATACACATTTTGCTTATTTACAGGGAGACTATCACCAAAAATTACTTTATATCTTTCTTAGAATTGTTTTTGCAATCATCAAGAAAAGAGCTACGCGAACATCGCGGAAAGACATGACGCTTTTGGGATTCGTGGAAAAAATACTCTATGCCTTTAAAAGTTACCTTTACTTCGGTTAATTTAACCTATAATGGTAAATCTAAGACAGTGGTATCAAAAAAATCTTTGTGAAGATAATAAATTGCGTGCTGAATTAAAATAAACGGCTAAATTAAATGAAAAACGTGCGACGCCATTGTCCAGACATGCGACTTCATGACCCGTTTCCTAGAAATCACTCACCGAAAAGAAAGGGGAAATTATTACTCCGATTTGCGATCTCTCGAGTGCTTTAGGAAAGGTCTGAGGAACTATGTTAATCTAAAAAATAATTTGTGAACGAAATACGCAACTGAGCGAGTTTGGTAAACATGAAACCTCGATGCACCGTGGCGACAAACAATGTACATAATCTGCTAAAGAAATCTAGACACTCGATGGAAAAACTAGAAGCAAAGCCATGGAAAGCATCGAAATCATCTTAAAGACTAGAGAGAAGTCGTTTCGTTAGTTTTTGGTAGCGCCGTGTTGCTTTTTAGTTTTACTGAAGGACCTTGGTACGTTACAAGTTCGTTTCTATTTCATTTAGCTTTGTCGTTACTCTTGTTGTTGTTATATATGAACTTAGATATTTATATTTCAAATTACCTACTTTCAGTCGAATCACATCTACACATCTTTACATCTAAATATTCGTCTATCTGGCAAATAGATGATGTGTATTCATCTTGTGGCGTTAAACGTGTATATTTATCTAAATGCAACATCATTAGATCACGAAATTCAAGTGTTGCAAGTTATTTTCTGAGTGTGATTATTTGGTCTGCGTGACAGGGTTCATTGACGATACCGTCTCGATTTTCCTCCGACACATTGGCTCGGTTTTTCTCAATGTCTTCGACGCGTAAAAGGGACGCAGTCTGGCCGGATTCCGGCTCTTTTAGGCCCCAGATAAGGAGTTAAATTTCCCACCGCCACTTTTCGGTCCATCGACAGAAATAAAAGAAGTTTGGTTTCTGTTTCGTATGTACTAAATAATTATTTACCTCAGTGTTGGTGAAAGTAGTGGATATTTACCTCCACTAAGGCGAAAAATTGTTAAATACTCACCTGTCTGTGCAGAGCAAGTAGTTCATTGACCATACTGTCTCGATTTTCCTCCACGTTTATTGGCTCGGTTTTTTTCAATCTCTTCGACGCGAAAAAGGGACCCTCTAAGTGTTATTGCCACTTTAGAGTAAGGTTTTTATAGAGAAGCCACAGTTGGTTCGTTGTTTAGTGTGATTTTAGCCCTTTCGAAGTGAGCACTGAATACACGATGATCTTTTGTTGAACGAAAATTCCTCCCTCACTTGAAATAATATGAAGCCACAACTTTCGTAGAATCGTATTTCCTGGGAAGCTATTGTAAGGAAACTGCTCTTTATGTTTCTTTTAATTGTTTTTGAAGTCATCATACAAAGAGCTATTGCGCACTTCGCGGAAAGAGATGACGCTTTATAATTCTTAGAAAAAAATACTCTACGCTTTCCAGAGGTACCTTTATTTCACGTAATTTTACCAACAGTTCATAGATCCAAGAGAGTGCCATTAAAACACTCTTTTTCGTAGGTAATAAATTGCATGCTGGATTAGATAAAGATGAGTGAGGTAAAACGTGAGAAATGATGTCCCAGACAGAAATAGAATTTCAAGCCTTCATATGGTCTGATTTCCCCCTTTTAATATTTGCGTAGTCACCAAACAGATAAGAGATAAAACCACCAGAAAAGTAAACAAATGGCCAGTCACGAAAGCAACGCTTCGCTTTTCCCAATAAAAATTCGTCGGTTTCTAATGTAAGCCAAAAACAATATGAGGCACATATGCGAAAATCAGTGTGTGTACACCCCCGAAAGTTGAAAATGTATCGAACAAGAACAGTTTTGGTCTCGGTCCGCATTTTTGTCAGCAAAATGAACACATATCGGTTAAAAAGATGAAACATATGGACCACATGGAAAGCTGTCAACTCTTTCTCGAATATTGCGCGTCTTAAATGTTCAATAGTGACATATCATTTACATCACAACTACATTTATTAAGTTGGTAAATTCTCTACAGACATCACACCAACAACTCGCGTGCAAAGTGAGAAGACTATATGAAAGCTTTAAATTATGAACGATTGTAATCAAGAAACGGGCAAGGAATATTCCACAACAGTGCAAATAATCGTGAAAGATGATCGTGGAAAAGCGATTGCGTGACGCTCGGTAGGTTGTAAGATGACATGTTATCACGTATCAGACGAAAAAACAGTATAAATTCTCAGTCTGTATTTTGTACCAAGTCTATCTTGGCCGCTCTTCCGTGTTGAAATGAACCCACTACGGGTTAAGTTGCATTTTCGGCAGTTCGGAAACATGATTTGAGGTTATTATTTTTTATTAAACGATACAAACATTTTACTTGTTTAAATTATACTCCCAACCTGCGAATGCTTTGCACCCAAAACACAACACAGCAATAATACACTGAGAATTGATTCTAAATGCGAATTAACTTGCCAAAGGCAATAAAATGTTGAAGGAAATCATCTTGATCCTGTTCGGACATGCTTTGAAGCTACTCTAGCTTTCAGATTTAATGAATGTAACCGAGAAGTTACAATTCATAGACCCAACGTTTCGACACTCCTGTCTAGTGCCTTCATTAGAGGTGATCTAAACGCCGCAACAAGAGGTCCTTTTATACGCTCACGAACTATGGGAATCGCTGTGTGGCAAAGGAAATATGTGGCGAAGGGTTTTTGGAAGTCCGAAAAACGAGACGGGTAAACGACTTTTCCGCTACAGTTTTATCAGAAATTGTTTTTTTTTTGTTTTTTTTGTTTTTTTTTTGCGATTTTGATGCGAGGGAAGTGTACGCTTTTGGCTCCCTTTTCTATAGCTAAGTTTATTGTGACATCAACATTATGAAAATTAGCTAAGCAAACATTATCTGTGATATTTGTCATGCTAGAACCTCGACTATAAAGGACGATGTATTCCTCGACGAACGAAAGAAAACAAACCAATATAAAAACAAACAAACAAACAAACAAACAAAAAAAACGGAAACGAGTTACCGAAACACGCCTCTTACAAGTGTCAAATTTCATCTTAAAATTTTTAAGTCTAGAAACTATTCTGTAACTCAAGACAAACAAGGGGCTAAAGCCTTTTAAACTTTAAAAAAGAAAAAAAACAAAAAGGAAGCAAACACCAGCGTCTGCAGCACACTGGACTTGATTCCAGCGGCTGCATTGAAATATTTCAATGCATCACCGCTCTTATCCCGCACGCCATAGCACTGATCATTTCCGGTCGCCCCAGGGTCCCGATTGTTTGCGCAAAAAGGATTGTAGTCACCGTAACCCAATTCCAACACTTCCTTGGCCAGGGCGGGGAAGTTGCAGTCAGAATCGACCAGGTTCTTTAAACACCTCTTTGATGTAGCATATTGCCTGGAAAAAAAAAAATTAACAACGTTCATTAAAAAAAAAAAAAAATTTAAAAAAAACTTATTATAGAAAAAAAAAAAAAATTAAAGTCCTCTAAAGAGTACATTGTTGCATACTAATTGGAGAGAGAAAAGCGTTCACTAGGCCCCGTCCTAGTAATCGCGTTGTGTTCTTGAGCATACTAAGGGAGACACTATTAATTAAATCACCAGCGGGTTAAATATGTGATTAGCATTTATAAATACCAGGAGCCATCATAAAGGGCTCCTGGTATTTATCCAGGTCAAAGGGCGTAGTTGGGAGGGAAAAGGGGTGGGGGTCTTAGAGTGCCCATAACCCTCCACACGCCTTTTTTAGCCTACTTTAAATATATTTCTGGGATGGTGCGATCATAGTGTATCTCAAAACCTTAATAAAGCTGCAAGAACGAGTATCGAGCTCCTTTAGTCCACACCCCTCCCTTCCCTTCTCCCCCCGCCCTTTAATTAAAGACTGTGGACGCATATTAGTTAAACTTACGAGCAAAGAGCGGGATCTGATTTGTCCTTGGCAAACATTTGGTGAAAAGATCGAACGCAAGTTTCTGCATTACTGCTAAATGATGCTGAACAAATCGATCCGCTTGGCGGCATAGTTGGAATTTCCATAGAACCATCCAGACACTGCTGTTCTTCCGTTACGGTCTTATCAATGATATCTCTGATCTGGCTTTCGGTCATTAAATCTCCAGCACAGTTCTTCATCACTTCGGCAATACAATTCTTCAGTTTGCTAAGCTCCACACTGTAAAACGAACAAGATATAAACCACTGTGGTCAGACAGCCGAACCAATATTAAAAATGGAAACCATTTTGCATTTCTTTCATAAAATAACTAATGAAAGAGGAACGAAAACCGTTTTACATACGCTCATGTAAAATGGTTTTATGGCCAATCAGAGCGCGCGTACTATTTGAATTATTTTATAAAGATAGATATTAAATGAATGAAAGTTCCATCAATTAATTCACTTGTAACCAAATACTTCACGTCTTAACTTTCTAGGTACTTTTTCGGAGGATTGAAATTAATTATAGACGGTTTTTAGGTTGCTTGTCAACCAATTTAATGACACTTTTGCGAATACAAATTATTTCGAAACCGGTAGTATTTTTCTGTCAACCAAAGTGATTCGAGCGTGAGAAAAGAGAAGATTAATATATTCTTTATTGACTTGAGGTAGTCACCGACGTCTTTATTTAAAAATACTGCCCGGCCGGAAAAACGAGATTTATTTGTGAAAAATGGCAACAAAGCTAGGGATGTTCTCGGCGACTCACGTAAGCGTTATCGTGCCCGTGGGCAGAGATAGGAAAATACGGACCGAGCTAAAAGCCAATCAGATTGCAGGAATCGTTACCGTGCCCTCTTAGAAAAAATATTGGTTTTTATTTGAAAAAAAGAAAAGAAAATTAGGTGGAGATAAACTGAAAAACTAACGGCAATCACCAACTAAAAGAAATCAGGATGGCGAAGGAAAGACAGGAGTAAAGACAATTAGAAACTACAGAAACAAATCCGACCTGGCAATGAAGCTCTGTAAATGAGAAACAGCAGCAACAAATATGTGGAAAATCAGCTGTTCGGTATTTGGTATACATATGCCCTTAAGAACGTTCACTCTTAAATGTTCTTACCCACAGTTTGCCTTTGAGTCCTTCTGCAAAGCTTTGTAAAAAGCAGTACTGCATTTACGAGCACTACAGAAGTACTCCATGAAAGTACAAGAGCCCACGTTAGGAAGAGCGGCATCGTTTCCAACGACAAAAACTGTAAAAAAGCAAATCAGAAAAGTAAAATCAAAAAACAAAATGCAAATTAAAATTTTCAATTGAAATACAGTAATTGTTGACTACTAATTAACCAGAGTGATGTCAACGAGTACGGAGGAAGGTTAATACAGCTATGCCGAGATCTGAGACTTAAACCCTAACCCTCAATAGCTTGCAGGTAAATGAACGCAACAGATTACTTCTTGCGGCTGTCTTTTTGCGAACTCGAAATCGTCGCTGCCACGACCACGACGAGCGCCATGTGTATGGTCGCTTACAAGTCTGAACGGATCGTGGTTTAAGACACATTATGATTGCACCATTCCAGAGATTTTTTTTCCGGCAGCGGCTTAGAATTAATAGAGCTACCATCAATATTGGAAAGTCAGCCGTCATAGAAGCTGCGCAAGATGCAGTAGGCTCTCCTTATGAACTTTGGGATGACCGCATTTATTTCCTGAGAACCTTGTAGATATAACCACATCAATTCAATCATTTGAAGGACTGTCTTCGCTACCTAACATTGTAGGCGCAATTGACGGCTTCCATGTCAGGATCAAAGCGCCACCAGGCAGTGCAGCTGACTTCTTCAGTCGGTACCAACAGCACGATTTCATGATACAAGCTGTTGTCAAAGGAAACAAAATTTTCCCGGATTTCGCTTGTGGATCTCCTGGAAGTATGCGCAATGTTTGGGTATTGCGAGGAAGTGCGATTTTCAGAAGAGTAAAGCAAGGGGAAATTCTCACCGCACCTTCGAATTCGGTAAAAATGGCAGGTAGAGAAATCACCCCTTACCTTGTTGGGGACAATGCGTACCCTCTGAGTCCTTGGCTGATGAAACCTTACCCGAAATGGAACTAGAGATCTAGACGAAATTGTTTTCAACATGGAATTCTCTTCTGCTAGAGTACAAGAGGAATGTGCATTTAGCATGATGAAAAATCGATGGGGGATTCTACAAAAACGCTTTGATAGCAAAATTAAATTCACCATTAAAGCTGCCATAACCTGTGCGGCACTGCACAGTATTTTCTGCGAAATAACGATGCATGGGACGAACATGATGATGAAGATGATGACGACCACGGCCTACCTGGAAATAAACCGCCAAATGCACTTCGTTTCAGGCTAAACAGTCTTCTGTCTATTAATTTGAATTTTATTTTGATAGGTTATCATTACCAGTACCTTAGAGACAAACTCACTTTCGCATATAACAAAACTGACTGTAATTATCAAGAAAATTTTTCAACGTTGAGAATAAAAAAAATACGTATAATCGCATTAATGATAAATGTTTCATTATTATTCTTGTTAAATTTTGACTAACGTTTATCAAATTTAATGTTCGATGTCACCTAGAGGTCCACAATGATTTTCAGTTGTATCGTTTTGCAAATATTGGGTCAGTACTGTTATTAACACGTTCATGGTGTACGCTTGCTGCTCTTGTACTCGAGTAAAGTTGGCCATAAATGAGCAGATTTTTTTTCGCTGTTTCTCCATTTCCGAGAAAGCAACTTTAAACTTCTGCTTTTCCTCGTCTTCTTTTTCCTCTTTCCGAGCTCTCGTCCTACCCAGTTTCCTTTTGTGTTCTCTTCTCTTTCTTTCTCTTTTCTTCTGCTACTATCTATTCTTTGTTTCTGACCTTCTTTCATCAACAGAAGTACCACCAGACTGCTTGAATGTGACGGAGTGTCACGCCATCTCCAGCCTTTTTCCTTGCTGATCCGTTATAATAGCTGAAACAGCATCTGGAGAGTCACCAGAGCTGCTTGTGGATGTGCAAGGAGACTCTAGAGACTGGCTGGAAGCACTTGCACTAGCTCGATGGCTTCTACAGCTGGAAGGCGAGTGACTCTCGCGTTCTTTGTTCGGCGCTCACAACAGGCTAAAATGAGGGTGTATGTGGTGAAGGAAGGAATACTAGTCACTCCTTTACATTTGATCGCCGTAGTAAAGAAAGGTAAAATCTCGCCTTTCCTTGCTGTAGCTTCGATCTGCACGCAATGAAAACTTCAGTATAAATGATGAGATTTCGCGCTCTCTTTCGTGACCTTGCCTTCTATATTGGGGGACAATGTTTTCAACCGTTGACAGATTTGGCTTTGTTTTTTCGAGATTGGGAAAATTGGTGAGACCGGCGTCTCTGATGTTTTAGAAGATTCGCTAACAAGAGGTCGCATTAGAATAGAAGTGTGCTGAGTGATTTTAGTCCCGAGAGTGGACAATTTTCTGCAAAATCATGACGAGCTTTGCTCAGGAAAAAATTCTTCACCAGGGAAGCGTAAAATGATCCATAGGCTTGTTAAAGAAAAGCGAGAGCACTTAATTAGTAAATGCAATAAAGGTGTTTGGCTTCGAACGTGAATTAATTTAAGTTGACAATTAAAATGTAACAAGCGCGTGGATCTCCGTGGCTTGCTACGTAAATTTAGGACTCACAATTTTCTCTCTGGAAATAATTACGCAATCATAGCATGAACGAAAATTTTCACCATTGCAGAATGATTCATCGACAGGCACGGCACAGCTAAACCCAAACGTGTCATGACATTTGGGAATTGCCTGTTTAAACTGCGTGACTTGAAAATCAAGCAACAGTTGTTGTGCTCGGCGATTATTATTAAGAGCGATTATCTGTTCTGCCACGACAATGCCAAAAATAAATTGTGTTAGCTAACAACCATTCCACTCTGATCAGAACTTTGACTCCGAGTCAGCAGGGAGGCCGGTGAACCGCTCGGCAAGGACCTTGTTTTCGAGACAGATTTCGACTGCATTAGATTCTAGAGATGCAGGAGTATCATTTAACACTTGAACCGATTGGGTAGATTTCTTGATAACACATTTCTGGCGTCTATACTAAGGAGCTCTTTAAGTATGAAATATCAATTCCAATAATTATGTCCCAAACATCAGGTAAGCGCGGGATCTTAATTTTGCGAAATTTCTGTGCGAAAGTACGAGTGTATTCGGCGGTATCTGCGAAAAGGGGCTATAGTTCTTTCCTCAAGGTAAGGTCTTAACTGTGTATTACTTGGCGAGAAAGAAACTCTACTCGCTGTTCTGACTAATTTGACGATAAGTTAAAGTTGTGTGCCTGGTGATTTCTGTCTAGAGCTATGTGATGACGCGCGATAAATCGCACCGCTTAATAACGTGAGCAGGAAATGATGCCTAAACCGTTATATCAGCAAAGCAAGGTTTCCCTTTGCTTCTGTGCCTTCAAAGCAAGAAAAGGACTTATTTCTCTGGTAGTTAGATGGTATATGCTTAAAATTACAAGGTGTATTATCCAACTGTTGGACCAAACATGAGCAAGAATAACTGATTACAGTGTGAATCTTGACATCACACCTTAAATATTCCTTCCCTGTAAGATGACGGGCTCTTGGCAGGTTAGTGTATTTTCAAACTTATTTTATTGTACTGTTTCGCAGTTTCAAAAGCAGAATCCTAAACATGCTCTCGTTATTTTGTTAATTCTTTCCAGGAGCCATTAGTAATGGGCTCCTGTTCTTACCCATTCTCCTGGGTAATTAATCCTTAATTACCTGTCTCATCTCAGTGAGGGAAGAACCAGTCTTTTTCACCTGGTTACTTCTCTTGGGTAGTCAGTCCTATTTGGGTTGTTGTTGTCTGAAGGCAGAACCTATAATTTTTTTTTCTCAGAGAGTTGCTTCATTTTAGACTGCGCATTTTTATCTTGTAATAAACGAATGAATCTCGACAAGGTTAAATTTACTTGTCTTGATTTAACATATCTTTTCCTTTGCAGATTTAATTTTTCGTTAACCTTGAAAAATCTTGATGAAAAACCCATGTTAGTTTTCACTAGAAAAATTAATTCTCCTGTAGAGATGACCAACCATTTCGAACTGAATCAACACCATATAGTAAGTGCACTTTTCGTTGACTAACTGTCTGGTAATTTTTCGGTCGATATTGGTTTTGTCTTGGTGGTGTCTGCCCTCAATTCTCGTGAATGTTTCATTTAAAAGCAAAAATGAATTTAAGAATAAAATTACAACGATAAAATACCTCTTCTCGTAACGTATTCCATTGCATTTACATTTCCAACTCCACTCTCAACAGTGATAACTTCCCTTGCTTAAAATCAACTTGAGATACGAGATTTAATGTCGGTCATGGATTGTAAAAGAGGTTTGGTACTTTTTTTACTTGTCTATGTTTATTTTCTCGCAGTCTAATGCGTTTAATTAGCAGTGTTCACAGCGGGGCGCCAGGAAACTCTAACAAAAAAAAAAAAAAAAAAAAAAACTACTGAGATTTTACTCCTGTATTGATCGCTTTAAAGTATATTTCTTCCTTAGTATTCAGCCAATTATGTGCTGCAGGCGATGGGTACAAAAATCTTCGTCATATATTTATTTACAGGCCAATATTATTAGAAGAAAACAAAACAAAACAAAACTAAACTAAACTCGAGTTCTGCTGCGCTTTGCGATCCATGAGTGTTCCCATCGCGGTTAGAGCTTGCTGTTGTTTGTGGTGTTATCTTCCGGAGTGGACCTCATCACATTTTTGTTAGCGTTTGAAAATCGAAAAAAAATGGATTTAGAGCAAAACTTTACCCTTCTCAATTTTCAACCACTTTCGAGTTGTGTATATCAATAGAATGGATCAGCAAATTTGCTTTGTACGTTTCGCGAGGGGCTAGAGAAAATGTTTGACTCGACGCAAGTGAAGCCGACGCTTCAGGTCGGCGTCGATCCTTTATTATTCTTTGTAAAAAAAATTCCTATGATTGAGTCAATCTGTGAAATTCATTTGGGGTACATTGTGCGCTTTGAAGTACACATGAGTTGTTAGTTCCACGCGAGGGTTTAACCTTGAAAATGCATGCACGCAAGTGACGCTGACATTAGCGCGTGTCCTTATCTAGAAAACATTCGTATTATGACAAGAGAGGTCAGATTATGGGTCTTAGGTTACGCTCGCCATGCAATTTGGACGCTGGAAAGTGCCAAAAAGATAATTCATCGGCAACGCCTCGATCGTACTGTAGGCACGAACTCAGTTCTTCTCTTACAGTTATCAGTTGCTAGGCGGATCCCAGAATAACCTATTTTGCATAAAAAAATTATTTTAGAAATCACGCTATTTCCTAAACAAATACGACTTGACACCCAAACGTCAAACTGCAAACAAAGGTCACGGTGAAATACAAAATTACAAGTGACACATATATATCCAAGATAGGCCGAGGTCGCAAGTGAGCTTTTTTTTTTTTAGCCAGCAATAGAGGCGCAAGCGTCGCACTAAAAAAAGAAAGAAAAAAAAATTGCCAAGTTTTGACTCGTGAGTAATTTGATAATATCTTTATTCGCTCTAACGCGGACGGTTCCACTGTTTAGTTAATTCTATCTCATGAATTCTAATTGTTTACTGTGTGGATCAAGTCTTCATAGGTCACGCGATGTTAAGGTCACGTTCGATGCAAACCTTCTGTTCTTTGGTTTCATAAAAAGCGAACAACGGTGGATTTGTTGTCAGTTGTTGTCAGTTGTTGTCAGAAACGGAAACTGCAACTTAAATGATAAAGATTTCTCAACTTTGTTGCCAAATTAAAGTCTGTAAACCTGGTCTATATTCTCGGGTGAAATAAATTTAGTTTCGGGTGAAGGAACTTTGGGAGAGATGACTTTCGGACGACTTGACTAGTTCAGTTAACTGAATTAACAATACTGACTCAGTTCTCCTCAGCATAGATTGGCTCGTTTCCCTCTTTATCTTCGAGTATTGTCTCGTCTTCATGGCGAACAAGGGATCTTTCTCGGGTTGTTGTCACCTCGGTAAGATACTTTTGCCGTGAATACAATTGGTACGTTGTTTTGGAACGATTAAGTGCCCCTTTTGGAAGTGAGCACTGCATATATGACCCTTCGTAAGACGAGAATTCTTCATTGAAAAACTATAAAGCCTCTAATTTCATCGATTCTTATTTCCTAAGAGGCTGAGAGAGGAAAACTGCGGTTTGAGTTTCTTTGAATTACTGTTGCTGGGCCACAGACTGTAATGAAATACACCATGAGGTGTATAAGAGGCCATATTTAATTTTCATTCTTCGCGGAAAGAAATGACGCCCAAGGAAACTAGGAAAAAAGATACTCTACGCTTTCCAAAGGTACCAAGATAATGAAATTTTGTAGAAAATCAAGTACATACGTGTTTACAATAAATTGAAGTAAAAAACGAGCGAAACGATTCTCAAATATGCGAGTTTAAGATTCGTTCCTTCGACATCAGTTGCCAAAAACAAAGGAGAAGAATTACTCCGATTTGCGAAATCTCGATCGCTCTAAGGAAGGTCTGAGGAAGTTTATCAACAACAAAGAAAAATGTTGAAGTTCTGGTGGATCGACAACAGGAACTTTGCCAACAGTGTGAGTGAAATACGCAACGAGCGAGACAGGTAAAAACATTAGTGCAACCCCCACGTTTCAGCGCGACGAACATAACACATCTTCTGCTAAAGAAAACTAGAAAATCGATTGAAAAACTAGAAACGAAACCATCAAAACTAACGAAATCATCGAAAAGACGGTAAAGAAGTCAACATTATTACTTAAACGGATGAGAAAAATATCACAGTGACAAATTCGAATGCAAACAATGGTTCCTTCACTTGCACGCAGTGATCGCCTCTCAGTTTTTCAATTATATGCCCTACCTGCCAATGCAACACGACAATGATACTTTGAAAACTGTTTCCAAGGGCGAACTAACTTACCAAATGCAAATAAAATGCAGAAGAAAATCATCTTGATCCTGTCTGTTGGAGAATTGGTTTCTGCACAGATGCTTTCTATTTTAAGTCCCACCCTGTTTACGCGTCTAGTCGAGTCAAATATTTGAGATCTTGAAATCGAATTATGCGCAAAGGTTTCTGGGATCGCCGGGTGGCAAACATTGCAAGTTGCTGGAAGGAATTGAAATATATAGCGAAGAGTTGTTTTGACGTCCGAGAAAACGATTTTGGCGAGAGGTCAATGATTTTTTCGCCGCAGTTTTCGCGGAGATAAATTTGGCGATGATGAAATAAGAGAGGTGTACGATTTTATCTGAATAATAATACAAAATAGACCAATAAACTTCTCTGCTTGCGTAAGGTTTATTTTGAAATTGTCATTGTATTTAGACCTCAAAATATTGCGAAATTATCCGATAAAATGTGTAATCTTTAATATCTGTCTGTATGCGAGAACCCCGCAGTATAAGTGATGATTTATTCCCTGAGAAACGAAAGAAAACAACAACACAAATTGAACGAAAACACATGAATGTATCATGCCTTTGACAATTGTCAAATGCCACAGTCTAGAAACTCTTCTGTAAATCAAAATGAACTAGAGGTTTGAGCCTTTTTACGTTTAAAAAAAGAAAAACAACGAAAAGGACGTAAACATCAGCGTCTGCAGTATGCCGGGCTTAGTTCCATTGCCTGCATTGAAATATTTCAGTCCATCGCCGCTTTTATCCTGCACCCCATCGCACTGATCACTTCCGGTCGCCCCAGGGTCCCGATTGTCTGCGTAGAAAGGATTATAGTCACTGAAACCCAAGTCCAGCACTTCCTTGGCCTGAGAGGGGAAGTTGCAGTCAGAATCAATCAGGTTCTTTACACACCTCTTCGCTTCAGTCTGTGCCCTGGTAAATACAAAATTCACTAGATTACTGAAAGAAAGAAGTTCCTCTATAGCTAGAGAGTAAAATGGTAGCACGTAGCACACTGTTTGGTGCGCTATTCCCTGAATAGAAAAGAAATCAGTGTCTGGACCTCGTCCAGTCATTGTGTTGTGTCCTTAAGGAAGACACTTTCTTCTCACGTCGCCCCTGTCCACCCAGGAGTGCAAAAAGGTACCGGTGAACTGTCAGAGAAATCAAACAAAACTCGAAATGAGGGAGAGGGGGTCCATTTTTCCATGTCTAAGACGACAGCAGGTCAACGAAAATTCAACAGCAACATAACATTAAAGGAAGGGGGAAGTGATGGCGAAGATGATAATGCGAGATTGCTTCTTTTTACTCCTAAAAGGGAGAAAAAAAACAGCCACGATCGGAAAATTTAAAGTTCCTCAGGTTGGGTTTTATTGTAATGCTTAACTTTAAATTGACGTTTTGAAGAGTTGTTCGACTCTTCGCTAGTTAACCGGATCTATTCCTTGGATGCATGGTTAGCATCAAGCTCCTTCGCTCCCCTCCCTCCCCTCCCCCCTACATAAAAAATTAGAAAAGACATATTGATTCAATTAAACTTACGAGCATACAGCGGGATCCGATTTGTCCTCAACAAATTTTTGGTGAAAGGATCGAATGCAAGTGCTGGCATTGCTGCTGAATGTTGGCATGGTGGGGATTTCCAAAGAACCATCCATACACTGCAGTTCTTCTTTGACGGCGCTGTCAACGATTCCTCTGATCTGGCTTTCGGACAATACATCTCCTGCACAGATCGACCACACAATTCTTCAGTTTGCTAAGCTCTACGCTGTAACATGGAAAATCCATAAACCAAAAAAACTTCCTGGAAAACTTCCTACAACGTGAAGAAAAAACAACCACAACAACAAACAAACAAACAGAAAAAAAATCAACAAAAAGTTAGGCGCGAAAGAAAATCTTACAATAACCAACCAAGTAGAATGGCCGAGGATGGAGAAGAGAAAAGTGACCTGAAAATAACGAACTACAGGGGGTGGGGGTTGGGGGAAGGGGGGAAAGGGGGTGCGCGCGGGTCTGAGGGCGCGGTCCCTCTGAAAAGTTTGAAATCTAGTAACTCTAGCATTTTAGGCATCTTAAGAGTGCTGTTTATGATGGTTTTTTTTTTATACACCTCTCTAATTCATTTCTCCCTAATTTGCCTGTTATTCCTGGACGATCGGAATTTTGTGTGACGTTAATAGGTCTAAATAACCTCGGAATTCAGATTCCATGATATATTAAACACATTTTGTATGTAATCGAAAGATTAAGTCATTGTGAACAGACTAAATAATTGTAAAATAACTAAATACTTCCTAACATATCAATGCCTTGCGGGGAGGCTCTCATTTCAAGACCCGCTACCGGATCGAAACTTACTCGGTCGAAACCCTACTCGAGATCAACAGACAGCGATAAGGTCTTCTAGGCGGCCAGCGGTGAACCACCGGTAACTAGCGTTCACTGAAACCTTGCAAAGGTCCTAAAGAACCAACGTTCTTCGAGTCCACTTACACACAATTTGCCTTCGAGTCCTTCTGCAAAGCTTTATAAAAAGCAGTACTGCATTTACGAGCACTGCAGAAGTACTTCAAGAAAGTACAGGTGCCCGCGTCAGGAAGGGCGGCATCGCTTCCAACGAGAAAAACTAAAAGATTGAACCAAAAAATTTCCAGATTGAAAGACATTGATTGTTAAAGCCTGGTTTAATGTGTCGGGAAAATCCCAGAAGATCAGCGATTCTACTGTTTCCCAACCTTTGCAAATATTGTCGATTCACCGGCAGATCGACATACGTCAGTAACAGATTCTTCCTCACGCCATTTTTTATTCGTTCCACAAGAGAACGATAATTCATTAATAATTATATGCTCTAATTGAAATTCAATCAACAATAAAATGGTAACAAATAATAATAAAAATAAAAATATAATAATCCAAAGAGCTAGCTCTAAAGCCTCATGCACACCCAATCCTTTAGGCTCCAACAATGATTAGCTATAAATTACGCGATTCTGATTGGCTGAAAATGAGCACAGTCTCAAATAACGCAAGGGCAAAGTTGCGACATGAATAAAAAATTACAAATAGCGCGCGCACAGTTTCTAAACTTTGACTGTCTTGACTTTTTGTGATATTTCTTCCAGTACATTTCATGTACAGGTTAACGCACTCAGTGAGTGAATTAGCGGGATTTACCTGCACGAATTCACTCACAAAGAACGAGAAATTTCAATACCGCGCGAGGCTTTGCCGAGTGCGGTATCGAAAATTTCGAGTTCAGTGTGTAGCCGTCACAGTCACTGTTATTTTCATCTTACAACAGTAATAAAAGTGACGGCAAAACAAGCTTAAAACGGCAGAGAACGCCGCATACTACAACGGACACACAAAATGTGGGTAAATTCTAATGGTTTTACGTGTAAAATGTTCATATTTTGCAATATTTATCGTTACAAATCGACCATATTTCTCTCCCCATACTATTCTTTATGACGTATTCAAATTCTCAAACGATCCTCTCGTAACATAACACCGAGTCACACAACGCGTAACGCTTTCATGAATTAATCGTTTGCTTTTTGCCCCCTGGTACAAAGAAAAAAAAATGTTTAGTGCGATAAAAAAGATCCCACTGCACTAAAACTTTTTTTTTTCAGTACAAAACGAAATTATTCGATACAAAATAATTGTATTCATGATGCTAAACTATATGTTTACAATAAAATAACAAACTTCGCGATTGATACAAAATCAAAGTTTTGTCAATGCATAAACAAAGTTTAGCCAATGCAAGAAAAAAATTGCCTCAGGCCCCCAATAGCGCGGGCGTATTTAGCTGAAGAGGTTAAGGTTACCTCCCACCTTCAGAGGCCGAAAAATATATTTTTCTCTTTTATTTGACTAAACTGAATTCAAATATTTTACCTAAGGTTTCTAAAAGAAAAAATAATTACCTCTCCAAAACTTGGACAAAATTTGAATTTTATAAATTCAAATGATTACATCCATAGATTAACATTCAATACGGCAATGTTTCGTCCTTATTGTGGCGTTGGTACTGGAGATTTATTTCGGTTTTGCACTTCTTGTGGGGGTCACGGTTTTAGCGAAAACCTTGGCCCTAAATATTTTCCTCACCTTGCCCATAAAAATTTTCAACATTTTCACATTTTTGCCCTTTTCTGTTTATTTATTTAGCTAAACCTTTATAGTCACAGGCCCCTCGTGTAGCCGCTAACTATGGCTTATAAATACAGGCGTATAGTGTTAACGTGTAAAATTCCCCAAAGAAGTCTACGAAAGTTAGACGAAATGCGTTGGAGAATAAAGAAGTTTTACAACTACTGTACGCAGAGTGCTGCCCACTAGTTTAATTTTTAAAGTATTGCAGAGGAGTTACTAAAGTCAGCAGACGTAGCAGCCGACCTCGTCGAGCTGTCGCCTTGGCTTTAGTGCTGTCCGGTGTTATTTATCGTCGATCTTTCTGTCCCATGCACCGGGGAGCACACTGGAACTCTCAAATGCACTCGCTCACGTCACAAAACCTGTCCTTTCATTCCTGACTTAGAGAAAATGTCGGGTCCCAAGAGATTCATTAGATTACTGATCACTTCACGTGCACTGACGCCAATGTAATCTAGTGCATAACTTTAGCCTATTTAAAAAAAAACTGTACATTGGAAAACAGAAGACGATTAAGTAGCCGATTCCGAGAACACCTTCGCGACGTAGAAAAAAATGACAAAGACGCATCCAAACTAGTAGCTAAATACTTTATTCTCGCTACTCATTCCAAGCAGCATTTGGCAGTTTGCGGCCTTACCTAACATTTAGGCAGAAGCCGTAAAACTCTAGAACAAAAATTTATCTGTCAAATCGACACTCTTGATCTCCATGGTATCAACGAATGCTTTTCATGCAACTAGTTTATGATTTTTCTGGTGATCGTGTTCCCACCAATAATGTTCCTCCATTTTCCTCACATAAACACACGCACAACCCACAGTTCCTCCATTTGCTTCGAAGGAGGGCTAACGCTCGAAGCTTCAGCTTTCAACCTCTTATTAACGTACGTAATCAACTCAGTTGATATTGTAATATCATATGACCTTTTTACACCTCATTAACCGATAATGAGGTTAATCAGTAAGCAGCGGGATCATTAGAGTTACGACATTGAAGCTCCAGGACGACATTTCATAAACTGCTACCGAAAGAAAAAACACTTAAGAAACGAAAGACAGGGAAGGAGCGAAACAAAGCCATAGAAAATATCGACATTGACGCAGAGAGACTTAAAGAAAACCCCCGGTGAACTTACATATACGAAAATAACCCGAAAATCACGCTGAAGGATTTGACTACAAATTCTGATTTGCTTGCAGGCGGTGTAAACCAGTATTTGAATTTTGAGAATAAGACGGACTTAAAACAGAAAATAATAAAGCGGTGAAAGTTGATTCCAAATGTAAATTAACTCACCAAAGGCAAATAAAATGTCGAAGAAAATCATCATGATCCTGTTCGTTGTTGAATGTTGATCTCCGCTCAGACTGCTATGTAATGTAATGACAGTACCACCCTACCTTCTCGTCAATCAGTTGTCAAGGCGAAATAATGAGTACTCTCCTCCACATCCCTCTCGCACAACACAGAGGCAGACAAACGAGACATTGATTCTGCTTGCCGGGGCATCTTTAATGAGGAAACGAGGAAGTTATGAAGGGCTCGGGGAAAAATAATAATTAAAACAGAGAAAACGAAGTGGTCTTACGACAAATATCATTCAGCAAATGGTCAGGCGCAGCAAGGAGGCCTGGAACTATTCATTTATTCCCCAGAAATCTGAAAAATGATTTAATGATTGGCACCACAAACGAGTCTCTTCAAGCGGGTTGCGGGTTCGGGATTTGTGTCACGGGATGGGAATATGCTGGCGTCCCAGTTACTCCAATCGTCCCTGACAGAGTTCTCGCGATTGACACAATAGAGTGATTTAGCAAGAGGACGGGAGCGTCATTTCAGAACGGGGGTTGCGTGCGGAGAAGTTTGGACACGAGTCTAATACGACTTCCGGTGATGGCGTTGCCGGTCTCGTAACATGTTTTGGACGGTATTTGGCAGATTTTCCCGTCCTGATCAAGACGCCTTAGATTTGTCTTCATTAAACCGGTTTAAAAGGTGAGAGAATCTCATAGAATTATCGAAAAGTAATGTCCAGGATAGGTGTTTCTCACTGTAGTTTTTTCTGGGCGTGTTGTCAAAAGTGCTCTAATACATGAGCCTGGTTCTTCGTACGGATGTGATCGGAAGTTTCAATTAATTTACAACCCATAGTTAGTATCAGGCCACTCAGATGGTCTTTTTTCCCGATTTATGGGTTCTTCTCTTACACAGTTTTTCATCTTTTAAAGGTACTCTGACAACTCTTAGAACAATGAACTTTCGCAATTTATCGTGTTTTATTTAATAAACAGCATGAGCAAGTTGAGCAGTCGATACTATAAAATCGATGCAACTTTTTTTTCAGTGGTTGTTGATGTTATTTTTGCAATGGACGCAAGCAGCTCAGAAAGCCCTGGCCTAAAGAAAAAGTGAGGATGAAATTTAATGTCTTGTAAATAAGTTTAAACCTTTTTTAGAGTGCAATTTTGAACGCGAAGAAATTAAAAAAATATAAAACAAAGGGAAAATATAAAATGATGCAAATTAGTCATGTGTTTTACCAGATGAAACGGTATTTGATAACAGGAGTACTTTGGCAGAATATTTTGTTGTTTTAGCTCATCTTTTGTTGGAATGCTGTATTTTATACGACTTCCACATGTACAAGTCTCATCACACAATCTTAAATATTTTTTCCATTTATTGTCAGGAAGATTATACTTGATTTTACACATTTGTGTTAGTCTGTTCTTCATCAGTCTTTTTTCTAATGTGACCCATCCTAGTTCTCTAATCATGTCTTTTACTCTGGCTGTGTGGTTGTAGTTCTGAAGACAAAAATAAGCTGACTTTATCATTTTAAAAAGTAGGTTAAGTGAATGATTCTACCTTCTATTTTCAAGTGACTAAATGCTAGGTTAAGACAATATTTGTTTTTATAGCCACTTTTCTCAGAATCTTTTGTTTATATCATTGATGTTAGATCTATAATGGTGTGGACTGAAGAGAAAGATGTCAAACTCTTGCGAGCTGTGGCAGCTGAGGGTGTCTTCATCAACAGAAAGGCAGGATCCAGGGAGAAAGGAGCACTACGGCAGGCTGTTGCCTCTTCCCTTGTGGCAGAAGGTATGCCTGTCATTTCTCGGTTAGTGAGAGACCGCTTCAATATTCTGGCGAAGGAGTGACGTGTTAAAGTTAGACAAGAGGAGAGAGAGAGTGGTGCTGGAGATGAAGAAACGAGTGAAGCTGAAAAGCTGGTGGAGGAATTGGTGGAATTAGAGATACTGGTTTCAATCTGAGAAGACAAAAGAGCAGAAGTGCGAGGCCAAGAAAATGGTAGAAGGGGAGAAAAAGAAGGCAATAGAGATGAGGGGGAGAGAGCAATGGAGCGGTTCAGTCAAACCAAAAAGAGACAAGAAGAAACAGAAAAGGATGAAGGGAAAAAGAAGAAAAAGAGAAGAAGACCAGGAGAGGCAATAGAATGGCACAGCAACAGCACAGCCAACAACAACAACAATTTGCCATGTTGCAGCATCAAATGATGCAATTTTTGGCGCATAAAACACATGCATTTCAGCTTTTTAAAAAACAATTTTGGGGCAGCAGGCCATTTTAAAAATAAAATAGAAAATTACAACTTTGATCATTAAAAGACACTGTGTGCAATCATAAAAGAAATGTTGTTTTTACCAGATAAAGTAATTGGTATACATTAACCAGGGGGCGGGGGCTATACACTTCTGAGCTATGAAAATTCCGTTACTCTTCAAGGAATTCCATTGAGTTAGCAAGTGTACTAATTGATTAAATCCTAGATGGCACAAAAATTTGGATAAATGTCACAAAATAATTAAGTGTAAACAGAAATGTCCACACGTGTAGATCGTGCTGATGTTTATTTCTGCTGAAGAAAATATTTTTCCACTCGTCAGCTAATTTTTCAAATTTGGATCTACAATATTTTGCACTCATAGAAAGCCCTAAAAAAAAAAGGTAAACAATGTACAAGTCATTACTAATACAATTTTTCTTTAAACTTTTAACCCTCCAACATCAGTATGTGTAACTCTTCTATAGGCCAAAGTACAAAATGAAACAAACTCAAATTATTGGAAGTAGTCCTGTAAAGAAGGCGGTTGAACTTCAAACTTTTCTAACACAATGTTACCATACAGACAGGTCAACGCATTTCCCAAAATGGCACAGACAATGTAAAACGTTCCCCCCACTTTACTTGAATTGCGTGTGTTCTTTAACGTCCCCTGCTAATCACTGCAGGAGACGGGGCATACAATTTATCATCCTCGTCCGAGAAAACTAGAATGTCTAACCTTTTGCAGATATCATAGCAAAGGCACTAAATTCTCATCAGTTATTTTAAGACCCTGAGCGTGTTGGTCCAGTCTGGGACTTGACACCTTGACCTTCTGCACGGCAGTTAGGCGCTCTACGTTATGAGCTCACTAGGCACAATTCGTAGACGTGTAACAAGGGCGAACTCTCTTTGAGGTGAGTCGAGACCCCCATTACTTTTCCTCACAGTTTTGCATTTTCATTTCGAGAAACACTTTCTTTATCACTGGAAACGCAAGGTTGTCTATGTTTCAACAAAATGATACAAACTTATAACTTTTCGTCGTGGAAAAGCACTTGTAAACGAAAACTTTAGCGCTTTACTTTCTACGAAAGTCATGCAGAGAACAATTTAGAACGACTAAAAAGCCTATGTACTGCATTCGCTATATTGAATAATTGTTTGTTAATAGTTTCTTGGCCCACCATGGCTGACCATAAAGTTCGGGCATAGAGAAGTATGGTCGAGCAGGATTTTGGAAAACTTTCGGCATCAAAAATACAATAGCTTTAAACATTTGCATATTTCGACATGTGACAGAAGAATTCAATAATTTTAAATACAAAAACTTTTAAGAATGACTTAGTTTAATAATCTAGGATCGATCATGTGAGGAAGCTGATCAGTCAACCAATGATGGTGGCCGTGGAATAAAGAGAAAGAGGACTAAGTCAAGATGCGCACAATCTAGCAGTCAGTATCATCGGTTTAGATAAGTTTTAAAATATTGTTTTCCGCTTAACTGATATGATGTCGCCATTCAAAGCAAATGAAAAATGTTCTCATTTTAAGGTACTCCAGTTACTTTTAGAGGGCAAATCTACCATAATTATAGCCTTTACAGTGAATTAAAACTTTTAAAACGTTTAAATTCAAATTTAAGATCATTCGGTTTCTTTACTCTGGTGAGAAATTTTTGCGGAAGAGTTTAAAATTAAAGGCGCCGATTCTTTCATCTTGGTGGCACCGCCAAATTAAGCCAAATATACTTCAGAAAAGGTAGTTTGTGGAGCCTCAGTCGATAGAGGAAGCGTAACACTTTTTATCGTTCAGTTAATAATTGAGATTACAGCCTCGATTTTCAGTTCCACAGCCTGTCTGACTTCGTTTGAGGTAGTTCGGAAGCTGCACAACATCAGAGATGCCGCTAAGTAGTACAGGGGAAAGGAAATGTAAGTATTTTACGAACATTTCAATCGTTTTCTAGTGGGCGACTATCCCTGTCACTTTAGGGTTAGTAGTCCTCATAACATGAGAGTGACACAATTAATTGTGGAAGAACTCTGTCGTCATGGTTGATTCCTCAGAGCTGTGGTCGAAAATAGGTGATCATGACACTTGCATCTCCAATGAAACCGTAACAAGTTTGAGAGATCAACAGTATTCTGTGTTTTTAAAAATAAAGTCTCCTTAAACTAACAAACTCGTTATTTCTCTACAGAAATAGCCAAAAAATATCAGGAGCACATCCACAGAAATGCACCACGACAAAAGATGGCGGAGGAGGTCAAAATCAAGAACAGGAAAAAACTCAGAAAAGAGAGGGAACATGTAAGTCTTTTTCTTTTTTTCTTTTTTGTCCGTTCGACTTGGGCAATCGAGCGAAGTCAGTGAGTCAGCCGTAACTGTCGAGACCTTTTTCTATAAAAAAAAAGCTCTCCTCTCTACAATAAAAAATAAATATGACATAGTTTGAAGCTACACTGGTTTGCAGATTTAATGAATGTAACCGAAGAAGTTACAATTCATAGACCCAACGTTTCGACACTCCTGTCTAGTGCCTTCATCAGTGGTAATCTAAACGCTGCAACAAGAGGTCCTTTTTTATGATCACTAATTAGCGGCCTTTTTTCTTCTCTCCTTTTTTTTTGTTTGGAGGCTTGGCACATTAACTCCGCCCACGCTCCTTTAAATCGTGACGATGGCGGTCTACTTCCTGACGCCTATTTACACCTCATCAGAAAAATGTCTAATTGTCCACCTGGTTTCCGTGTGAACTTTAATATATTAAAAAATAAATATGTTGTCATCTTTTACGGCATACCTCACTGGTGTGTTTTATCAAATTGCCATAACTTCTAACTCCGTCTGAAACTAACTTATTCCATTAAAACCATACAAAGACCAATTCTTTTTTGTCATAGAAGTACGAGGGAAGAATGAGTCATCTCCAGGGTGAAAAGGAGATCCGTGCTTCTCTTAAATTAACAAAAGAGTACGTGTCAACGAACAATGATGCCAACGGCAGTGAAGAGGAAGGGGGCTAGATTTCATGGCCCCTCTGGATACCGAAGTCAGGGGCTGAACAACTTCTTTACAAAGTAAGTTATGCTCGAATACAAGAACAAGAGGGATACGAAATCGAAACATCTGGGTCGTGAAAGCTAACAATTAAAATAACAAAAGGCGGTTTACAACACGCAGCTAACCAAAAATTCCGTGAAAACAAGAAAAAACATTTTTCCCTTATACGAAATTTAATATGATTTTTTTCTTTCTGTAGGCTTGATAAGAGAAGCCAAAGAGGAGAAAGCTCTGTCAACAAGAGGTGGCAGCGAATCAATTCAAAAGTAAGGGATGAGACCGATAAGGAGCCACCAGTTGGTGCGCCCAAGTAGGCTCTCAATGACGAGTGGAATGCCCGTCTAGAACAAGGAGAAGAGAAGAGAAGGAGGCACCGATATTAAATATTTAATGGACTTCACTATTAAGAAAGGTAATAACAACAAAAAATATTGAAAAAGGAACCTACTTTATGTGTATCTTTCCTTAAACAAGAAATGGTTACTTGGTAATCATGGCCTCTATTCTAAAATGTAATTTAGGAGTTGAATGGGAAGTTATTTATGTGACCAAAACCTAGAGGAGGATTTGTTGTGCATTCTAACTGATAACGCTTTCGATTAAACTGTTTTTGTTTCAACTGTTTTTTAACCACAGTTTTCTGTATCTTCGAAAGAGACAATGATTTTGTACAATGGATGAACAGGAGGACTCGGGAGGTCGGACATAAAAAAGGCAGCTCAGGAGAAGAGATGGAGTAGCTCACTGCAAATCTTTCGAAAATTGCGTTCAATTTTCGTTTCTTTTGGGTTTTTCGTTAATCTTATTTGAAAGGGTTGAAAAATTAAGCTCGGTATCATGTAAAGACTAGAGTATTCTATTATCAAGCAGCGTTGCGTATAGCAATAATATTGATTCGACATGTCGCCTGACTGAGGTTTAATTTCTATTTTTCCTGTGTTTCTTTGCCGCAGTTCCCGGTTGAGAACCAATTGCATGGTGCATCAAGAAAATCGTCGTGATCCTGTTCGTTGTTGCATTGATCTCCGCTCAGACTGACTATCTAACGAGATTCCCATCCTATGTGGGTTTAGTAAAATGTTTTAGTTGCCAGTAATCGGATCTTTGTGTCATGCACAAAGCAAAGGTTATGGGCATCGCTGTGTGGCAAAGGAAATATGTGGAAATGGATTTTTGTTGTTGATATAAAGGTAGTATACATTTTATTTTCCTTGCTAAAGCTAAGGTTTATTTTGAAATCAAAATTGTAACAGTTAGCTAAGGAAACATAATCTTTGATATTTGTCATGTTAGAACCCCGACTACAAATGACAATGTATTCGCTGAAGAATGAAAGAAAACAAACAAAATTAAAAACAAAAACGCAAACAATTTACTGAAACATGCCTCTCTCAAGTCTAAGTCTAGAAAATCTTCTGTGAATCAAAATAAACTAAAGGCTAAAGCCTTTTAAACTTTGAAAAAGAAGAGCAACAAAAGGAAAGCAAGCATCAGCGTCTTCAGTACACCGGACTTGATTCCAGCAGCTGCACTGAGATATTTCGATATATCCTGCACGCCATCGCACTGATCATTTCCGGTCGCCCCAGGGTCCCGATTGTTTGCGCAGAAAGGATTGTAGTCACCGTAAGCCAATTCCAACAGCTGCTTGCCTTGGGCGGGGAAGTTGCAATCAGAATCGATCAGGTTCTTTAAACATCTCTTTGCTTTAGCATGTTCCCTGAAAAATACAAAATTCACAACGTTCATAAAAAAAAAATAATAAAATAAATGAAACAAAAACATAAAACAAAAACAAACAAACAAACAAACAAAAAATCGAAAAAAAAATTAAAGACTTCTAAAGAGTACAGTGATGCCATACTACTAGATGTGCTGGCTTCTTAATAGAGAGGAAAGTTTTCACTGGGCCTCGTCCGAGTATCTATGTTGAGTCCCTGAGCATGCTGATGTAGACGCTGTTATCATAATCACCAGAGAGTTAAATATGTGATTAGTATTTATAAATGCAGGTTCAAGGGCGTAGTTGTGTAAGAGGGATGGGAAGGGGGGGGAACCTTTATAACTGCATGCGTAGTAAAGCTGTAAGAACGAGTGTCGAGCCCTTTTAGTCCGCAAACCTCCCTTCCCCTCCCCCCTTCTAATAAGGTTTAAAATGCACAGTCGTTAACTCACGAGCAAAGAGCGGGATCTGATTTGTCCTCGGCAAACTTTTGGTGGAAAGATCGAAGGCAAGTGTTTGCATCACTGCTAAATGATGCTGAACAAATCGATCCACCGGTTGGCGACATGTCAGGAATTTCCATAGAACCATCCGGACAAAACTCTTCTTCCGTTATGGTCCGCTCAATGTCAATTAGCCCTTTTATGACCTGATATTTTGCCTTTGAATCTCGAACTCTAACACAGATTTTCCACACGCGGGCAATACAATTTTTCAGTGTTTGAACCTCCACACTGTAATACGAACAAGACAAAAACCATCATCAGATCATCAGTCGAACCTAATTGCGATGTTTTGATGTATTTTATGTGGGGGGCAGAACACTGGCTTCTATTAAAAAAAATAAAAATAAATAAATAAAAAAAAACCGGCTGAAGATAAAATAAAAACTAGCAAAAGGCAATAACCTACTAAAAGAAATCAGGAAGGCAAAGATGGAGAAGAGACTAGTAAAGAAAATTAACAATAGAGACTACAGAAACGAATGCGACCTGGCTATGAGGAAAATTCTACTCTTAGCCCAACAGATATCCTTAAGAACCTTCACTTTTCAAATGTGCTTACCCACAATTTGCCTTTGGATCTTTTTGCAAAGTTTTAATAAAAGCAGTTCCGCATTTACGAGTATTGCAGTAGAGCTCCATGGAAGTACAAGAGCCCTTAGGAAGGGCGGCATCGTTTCCGACGAGAAAAACTGTATATGAAAAAAAAAATCAGATTTAAGATATTCGATTGGAAACATTAATTGTTGACTACATATTAACCAGCATGATGTCAACCAAGACGTAGCAAGGCCAATACAGCTATGCCAAGATCTAAGATTTTCCCATGTCAGCTGCACAATCGAACTTAATCACTACATATGTTGTTCACGGTTTTACCAAATGTTTCATATGTTAACATAACAGGACTTTTCCCGTATTACAAAAGCCTCAACCAAACACGAGGGGGGAGGGAGGAATAGCAGAATCTGAGAAAGCTATGCAAGCTCTCGATAGCTTTTCACGTTTGCATGGCTTTGTCAACTTCTTTCAGTGCAAGCTGATTTTTTTGACAGGGCTCGTGATATTTCGACTCTTCCCTTATACCCCTTGGTGAATTTGAAATATCACTCTCAGTGTTTATCCCAAAATCCACAGAAACCATGCTATTTCCTACACAAATACGACTTGACACCCAAACGTTAAATTTCAACCGTCACCGCATTTCCGGAAACGAGCAGGCAACCAATCAAAATGAGTTGAATTAAAAACAGGAAGCACTGTCTTCCGGCAAAAGCATACACATGTAGAGCCGATGAGTGAAAACATTCTCTGCTGACGCAAACAACAATTTCGCCAAACAACAATGACCTGGGGCAGGCGTAATCTTCGACTGTACCCTTGGTACAAATTCCTCCCCCTCCTCAGCATTCCGCTGCCATTAAAATCAAAGATGGCAGTCATAATTTTCGTCAAGGAAATACTGAGCCAAAATGTGGAAGATGCGAAAATTTTTCCAAACTTTGACTTCCGAAAAACTGGAAGACATCTTAATTCCCTCTGATGCGACCCGGCCAATAATCTAGCCTAGCTTGTGGCGTTCGTGTGCCCTAATAAATCGCCTGCACTGCAGGCTAAACGTAATCTGACAGGCATTCTATGTTTATTTAATTCTACTTCGTATGAAAACTGATCGTTTTCGAGGCATATTAAGTCTTCATAGATCACGCGATATTAAGGTTGCGCTCGGTGCAACCTTTGGTTCTCTAATGTCCTATAGAACAAACAACGGTGAATTTGTTGTCAGATACAGAAACCGCTACTTGAGTGATAAAGATTTCTCAACTTTATTGCCAATTTAAAGTCTGTAACCCTGATCTCAAATTCTCAGGTGAAATAAATTTAGTTTCGGGTGACAAAACTACGAGAGAGATGACTTTCGGGCGTCTTGGCTAATTTAGTTAACTGAATTAACAATACTGACTCAGTTCTCCTCTGCACAAATTGACTCGTGTCCCTCATTCTCTTCAAATATTGTCTCCTCTTCCTGGTCAACAAGGGGTCTTTCTCGGGTTGTTGTCACCTTTGGAAGAGACTTCTGCCGAGAAATACAACTGGCACGTCGTTTTGGAATGATTGAGTGCCCCTTTCGAAGTGAGCACTACATACATGACCCTTCGTAAGACGAGAATTCTTTATCGAAAAATTATGAAGCCACTAATTTCGTAGATTCTTATTTCCCGAGAGGCTGATAAAGCAAAACTGCAGTTTGAGTTTTATTAAATAATTGTTGCTGCCAGGAACACAGACTGAAAAGAAATCCACCATCAGGTGTACAAGACGCTATTTTTCGTTTTTATTTTTCGCGGAAAGAAGTGACGCCCGAGGATTCTTGGAAAAAAGATACTCGACGACGCTTTTCAAAGATATCATTACTTCAGTTGATTTCACCAGCAATTTAAAGATCGATGATAGTGACATTTTGTAGAAAATTAAGTACATACGTGTTCAAAATAACTTGAGGTAAAAACGAGCGAAATGATTCTCCAAACCATCTGAGTTTAAGATTCGTTCCTTTGACATCACTTACCAAAAACAAAGGAGAAGAATTTCTCCGATTTGCGAAATCTCGATTCCTCTAAAAAAGGTCTCAGAAAGTTATCAACAACAAAGAAAAATGTTGAAATTCTGGTGGATCGACAACAGGAACTTTGCCTACATTGAGTGAAATACGCAACGATCGAGTTAGGTAAACCTACAACGCTTCAGGGCGACGAACATTATACACATTCTGCTAAAGAAAACTGAAAGATCGATGGAAAAAGCTAGAAAAGAAGCCATCAAAACTGATGAAATCATCGGAAAGACTGTATAGAGGGCAACATGGTTACTTATTTGGATGAAACAATTCAGATCATATTGAAAATTTGAATGTAAATATGCTCTACAGGCTTGCACGCAAATATAGCCTCTCGGTGTTTGAATTATATGCCAAACCTGCGACTGCTTTGCAGTTAAAAGCGCAACACGATCACGGCACTTCGAAAGTTGTTTCCAAAGGGGAGTTAACTTACCAAAGGCAAGTAAAATGTTGAAGAAATTCATCTTGATCCTTTCCGTTCTGGAATTGATCTCGCACAGACTGCGATCTATTTTAAGTATCACCCCAATTAAGTGTCGGGTTGAGTCCAATGTTAAAGATGCTAGTAATCGGATCCTTGTGTTATGCGCAAAAGTTTCTAGGATCGCCGGGTGGCAAAGAGTTGTTTTGAAGTCTGAGGAAACGATTTTGGGCAGAGATCAATGATTTTTCCTACAAAGGACTCACGTCTTAACGTGGGTGAGATGTAATATTTAGCGGTAGTAGAAGTAAAAGTCTAAAATTTAAACTTTAACATTTTTCCATATCTGGTCCCCTTTAATAGGTCCCCTTTCTCCCCTCTCACTTAAAACCCCTTCCCCTCCGCCCAAGCCTAGATGAAATTAAAAAAGGCGCATTTATTTAATTAAACTTACGAGCAAAAAGCTCGAGCGGGATCCGATTTGTCCTTTGTAAAATTTTCGGTGAAAGGATCGAATGCAAGTGCTGACTTTGCCGCTGGATGATGCGGAACACCGCGAATCAGCTGATGACATGGTGGGATTTCCAAAGAACCATCATCCTCGGAGACCCAGGGGCTGTGAGTCGATTTCAAGTCAGGGCGGAAGAGCCCCTGGGAACATTGCCTTACAAGACTAGTTCCAAACGGTCACAGTCGTTCTGGTATCTGATTGGTGCCAGAAAATCTTTGTGTTTTTATGCCCAATCAGAGTGAAGTGTGCTTTAGAGTCCTCTCGTGTGTTTTAAGAGAAATCGATCAGATTGTACGCAAAAATCTTGCCATAAATTATTCTGAATACTTCCGCAGGTATCACAAGATAACATATTTCAAAGTTTGCGAGGTTCGTATAAAACATAAAGGTTGCAGGTGTTAATTTGTCGCTTTAAACGTTAGACGAGATGTAAGCTTAAGTCGTTCTAGATTTCTCGTATAATTTGCTGTGACTGAAACTTTGCCAATCGCGTGAAATTATTTCGTCGCACGGGCCACACAGATATGTCGGGCAACTGGCGTTTACGCTTACGTTGCTTTCTGTGCGCGCCAAAATCAAATCTCCTTTGACTAGTTATTTCAGGAAGGAAGGTTCAGGGTTTTTTTACGATGAGTGTGAATAATCCGAGTGAAAAAAAAGAATCCAGGTGCGCGCGGGTCTTGGGGCGTGCTGCCCCTGAAAAGTTTAAAATTTAGAAACTTGGAAAATTAATTTTTAGCATTCTAGGCATCTTAAGAGTGCTGTTTATAGTAATTTTTATTTGCACCCCTTTAATTTATTTCTCCCTTATTTGCCTGTCATTCCTGATCTGTCAGAATTCTGTTTTCGGGGATAAATACTGGGAATTCAAATATATGTTGCGATATCAAATGTCGAAAGGAGACCACAGGCGGCCCAAGCTCCAGCCGTGAGGTGATCATCTTACGAAATAACAGTTATGCCACGGTCTTTTTCACTCTAATTATTCAGATCCTCAGTACTCGATTCTACTTACATCAAAGCTTATTTCACTCTGTGTAACTCTGGTTAATCTCTTAGGCTCTCACACTTTGATTCTCACTGAATACTTCTTTAACTACGGAATTCTGACTCTACTCTTCTGCACACTGTCTGCATTCTCCTAGTCTGCACTTCTCTCGACTCTTCTCTCCTCTTCTAGGTAAGATCTAAAGAATATTTACTACTGGCGGATATCGGTTGGCGTGCCGGCTGGCTGACCTTGGGAGACCTTGATGTTAGAACACTAAACTAAACAATTTCACGAGACTTTCGAAATGAACAACAAAGTACTTAATCATAATGCTTCTGATCAACTGAATCAACCCCCGACTGCGTTAGCCTAGACAATAACTTTCGCGTGGGTCCAAAGCAAGGTCAGTTAAACAAACTAAACGCCGTCACATTTCCGAAACTCTTCCCGACAGCTCAAACTTAAACAGGTCTAAGTAACTTTGGAATTCGAATTCATTCATTAAATATATTCTAAATGTAATCGAAAGATTAAATCATAGTGAACTGATTAAGGAAAAAACTAACTAATTGTAAACTAACCAAATACTTCATAACATAGCAATGGCTTGTGGGGAGGCTCTCATTTCAAGACCCCCTATCGGTTCGTAACTCACTCCGTCAAAAGTTCACGCGGGACCCAAATACGAGAGCCTCAAGGGCTTTTCTTGCTTACCGTAATGATTCGATTTACCGCCCGGGCGCTTATTTACTTTTGGTACCTCAAGGGAGGGCGCTTATTCGAGACAGGGCGCTTATTCGGGAAAGGGCGCTTATTCAAGTTTTTGAGAAACAACCAAATGGTTAAAGCATAACTTTAATAAATATTAAAATAACTAACAACAACAGAAACTGTAACAGTTACAAATTGTTGAAAGTTCAGTTAATTTCAAAAGAATTATTCATTTTATATACCGTAGCTGTAACAAGTATACATGTACGGTACGTTGAATGTTCGTGAGTTTATCTACCGTATTCGATGTCGATGACTTCAGTGTTACTTGCGTCAATTATCAAGCTATCTGTGCCGATGGAACTTTCCTTCCTTATATTCACATTTCTCAAAGCCCGCCATGAGAATAAAGTACAGGTCAAAGTGACTGGATCAAGAAGACCTGAAAACGGACTTGTCGTCCCCGGAGCGTTCCTAGCGAGAACAACCAGCAAAGCAATCGCCACAAAATTTGAAGAAGAGATTACTCGTTTGAAGGAATTATGTTCTCACATGGATATAACAGTTGAGAAACTCAGACGAAGACCACTGTTTTTGTAATGCATTATTACGTACGGTATATCGGCTATTAAAGGAAGATGAACCACGTTTGATACGTATTCTGAAGGCGCGGTAATATTAGAACAGGGGCGCTTATTAGAACAGGGGCGCTTATTAGAACAGGGGCGCTTATAAGAATGGGGGCGCTTATTAGAATGGGGGCGCTTATTGGAATAGGGGCGCTTATTAACAAAAACACATTCGAAAGGGAGCGCTTATTCGAAAGGGGGTGCTTATTGGAAGGAGGGCGCTAAATCGAATCATTACGGTACGTAGAAAACCTTGAAATGGCTAACTCGTGAAAATAGGTTCCCTTCAACGTAGTAAGCGGTCGGATGACAAGCGATGCGCTGTGGAAGTAAGGTGAGGTATTTATATTGAGAATTTGACGTATTTTTTTTATTCCTTAGAGCGGTTCTAAATATTCTCATACAGACCCTTATAATTTCGCCATGACTGTTACTTCGCAAGATGATCATCTCACAGCTGGAGCTTAGGTAGCCTGTTGTCTGTCTTGACTTTTTGTAATGCTTTTTTCATGTACATAATTTCAAGGTTAACGCACTCAGCAAGTGAATAATCGGGATTTACCTCCATGAGTTCACTAATAATGAACGAAAAATTTCAATATCGCACGAGGCGTTGCCGAGTGCGGTATTGAAAATTTCGAGTTCAGTGTTTAGCCGTCACACTGACTGTTGTTTTCATCTTACAAAAGGAATAACAGTGATGGCAAAACAAGCTTAAAACGGCAGAGAACGCCGCAAACAACAACGGATACACAAAATGTGAGTAAATTCTAATGGTTTTACGTGTAAAATGTTCATATTTCGAAATATTTATCGTTGCAAATCGACCATATTTTGTTCCCCATACTATTCCTTATAACTTGTTCAAATTCTTCAAGGTTCCTCTGGTAACTTAACACTGAGTCACACAACGCGTAACGCTTTCACGAATTAATCGTTTGCTTTTTGCCCCCTAGTGCAAAGCACAAAACAAATGCTTATTACAAATGATCCCACTGCACTAAAACTTTTTTCAGTACAAAACAAAATTATTTGATACAAAATAAACGTATTCATGATGCTAAACTATACGTTTACAATGAAATAACAAACTTCGCGATTAATACAAAATCAAAGTTTTGTCAACGCATAAATAAAGTTTAGCCGATGCAAAAACAAATTGCCGCAGGCCCCTAATAACGTGGGCGTATTTAGCTTGAGAAGTTAAGGTTACCTCCCATCTTCAGGTTCCAAAAGCAAAAATATTAAGTCTCCAAAACTTGAACAAAATTTGAATTTTAAAAATTCAAATGATTACATTCAATGATTAATAGCGGGGCACTTAGCCCAATAATTACACGAAATAGTAGTAACCTATCAAGCCGAAAAAAAAAGGACTTATGACTGTACGGGCGTCCGTTCAAGGTGCTACTTTAAGCATGCGCAGCGAATGGACCACTAGCACTATCTTAGCCATTACGTAGTGGAAAGGCGAGGAAGTCACTTTTTCTTCACTCAACATCTCGAAGCGTACTTACTGCTCGGGTTATGATAAACATGCTTGCGATACGATACGGACTCTCAAATTCAAAAATGTACGCAACAATTATATACGCTAATCACGTGCATAACTTTCCGTACGATTTTAGGAAACTATACTCAATTGACTTTCGATTAATCGACGTGGCATAACTCGTTGATCATTTTACTATTTTGTAGCCACAAAAGCCCGGCTTATTGACACTGGAGCTACTGACCTCGATATATTTGATTTACAAGGCACCCTTCAAGGAGGAAGGTTAGAATAGAATTGCTTCTGGGACCGTATATTGCACCCGGTTTACATATGTAGATCATTACTTAAAAATACCTAGCTATATTCAGAAGCATAGACATGTAGGTGATATGCTTCTGTTTTAATTTTCTGTAACGGGTTTCTCTTTATGTAGCATATATCAATTTCTTTAATTTCCTCCCTAACCTGCCTGTAAATAGTCAAATTTTATGCTTTTATTCAAGTGTGAGAAGATGAAACAGAGGTGTTGCAGAGTTCTCTTTCTAGATTGAATTCAGGTGAGAACATCAGTAAACTAGTTTATGTAATATGTTTCTCCTGAATCTTTAATTTTATTGTCCTTGTTTATTTGTACAATGTTATATTTATTCCCTGTCTCTCTGGTACATATGATTATGTCTTAACCCTTTAACTCCCAAGATCTCATTGGTAATTCTCCTTACTGTCTGACATACAATTTATGTGAAGTTAGCTCGGAGAATTTGGAATAGAATCAACCAATAATCTCCCAATTGATATTTTTCTTGATATCTGTTTGATATCGTACTGATAGTGTTAGGAGAAATTCTGTCGAGATCACTTGTGGAACTTAAAGGGTTAAAAGAGGGATATCATTATATCTTAATGATTAAAATATACCTAATATACTTTCAAATGTAACAAAAAATATGATAAGGATCTGATGCTATGAAATACTTACAATGGAAAAACCTTTAGCTGATAGCTTATGACTTTAATGTTTAGATTTTCAAAATTTAATGATTTTCTTTGAAAATGGGGAGACAGAAATTTTCAAAGCTGATAGAAAATTAAGCTGTTTGCAAGTAATGAAAAGCAAATTGATACTCATACCTAAGTGCTTGACATCCTTCACTCATACATGTCAGTTGTGTGTATCTACCATTGTAGAGGTTTCGATTTTGTATTAATTTTAACTTTTACTATATCTATTTCTTTGTACCTCAAGTCCTCAAAAGTTGAAGCAGCTGAGTTAATAACCTGACTTCCTTTGTTTGTAATTGTGTGATTATATAATTTTACTGTGTAAGTTGCTACGTTGTAACATGTAAAATTATCATTTGGATTGCATTAAATACTCTTGCTCAAGCTTTCATTAGTGCATGGTGTTTCTTACCAATGCTCATACCCAAACTTAACATTGATATAAGGGATTGGTCATAAGATATGTGAGTTTTAGAGAGCGGGAACTTGAAAAGCAAGGATCCCCCTTTAATTAGGACTGAAATTAAAGTGGGCTCTAATATTTTAATTCATATTCTTACCTTGACCGACATGAAAGTTAAATTAATTGGCGTCCACATAATGCACAAAGCAAGTATATAAATGACTTAGCTTAATAGGTTATAAAATTAAAATAAGAAAGTTATGCAGACCATGTCTTACCTTTTATCCTTCTCTGGAGATTAACTAAAATAACATAGTCACTATCAGTCTCACTCGCTCTCACTTTCCACTGAGCTTGTGGAAAGATGATAACCTCAGTATTTTTTAAATGAAGAAAAGGAAGCCTTCCTTCTTACCAAAGATAGTTCTTTTGTGCATCACATCCTTCTGAGGTGTGCATCAAAACTTTGAAGTTATAGCAGGCCAAAGGACGATCATGAAACAATAATAGCCAAAAGAGAAAAATTTAAAAAAACATTAAAGGTTCAAACACGATGTTGAAAATGACTTTTCTTTTTAATTTTAACGCTAAACAGAGGAGGTTGAAACATTAAGGAAAAACGGTGGGGCAAGCAGTCATACCTGGCAACTTCAAGATAACATATAAGAGAAGCCCATACGATTCTTGCGTCTTGATTTACTAATTCACTGTTCTCAGGTGTATACTCTTCAATCGACCGGTGATGTCTTAACTCGAAGTAATTTACTGTCGTTTCTTTCAATTTTGGCTCATTTTCCTGAAACCAAAATTATTAGTCACGCCCAAAAGAATATAATTTCAACTGATGCTGACATCGTACACTTCATCTGAAGCAGAAAAGATTCCCTATCTTCGGAAATTTGCTCAAAACAGCAGGAACAACAACGAAGTTCCTTAGCTGCTTGAAGAGTTGTGAGAACGTCGTCCCCAGGTTCTAGACCTCGTCAATCCTTACCTTCCCTTCCCACGCCCCGGACCGGTCACTAAATCCCCTTGAAGAAACTCTTCTACAGCCAGTGCTAAAGAATTTTGTCACGGTTTTAATTGTAATGAGGGGCTAGGAAATAAAGTAACAGGAGCTCCGCTTTTAGGCTTGGCTAAATATATATACTATAAATCAGAACTGAACATGACAGAAGAACTGTTAAAATATGTTTTTAAAGAATGTCATATATTTTCTTAAATTTCTGACATATCTGCTGCTATCCAGACCTTTTGGCAATATCATCATGAATCTCTCATTTAACTTAGACTCAGTCATGCAAAATAGTGTTGTTGTTTGGCTGATAGGTTGTGCACACTTCAGGGCACGTTTCCTATTTTCCATTCCAATGGATACTTCTGATATCTTCAGTTAGGGATTTTTTCTCCTTAAAGTTTGGAAGAGATTCAAGATAGCTAGTGTTTGGGATTGTTAGGGTCTGCTTAAGTTAGTATTTTTCGCTTTGTGTTTCATAATTTGCATTTCTGTATCCATCACTTATTTATCTTCTCAAGGTGCCCACAGCGAACATTGTAGTTGCAATATGTACATTTGTTTGTATAGGTTTTAAGAGGCAGTCTCTCTAAAAGCGGCCCGGTGCGTTTCGGGTCGAAAAATCTATTTCTTTCAAACTTTGCCCAGGAATTTACCTTAGTCTAAAAGTAATCGAACCACCTTGGTTTTTTCAAATATAGCAAAATAATTTTTTTTTTCTGAGAGAAAATCGCTTCAGCGCTCTAACGCTAGTTTTTAACAATACCGAATATCAAAAATGGCACAAATTACCGAGCTCGTCTTTTTACAAAATTCTGATTCAAGGGGTTTTGTTTTGATTCGCATATTTAGATCAATACTTTATGAGAACAAAGCATATAGATTTTGTTTTTTTTAACGGTTTTTTCCCTTCAAATTTGTTTTTTGTTTGACACCTACTTTGACACTACTGCCATGACCGGAAATATGCAACTTTTTTTCTCGGCTCAGCGCAAAATTCCAACTTCTTTCCCAGAATATTTTTATGCAGACTGACTAAAATAGGGTAGAAGAGCATGGAAATATAAAAAAATGTTGTGGTTTCGGCGAACTTCTAGAATAGTCGGCCAACAAATTGCGTGCATTTTCGAACTGATTCGACCTAACCATGCACACGGAGAAGTCTAAAACATAAACGAAACTTATATGGCTAACTTATGTTTGACAAGTAATTTGAGTCCATAAAAGCTTTTTTTAGACTTGCAATAGGATAAAACATCATTAACTAAAGAAAATCTTCATCTTTATCTAGAAAAGTGTAGCCGCCGAAAGTTGACTCTTATCTCTAGGCGACCTACTGTTTGGTTTATCATTCAGCTAACGAGGAACATTCCCCTGCGTATCTCAGCCTTGAAAAATAAAAGTCTGCTTTCAAATGCCACTTCGAAAAGGTTGCAGACATCATACATCACTAGATGCTTGACACCAATTTCAGATTGTACGGCTATTTTGGTTTTCTCGAGCATATGTTCGTCTGTTAGCGAGGCGTACTCTTCAGCTAGCTCTTCATTATCGTCAGGCTCGTTGTCATCGTTGGAGGTTTCCTTAGCATCTGATTGCTTTCTCTTCGCAGAGAGTCGCGAAAAAAATCCCTGGATTTGAAGCTTTGAAAGCCATTCCATTCTAACAAACATTCGTGTGCCATCGGTGTTGCTAGCATCACGCATGTCAACTTTTTTTTGTAAGTACCCACGGATTTTGTCAGAAAAGCGTGTTTGTCCGTCTTTAGGTTGGTGAAGTGCCCAACCCAATCGGAGCGAAGTTTCCTCCGTTGTGGTTTCAATTTGAACTTCCTTCTGAAGGCGAGACCTTCTTTTGGAATCCAGTGAAATGCTCTGGAAATGCTGAACCCAATCGATTCGTAACTGATCATACACACCCCTCTGTACCGTCTTCACTGGGCTGTGATGTGCAGCCACAATTAGATGAGTTTCCAGCTCTGCACAACTAAGGAATTCCTCTGAGCACTGGGGATGGGGACATTCGAAGGTGCTACTGACGTCATCCATGGTGCGTGGTCGTCTTATCCATCTCTCTTGCTAAGATTGCGAAAAACGGTTTTTCCTCGCTGAGGCAGGTACATTCTTGTGGACAAAATATTATGTCATTCCATACAATTAGCTTACTAGCCCCAATTTTAAAAGCCTTCCACAGTCCAAGTCCGTCAGGGGTAGACTCAAAATTGTGCACTGCGCTGAAATTACGGATCTTCTTTAACTTCAGAGTAATATTCTTGTCGTTCATGCAGAATTCTCCTGCTGTCGTTCCTCGCACTGGTCTCTCTTTTAGGGCAGTCTGCATGTCTTAAGCCGTCAAAATATCGTGACCATCGTTGCAGTAACGTTTGACGGCGGCTTTCATCGGGCATGAAGTCCTGTCGCAAATATCCTTACCGTGCTGTGGTTCCGAAGAATCATATCTCACAACGTCAATTCCCTGACGACTTTCGACATCTCGGAGGGCCGCTATGAGGCTGCTGTTGTGATTACAACCCACCTCGTCTGATCTTAGGTAGACCTTTTTTAATGGTTAGATGGCTTATTTTTATGACAGTCATGAGTTGCTCGAGGATTGAGAGAACAGCGAACCAATCCTGGCCACAACTGTTCAACAGGTGCGCGTAGGAGGAGACTTCTCGCTTCCCTCCTTTCTTGACAATGACACTGCATAAATACCAATTTACGCCTCTCTTTGCTAACAACTCTGATTGCTTTTCGCGAAACTTTATTTGTAAAAACTTCATCCTCGTCCTCCAGAAGAGAAAGCAGGATGCTTTGCTTGCATTTTTCCTGATTGTGGGCGTGCATGTGTGCCTTCCACTCCTTGACTTTCTCTTCAGCGACAGGTGCATCATGTCGAAGATCATCCTTCTCTCTATTATTTATCTTGGAGGAATACTTTTGAATAGCAGAGTGAATTTCCTGAATAGCCTTCTTCAATGCCTCACCGTCGTTACATGAGGTATTATAGTCGTGGCTACAATCTGTGCGATAATCAGCGTCAGCGGGATTGCTCAGGGCGAATGCAGTACAGTGGTCGGGACACTGGTCTTTCGCTTTGCAGTTATCTCGATAGATCGTCTTCAAATATAACTTAGCCTCTCTTCGCCTTGTGCACGTCTGCGCACACCACTCCTTGTTTGCCTCCACTTCTTCCAATTCGTCTAAAATCTTGTGAAGTCCTTCAAACCATCGACGCCATCTGCCCGTGTGTTATTCAGACCTGTAAGGGATTTTCTTTGGGAGGCTTCCTGAACTTCAAGAATCTTACACAAAGTGGTGCAACTCATAGGGCTGAAATTATCTTCTTTGCAGAAATCGAGGTACTGGTTAATAATGGTACATCTTTCAACGGTACGCACTACGTTTGGCATCACGAATTCTTCACCACTTTCAAGCTTGAGTTTTCTGCTTCCAAATGCCACATCCTGATAGTAATAAGGGCGAGATTTAAATTCCACAAAGTGATCCAACTGACATCTATCTAATCGAACTCGATGCCGTGGTATCTTGGCTACTGGGATACCGGGGCCTTCAGATGAACTGTGCAATCTGGCTTTTTTATTTGCCTATCACTGAGATTTTCAAAAGGTCGATGAAGAGCCTTCAAATCGCTTGCTTTAAACCTATATCGCGTATATAGTAAAGATTTGTGTCCTAAGCATCTTAGATGGCGCTCTCCTATAGGCCGCTACTAACGCCTCTAGACTAGGGTCAGCAGTCGTGTCGTTCACTTTTTCTCCCTAGAGAGCTTAGAGCAGCTTTTCTCCATGATTTGGTGCCATAACCTCGCAAACCAACCTGCATGCCTCGGTAGCTTTACTGACAAATTTTTCTCGCTCTACATCACTACAAGCATCCCAGCTTTTCAACTGATATTGCAGCTGATCAATTTTTTTTTTGCCCTGATACCTCTGCAAGACTTTTCATTGCAGAATTAAAAACATGAACGGAAGCACTGCAATTGCTCTTAAACGTCAGCTGTGATTCCTCCTCTTCTCCGCTACTTTCTAATTCATCAGTGGAACATAACCCAGGAGTCCACAGTGTATCTTCCTGAACACGGCTAACTTCGATTCCTGGTGTTAGCGGCTCTTCCTCGTGAGCGTAAAGAGCTGTCCCAGCAACTTCTTTAGGAGCCCCGTGAAAAGAACGTGATAGAAAAGGTTAATCACGAGAAGTCACCGTCATTACTTTCCCTACTACAGCAATTCATCTCCAAACAGTCCCCCCAAATATATGTTCCCCTCTTTCTCTGTCTATACCTCTCCGTTTATTTCAATTTTTCAGTCATTCTCCCCTTGTTTCTCTGATCTCCCACCGGCTGCATATGTCTATGTCCGACTACGTTTCGTCTTAAAGTTTCAATTTAAAGTCTCAATTTTCGATTCAATTTCTGGTAATTCAAAAATACCCAGCTACCACATGTTCCTCTATATTTCGAAAAGCACGAAAAAAAGCGTGGATTCTCCATTGTGTTGTTCGCAAATCGTGAACCAAATGAACACTAAGATTTCGTGTAAATTGAATTGAATTATTTATGAATCAAATTATTTGTTAATTAAGTTGTTTCCCACTGGCTAAGGCTGCTTCCCAAAACATTTCGAGAGATTGAAAATCTATCCGAGTTTAAACAATGTCTTTCAACAGATTTATAGTCGTGACTACTTTTACATGACAGATCATTTTGAAAAATGGCGGGTTTAGGCGTTTTTCTATATTTACGCAACTACATATGAGTGAAATTATTGGAAACGAACTGTGTAATTGATATTCGCAAGGTTGCATTGCGTGACACAAAATCACGCAAATGGGAAGAATTCTGTACCGTTCTTTATATCTACATAGGGAAATAATAATCCACTTTTTACCGAAACATATCTTTTTTTCTGACGATTTTATGAGAACTTATTGTTTATGAACACAAAAGAGGTGCCCTTTCAGTTAGTAAGTTTACGTGGCGAAACTTTTTTTAGATTAAAGATTACATCTTCGATTCAAAAAGGAATGCGGTTTAAGTGCTGTTAAGATGAGCAGTATCTAAATGAACAACATGAAATATTCTGAATAAACCTGAATTTTGTCATGGCTATCCTGCCTCTGAAGTTTTTTCCCCTTCCTCTTTCAGTGAGTGATAAACCAAACAGTAGGTCACCTTGAGATAAGAGTCAACTTTCGGCGGCGGTATTTTTCTAGATGAAGGTGAAGATTATTCTTCAATTATTGATGTTTTATCCTATGGAGAGTCTTAAGAAAGCTCTTGCGGACTCAAATCACTCGTCAAACATAAGTTGGCCGTATAAGTCTCGTTTATTTTTTAGAATTCTCCGTGTGCATTGTTAGATCGAATTTTCGAAAATGCACGCAATTTGTTGGCCGGCTATTCTAGAAGTTCGCCGAAACAACAAAATGTTTTTATATTTCTATGCTCTTCTACCCTATTTTAGTCAGTCTGGATAGAAATATCCTGAGAAAGAGGTTGGATTTTGCGCTGAGCCGAGGAAAAAGTTGCATATTTCCGGTCATGACAGTAGTGTCAAAGTAGGTGTCAAACAAAAAACAAATTTGAAGTAAAAAAAAAATCGTTAAAAAAACAAAATTTCTGTGCTTTGTTCTCATAAAGGGTTGATCTTAATATGCGTAGCAAAACAAAACCCTCGGACCAGAATTTTGGTTGAAAAGAAGAGCTCGGCAATTTGTGCCATTTTTGATATTTGGTGTTGTTAAAAATTAGCGTTTGAGCGCTGAAGCGATTTTCGCTCAGAAAAAATTATTTTGCTATATTTTAAAAAACAAAGGTGGTTTCGATTACTTTTAGACTAAGGTAGATTCCTGGGTAAAGTTTGAAAGAAATCGATTTTTGATCCGAAACGCACCGGACCGCTTTTGGAGAGACTGCCTCTTAATAGTGCGATCTTGACCTTGACAGTTGAAGCACATGACAGATTTTTTGACTCTTTCAGAATCAGCAGCCTCGAGGAATTATATCCTTTGTTGCTCAAAAAACAGTTGCTCCAACGCAAAAATTTTCCTGTGGCTGAAAGACCTAAAGTGGTCCTTTGATGCGATGTCATTGCCTTGCTGTTTGAAATATGCAATATTTTTGTACAGTTTCAAAATTTCTGACATGTGTCGCTACAAGGCATCAATCAATCAATCAATAAACTTTATTTACCCTCGAATTTACAGTGTAGCACTCGGGTGCTAATATCTTCGAGCAAACTACATTAATAAATAATTATAATAAAAAGATTAATTCTATAACAAAGAGGATAACTAACTACCTAGACAACTAACTAGCAAATCATCTTGATGTAGAAAGGTTTCCAGTTCCTGCCCTTTTAAGTAAATTATTGCACCCAGTAGATAACAGTCGTCGAAAAGAAATAAAATCAGAAATAGTGCGGTGATGGTCAGGAAGAGAATTCCAAGATATTTCTGTCAAGTAACTAAAGGAATTGATACCATAAGAAGTGGTCAATGGTTTAGGCAAACAGAGTATATTATGTCCTCTTAAAAAAATAGGTGCTAAAGCGCAAGCGAAACATATCTTTTAAATATCTTGGATAATCAGAAAAATGTAGACATTTAAAAGTAGTAAGAATCATGTTTTGTAAACGCTTGTCCTCAAGGTTTACAGTTCCTGCTCTTTTAAGTAACGGTTTTTTAACTGACCTTGATTTGGACCCACGCGAAAGTTATTGTCTAGGCTAACGCAGTCAGCGGTTGATTCAGTCGATCGGAAGCATTATGATTAAGTACTTTAAAAGGTGAAAATAAAAATTACCATAAACAGCAATCCTAAGAACTAATTTTCCAAGTTTCTAAAATTCAAACTTTTCAGGGGAAGCACGTCCCCTGACCCGCGAGCACCTCCCCCCACCATTTTTCTCTTTTCCGTCCTTAGCCATTCCACTTGGTTGGTTATGGGAACATTTTCTTTCGCACCTAACTTTTTGTGGATGTTTTTCTCTGCTTGTTTGTTCGTTGTTAATGTGGCTGTTTTTTCTTCACGTTGAGGGAGATTTTCTGCGCCGACTTAGCTTGAATAGTAAACTACGTTGGTTTTCAAAACAGAAAAAATAAATAAAACAAGGATTCGATTACTGGCATCTCAAACATAGGACTCAACCCGACGCTTAAATAGGGTGATGCTCTTAATAGATAGCAGTCTTTGCGGAAATCAATTCCAGAACGGACAGGATCAAGATGAATTTCTTCAACATTTTATTTGCGTTTGGTAAGTTAGTTCACCTTTGGAAACAACTTCCAAAGAGTCATGGTCGTGTTGCGTTTTTAGCTGCAAAGCATTCGCAGATTTGGCATGTAATTCAAACACTGAGAGGCTATTTTTGCCTGCAAGCGTGAAGAGTATATTTGCATTCGAATTTTCATTGTGATATTTGTTTCATCCGAATAAGTAATGATGTTGACTTCTATGCAGTCTTTCCGATGATTTCATTAGTTTTGACGGCTTCGTTTCTTGTTTTTCTATCGATTTTTAGTTTTCTTCACCAGAATATCTATAATGTTCGTCGCATTGTATTTTTTGCTAACTGGCTTGTTGCGTATTTCACTCATAATACTGGCAAAGTTCCTGTTGTCGATCCGCCAGAATTTCAACATTTTTCTTTATTACTGATAAACATTCTCAGACCTTTCTTGGAGCTACGAAGATTATGTAAATCGGAGTAATTCTTCTCCTTTGTTTTTGGTAAGTGATGTCAAAGGAACGAATGTTAAACGCGCATGTTTGGAGAATCATTTCGCTCGTTTTTACTTCAAGTTATTTTGAACACGTATGTACTTAATTTTCTACAAAATGTCACTGTCTCGGATCTTTAAATTGTTGATGAAATTAACTGAAGTAATGGTACCTTTGCAAAGCGTAGAGTATTTTTTTTCCTAAGAATCATTGAGCGTCACTTCTTTCTGCTATGAATGAAAACTAAAAAAAAGCTACCGTCTTGTACACCTCATGGTGGATTCCACTTCAGTCCGTGTTCCTGGCAGCAACAACAATTCAAACTTAAACTGCAGTTTTCCGTTATCAGCCTCTCAGGAAATGAGCATCTACGAAATTAGAGGCTTTATAGTTTTTCAATGAAGAGTTCTCTTCCTACGAAAGGTCATATATATGCAGTGTTCACTTCGAAATCGTTCCATATTTTCTCGGCAAAAGTCTCTTCGAAAGGTGACACCAGCCCGAGAAAGATCCCTTGCTGGCCATGAAGAGGAGACAATACTCGAAAAGAATGAGGGAAAAGAGCCAATCTATGCAGAGGAGAACTGAGTCAGTATTGTTAACTCAGTTAACTGAACTAGTTAAGTCGCTCGAAAGTCATCTCGCTAGTAGTTTGGTCACCCGAAACTAGATTTATTTCACCCGAGAATTTTGGATCAGGCTTACAGACTTAAACTTGGCAATAAAGTTGACCCGAGTATTTTGGATCAGGCTTACAGAATTACTTGCCCATAAAGTTGAGAAATCTCTATCACTTAACTAGCGGTTTCTGTATGTGACAACAAATCCGTTGTTGGTTGTACTATACGACACCAGAGAACCGAAGGTTGCATCGAGCGCGACCTTAATATCATGTGATCTATAAAGACATAATCTGCAAAGAGAACGATCAGGTTTCATACGAAGTAGAATTAAATCAACATAAAAATGCCTGTCAGATTATGTTAAGCCTCCAATGCAGGCGTCTTATTAGGACTCATGAACGCCACAAGCTAGGCTAGATTATGACCTGAGTCTCACCAGAGCGAAGTAAAATATTTTCTAATTTCTCGCAAGTCAAAAGTTGAAAATTTTCGTATTTTCCAAATTCTGGCGGCGGTCGCATCAAACTAGGGCTCTTTGACCTTTACTTTATTTATTTTGATCGATTCATACGTCAATCACAAACCCATCTCTCTCTTAAAATTATTCGGAGAAAAACAGGAAGTCCGACGAAGTATTAACCGAAGGCTCCTTGAAACCAACTGATACCTTACGCAATGCCGTCGCCATTTGGTTACAAGGCGCACCGCTTTTACGAGGAAAATCTGTTCTCTCGTGCGAATTTGATGTCAAACTCGGGGCGCATTTTATCAAGGTGAAACTAATCAAAAAGGCTAAATTTCCTCACTTACATTTAGTTATTTTAAGTACTCAAAGCATTGACTGTAGATTGATGGTAATGGTAACTTTCTTTATACACGGTAAATCCTTCAGCAAATACTATAAAATATAAGAGCAATTAATTATCCCTAACTAAACTAACTAACCTTAAATACATAGTAAAAGCTGCTTTACAGGGTTGTTAAGTTTAAAATCATGTAAAAGATGTTGCTGCACGAAGGTCACTAGATAGGCTGTTCCACAACCTGGCTCTGCTGTACGAGAAACTCTTCTTCAAATAATTGGTGTGGGGCAGCGGAAGAGTCAATTTATTTTCAGTATTCCTTAATCGATATCATATTATGTCGTTGCGAAACACAAATCTAGAACTCAGATACTCAGGGGTCATCCCATGTAAAGATTTATTCATCCTAACAGCAGCTGATTCAAATCTTAGCTATTTGAGTTTGCGGCCACCCAGTACCCGGAACAATGTATCGATATCAGAGTCATAATTGGCACACATTAAAATACGTGCTGCACGATTTTGGAGCTTCTGAAGCTTTTCGGAGAGACCACTGCCACGGTTGCCCCAGACAGCACTACAATAACTAAAATATGGCTGAACTAGGCTATCGTATACATTAATTAATGTATTAAAGGGTATAAGATGTCGTATTCGCTTGATTGCGCCCAATGCAGAGGTAATATTTTTGCAAATGTTCTGTATATGACATTCCCAGTTCATATTTTGATCGATGGGCACACCAAGGGATTTTGTAGATGACACCTGCTTCACTGGATGGTCATTTATACTGAAAGAAGGAATTTAAGGAAATGTTGATAACTTCCAGCAGAAATGACTTTCGTGCAACTGAAAAGAGCAGGGTTGGACCTTAAAAGGAACTGTTCAATTCAATTCTGTCTCCTCTTATATCCTTCGCGTTCGCTCTCTGTTTGAGTCTGTTGCGAACTCGTTGTGCATGAAGTCTTCATCGCCGTTTACTTCTTTATTGTCACTTTTTTGCCACACCACCTCGTCTTCAGATTCCATTGAGAGCATTGTTAATGCTACAGGACTTGAAGGACTGCATGATCGACTCCACCGAAATTTCCTTCCGTGTCCAGTTTATCCACTGTTCCTTGCCGAGAGGGCACTTTTTCACCGATGGAGGGTAAAAAACGGATCGTTTCCCATTCTCGCCTGATACGGGTTTAGACCTTTTTCTCGAGTGGTTTGCTGATACACTTATCAAGGGGCTAGGAGAGGCCGCCAGGAATCACAGGAACATCGACCTTTCGTCGCACTGACAAATCTTACACGGTTTCGGTCAAATGGTCACAGAAGGAATCCTCTGCTGAAAATCTCGTATTCTAGCAAATCCACTATTTCGCAGCTCAGATTGAAAATGAAATTGACAATAAGAGTTGTTGAAAAAGCTGATGTATCCAAAATTTTTCTGAAAAGTGCGGCCATTGTTTTAGAATCCGAAACACCGATGCGATTGTAAACAACTCCGCTGAAAACCAGATGCACGGTAACGTGAGACTTGGCTATCTCCTCTCAAAATGGCGTAATGCACCCTTAACAGAAAGAGTTCAAAACAACGTTTATTCGAAATTTTGATAAATTTCGGTGTCTTGGTAACCAACCGCTCAATAAAGGGTTACCGCTGAATACGGTGCCGCTAAAGTCAGGTTTGACTGCTGTGTTACTGGCGTCATACCATGAGGTAGTCAAAGGCTCCTTGGCGCTACCTCATGCACAGGGTTTCAACATTCAAACGTGCCCTTTAGATGACCGGTTGATCAATAACTCTGATCTAAAAGCGTCATCCGCAGAACTAAAAAGAAACGATACAAAAAGGCGTGTTTCTTGAAATTGTACACCAGCATAAGGCGTGATTTGCCTTTTCAAGAACCCTGAAATAAACGTGACCTGTGAATTTTTTCTTGCATTTCCTGAAACTCAAGATTTCCCTGAACCTTTGTGCTTAAGTACAGAGATTTGGAGATTTCACCGCTGACCGCTGATCACTGACCGCGTGACGCGTGAACTTTTTTTAGAAAGCAGTAGACACAAAAAAATTTCCAAAAGTAAACAATTGAATAACTCAGCAAACAATCATCCTATGGGTAAACAACTGGAAAAAACCCGCCTTACGAATTCAGGAATTTTCGATTTTCGTTCCCGTTGGGTTAGCAAATAATTTGCTGAGGAATGCCAGCAATGGCGTCCTCGCAGCGAAATGTAAACAATTTCGAGTCGGATTTTCCGTTTTTAGCGATTGAGTTAGATCAAAGTGAAAACCGAAGTTTCGAACTTCATGTGAGGCCTAGTGAAATTTGACAATTCCATGGCCCGCTAAATATTATATTTAAATGAAGATATGTCAGAAATGTATTTTTTTAATAGAAGCGTACAACTTTCAGAATTTTCAACAAGAGGCTAGCAACTTCTGGCTGTGAGGTCAAGTAAGTAACGATCTGTGCATGGTGAATCACGAGATAATTTCACACACTAGAAATATTTGCACGTATACTCTGAAACACGATCCGATTCACTCACGAGCGAAAAATTCGGCGATTTTTATCTTTTTATCTTGATTTCTGAGTAAACTTTAGACGTATCTATCGTTTTGATCATTGAAAATAAGTTATTTAAATGGTCTATTTTCATTGGAGCATTTAGTTGGGAAAGGTAATTTGTAAAAATTTGCTGTGCATTACGTTTACCGGTTTCTCCAAAATTTTAACATATCCATAGGCCCGCAAAATACTCAGTGTCAATTTGCCAATGAAACTCAAAGTTTGACAGGCATGGAAAGAAGTGGAAAAACTTAAGACAGTTTGAAGGACGAGGAAAGTCAATCACAACCTTTGCGAGATTCGATTTCAGTTTCATATCTGAAAGATCACTTTACATGTGTAGTTGCAGTGACAAGTGGTGGTATTAGCACACTGTTTTATCCGCCACAAATATAACACTGAAATATCATGATATTAAAAAATGTCTTCTCAACAAAGTAATGAAGTGTGGATGATATTGAAAGATTGTGAAAATAATGCTATTAGTACATGGTAACGACTGAAGTTCCAGCATGTGCTGCTCAAAATGGGTTACAGTTTCGAGCAAAACCTCCTATTTTTGATGTACAGCTACTATTAAAATTACTTTTTGTGCCTGGTCTCACAAGGCATTTGCAACCCCCATCCCCCCCCCACATCCTTCCCCCTCCACCATCAAAATCTACAAACATCTGTACCACTATTTCATTTATTTGGACCCCATACAAAAGTTTCTATTCGATTGTAAATTCCATCGAGAATTATTTATGAGGTTTTGAAATCTTCAATACCATATTTAAAAGGCCACTGAATGTAGTTTACACAGTGGTAATGCTTCCTCTGACCAACTCAACTATTGTGGTTGACGAGCATCTAGCGAACGCACCGGTAAGTTTTCAAATTTCAATTGCTTAGCCAGTGGTGTCTGAAATACATGAAGAACTGACTTAAATGACAGTACTGTACAACGATAACAAGGCAAGTAAATGAAAATCGAGCAAAGAAAAGATAACAAGAACATACCTGACAATTAGGATGCTTGTGTGAAACGACGCACAGACACTCTATAGAAAAATTTGACCAATTGGCGCGAAGCTTTTTCAATATGCAAATATTGCGCGAAGATTGGAAACTAGAAAACCGCTGAAAGACCCATTTTGAACACTGGTGAAATGTAGCTACAGGGGTTAGGGAGAATTCGAGAAAGTTATGGAAACCCATAATTTTTGTTTCGTATTTAATTTTATACAGTTTTCCTCGTCGGAAGCGATCCCACCTTATCTGACATGGGCCACTGTACTAACATGGAGTACTTGTGCAGAGATCGTAAATGCGAGAATGCTTTTGCTAAAGCATTTCAGAAAGACCCAAAGGCCGATTGTAGGTAGGTGGATTTAAAGAGTGGCGGTTCTAAAGATGTTTGTATGCAGAATACCAAACAGCTGTTGCGGCAAATCTGTTGAGCTAGGAGTAGCATTTTTTCCCAGGTCTGATTCATTTCAGTAGTTTGTTAGTTCCAATTTGCTTCACTCTTCTCTATCCTCGGCCATCCTGATTTATTTTGGTTGGTTATTGTCTTATTTAAGTTTTCCTTTTTCACCCGGCTGTTTTCCTCTCTTTCTTTCCTTCTTTCTTTTTTTTCTTTTTGGAATTGAAGACAGTCTTCCGTGCCGCAAAAAATATATGAAAACATCACAGCTCGACCTTTGACCATTATGGTTTTTGTCTTGTCCCTACAGCGCGATGTTCAGCAAAATGAAAGATTGCAAGGTCGATGTGATGAAATTTTGTGTGAAAGACCAAATGACCGAAAGCCAAATCAAAGACAACATTGACGCCAGCCTGAAGAAAGAAAACTTGTGTGACCAAGATTATGCGGAACTCTCTACCTTGTCACCAAGCAGTATTCCTTGTTCCGCATCATATAACAATGGTGCACAAAACTGCAGGCGATCCTTTCGACAAAAATTTATGAAGGACAAATCAGATCCCGCTCTTTGCTCGTAAGTTTAATGAACATGCCTTTTATATCGTTGATTGGAAGTGGAGTGAAATGGGAAGGGGGAGGGGGGGATGGGGATAAATGTAACCCAATGTTAGTTTTTATGGCTTTCTTATCCTTGCTTGAAACAGGAGCGATTTAGGTTGAACCCGAATTCACACCAACTAAGCAAAACACAGAATACCTTTCGAACCGGGTAAAACACACTGCTTTTTTACACAATTTTCAGATTTGAGTCCGTCGTGTTAAACCCTTTCTTTCGACCCTTGGGCCGAACACTTTCCTCTCTTTAAAGAAGCCAGCGCGCTTAACAGTGTGCCACCACTTTACTCTTTAGAAGGCTTTAACTTTTTTAAGAAATCTTTGTGAATAATTTATTTATCAGAGAATATGCCGAAACAAAGAAGTGTTTAAGGGACCTGGTCGATTCTGAATGCAACTACTCAGGCGAAAGCAAGAAAATGGTGGACTTTAATCTTGATGTCTACAATCCTTTCTGCGCGGACAATCGGGACCCTGGGGCGACCAAAAATGATTCTTGTTATGGCGTGCTGGATAATGCTAGCGGAACCAAGCCTAGCATATTCCTGACACTGATGTTTGCTATCTTTCCGTTTTTGTTCCTCTTTAAAGTTTAAAAGGCTTAGGCATCTTGTTTATCTTGATTTACAATAGAGTTTCTACTCTTATGGGTTTAGCTTGAAAAAATACCAAATAAACAAACAAAAATCAACAACAATGAAGTAGCTTTTTTAACATGATCAAAGTAGTGCAGTTCACGTTAAAATCTGAATTAGCAACAGTTCTAAAAGTTGTTTCAGTAAAATTTTTGCTTTCATGTTTTGTTATCTTTCATTTTTCTCAAATAATAAATCATCATTTATCGAAGGGCTTCTGGCGAAACAAATATCAAAGGGTTTGTTTTGTGATTATTTGAGTTAAAATTGGCAACTTTTGTTAAAGGCATGTTTAATTTGATTAAAGATCTCTTCTGTGAGAATTATACTTCTGTGTACAAGTTCACATCTCTGTGTTATCTGTAGCAAAGGTCCAGCGTAAGTGATTGCACCAAAACACACGAGTCCAACAGTTATGATACCCACAGTAAGGCCTTATTTTTAACCGTCCACCGTCAAAGCTGAAAATCGTTTCCTTATACAGTGGCTAAATGCATACGGTTATTGAATCATTTGTTTTGACTTATCGAACTAAAGGCTTACAGTATGAGTTATAAAATCATACTGAAACACTCAGCGTAATCAAGGGAAGGGGTCCATGCTGATGGATGATACGACCGAGTTCGAAGAGTGCTTGCTCGAAACTGAAGTTGATACCCTTCTTCCGTTATGTCATCCGTCATTTTGAATTGTTATGCAGATTAACGACGGACTTTCGGCCCCAGACTTCAGTTATTTTCTCCCCATATCCCGTTTCTCCTGTCGCGTTACTCTTTCTCCTTCCCCTTTTCTGTTCCCGATTCTCTGTTGTCTTGTTCTCCATTCTCCGTTCTCCGTTCTCCGTTTTCCGTTCTCCGTTCTCCGATCTCCCGTATACTGTTCATAAGTCACCTTATATGGAAAATAATTCATCCAAGTGTTGCTCAGCTGAATTTGGCTTTTTGGCTGAAAGTGGTCACTAAGGTAAAAGGAATACTGGACAATGTCAGCTTGGTATCGATAATAAAAGTCGTAGAGTAAGAAATGACACTTCTTATAGTTGACAAAAAAGTAAAGCCACAATAGACGAACAGCCGATTGACCTTAAAAATTTCAGCATGGCACAGAATGCCTACTGTTCTCGAGATTTTTACTTGCATTACCGAAAAAAATATAGATCTGTAATATTGGTCGAGAATTTGTGCTCCTTCCTCCACAGGGAATATTGCGCGAGAGTTACTGTTGTTGTTATTGTTTCGTTTTAGCACACATCTTCCTGAAAGTCTTTGAAGCTGGCGCTTCAAAATTCTTGAGCTTACCAAAGGCGATTTGCTACGAAAGCCGAAAAGGGACAATCCGAAAATATTTTGCAACTTCAAAAAAAATATTTAGAATCGATATCTTTTTTAGATAACTCACTCTTGAAAATTTTGTAAAATCGAGAAAACAATTTTAAATTCTGGTTTAATTCACAGATCTACAAATAACTTTTATGAAAATCGAAAATAGTTCACAATCCAAGAATCTTTTCAAAATCCAGAACATTTTCGAAAATCGAGAAAAATATTGTGCCACCTGACACTTGCACCAGTAGTCAGCACTTTGTCACGATACACACATCGTGCCGCACTAGGTTGCTCTAGGTCGACTGCAAACTACGTCTCATTTGCATTGAGTTTGCTTGGGCATCTTCAGTGAGGAAACGAGGAGGTTATGAAAGCTCCCCGGGTGGGAAAAAAATAAATAACAATAATTAGAACAAACAAAACCAAAGGGTCTTACTACAACTAAATATCAATCAAAAAATAGTCAGGCGCAGCAAGGAGGCGTGGGGCTAATACGTTATTCTCCAGAAATCTGAAAAATGATCGGCATCATAAATGAATCTTTTCAAGCGGGTTGCGGGTTTGGAAATTGTGTTACGGGATGGGAATATGCTGGAGTTCCTGTTGCCCCAATCATCCCTTATAGAGTTGTCGATTGACACAATTTATGCAAAACCAGGGCAAACGAACGATAACAATTCGAACGATTAAGATCACCACCATCGGATACACGACCATCTGGATCATCTTGATTGCTACGAACTTTAATGTGGCCATTATTTGACACTAACCAAAAGACCGTCCGTATGTGAACTTCCCAAATCGGTTGCATGGAAGACGATCCTTCCTTGTGCGTTTTTTTTTTTTCTTTTCTTTTTTTTTGTGGCTAAAGTGGTATGTAAGGCATAATCGCTGAATAACAAAACAAATTAAATAGAAAATAAGAAGAAAAAGGAAACAAGGAAAGACTCTACGAGGTTTCTGCTATCGGTGGATCAAGTATTTCGAAGTATTCAAGAAATGAATTAATATTTTCCATGCAAAAAATGCTTGTGAACAGAACCCTTGAATGACAGCTGATTCAAAGAGCTGTAAGTGAGATTCTCACGTCGCTGAGCAGTCCGTGTCTTCTTCATCCGTAAACCATTGCAATTCCATTTTGATTGATTCTTGCCTCTTAGTTTAAGTGTGTGTTCTCCCGTAAGCTTTCAGTTACCCCCCAAAAACTCAAAATATCCCAAGGTTTTGCTAATGATAATAATAATGGAGGACTCCTTTAGCGCCATATCCATGGCTCAAGGCGCTTTACGACACTTTACGGAAGAATTTGGCCTGACTGCAGTTGACAAATTGTTAAGAAAATTTTGGAAGATGCCCTCATCAACTTCCTGATCAAGGCCAGACCACAACAACGGGAACTGCGTTCCCTACTCTTCGCTTGAATCGCGTGAGTTCTTTAACGTCTCCTGCTAATCACTGCCGAGAAGACGCAGAAGACGGGACCTGTGGTTTATCATCCTCGTCCGAGAGGACCATATCTCTAACCTTTTTGCAGGTGTCATAGCAAAGACACCAAAATTTTCATTAGTTATATTAAGACCCTGAGCGTGTTGGTCCAGTCTGGGACTTGAAACCTTGACCTTCAGCGCGGCAGTACGGTGCTCTACATCATGAACTCACTGAGTACAGTCGGTTGGTAGATGCGTAACAAGCAGAGTCTTTCTGAGGTGAAGTTGAGACCCCCGTTATTTTTCCTTACAGTTTTAACTGTTTTCCTCGTGATTTCATTTCGACAAACACCTTTTTTATCCTTGGAAACAAAAGGTTGTCTACGTTTTGACGTAATATAAACCTGTAGGTTTTCGCCGTGGAAAAGCGCTTGTAAACGAAAACAATCGTAGCAACTATTGGACATTTCAAAATTGTTGTTTTATTCCCTTTTTTTTTCTTAGGTTAGGGTTTCTTCATCAAATTTCATATGCTTCGCGCCAACTTAGCGCGAAAGTCTGCGGACATTTCATGTAGAGGACAAAATTCACAAAGACTAAAATTCTATGTACAGCATTCGCTATATTGAATAATTGTTTGCTTGTTTGTTTTTCATGGTTTCTTGGCCCGCCATGGCTGACTGTAAAGTTCGGGGACGAAGAGGCATGGTCGAACAGGATTTTGGAAAACTTTCGGCATCAAAAATCCAACAGCTTTAAATAAATGCATGTTTCGACAGAAGAAGAAGAATAATTCAATAATTTTAAATACAAATAACTGTTAAGAATGACCTATTTTAAATAATATGACGTCTTGTTCTGGTAACAAGGGGGAAGAGAATTCAAATTGATACCTATAAACTAGATTTGGTAAAGGGAACGAGAAATGTTTTGACTGTCATCTTAGTGATGGCTGCTTTAACACAAACTCCGTGACTTTCTCCAGTAGTTCTATTATGGGACTTGTCAAGGGAAACTTGGTGGAAAGTTTCTTCTTTACCACTGGCTTTCTAATGTAATATCTGCAACATTTAAAAGACGAGATAAAAAAAAAAAATTATTATGGCAAAAATTCACAAGGGATTTGAAGATTCCCCTCACTGTTATGCCTTGTCCTTTGCGCCACCTGATCAATAACTCTACTCATTAATTCATTTAACAGCCTGCATAACTTTGGTTTGTTTTGTTTTGTTTCAGGTTCAATTTTTGTTTTCTTTTTTACGGTTATTTTTCAACCAAAGACAATGAAGTGAGTTTTTGATACCTTCCGTTCTGTTAGGTCCTTTCCGACAAAATCCTATGATAATTCCCCTTCCCTCTTCTGTACGCTCTTGAAATTTATATACCCCTTTGGTTATCTTATAGCGCGTATTATAACATAGCTAGTAAATTTGTCTAGTCAAATTCAATTGCGCGAGCGTGCTTCATATTCCTATTGTGCACGCTCATGACGTCAGCAAACAAATCCATCGGGTTGAAAATGTTATAAAGAAATTGGTTCATACGTCAGCGTGCGTTCATCGAGATATGAGGCACTTGGGAAGTTTAGAGAGCACGAAGGATGCGTAAGAGTTGCTCGATGAACGTACGCTGACGTTTGAACCAATTGCTAACCTTAAGCCATTAAATATTGCAATTGCATGACCAGTAAATATGATTCCTCAGTTTTGCTTTGCGCATCCTTACTGCGCATAAAAATCTCGTAGTCAGCCAAATAATCGCGCGCGCATCCCGAGGACACGTTATTGTTCTTCAGTTAATGTACTAGGAAAAGAGATAGATGGTCTTAAGCTCTTGAATGAGCACGGGGACCCATAATTTCTATTACATAAATTTAGTGTGTATATTATCCCCTTTAAATAGAAAAATTAGGACCTTAAAAGCAACAACTTAAGGAACTTTTTGAGTCGATGTGGTTCAAAATTGCGCGATTATTCCACAAATTATTCATCAAATTACTCCATATGCTTTAGAGTTTCTACCTATCCAGCTATTTTTAAGTATTACTCTAAAACTCTTGCTTTTCAGCTGCAGCAAAATTTATCGTAACCGATGAAATGACGCGCGTGATTAGTGCCAGGGACAGGCATAAATGGGGTACGTTTGGCCCATTATATCTCTTAAACAGGCATGGTGACCTATCTTTTTTTACTGTATAGCTTCAAAACACATATTGGTGGGGAACATGCAAGAAAACTTAAAAAAAAAAAAAAAAAAGTTCAATGACTTTTTTTTTTTTTTTTTCTGAGGAATAACCTTAAACGGAAAGATGTTACGTAAACTGTCGCCTGTTTATGCTAAATACTCAAAAAAAAAAAAAGCCCTTTCAACAAAAATATCCAAAGAAAACTTGCTGGAGCAGAAATCAAAAGCAGAACCAACTGCACTAACAGACTACAAGAAGTCCCTGCTTTTTGGCGAAGTCTGTCCCGCAAGAAAAAAAAAAAAAAAAAACATTCAGAGTTTCGCGTGCCAATTCTCTTGAGGATTTCTTTTTTTCTTTCTTTTTTCTATTTTTTTTTCCACTGGCGCTACGGACTTCACTGAAAAGAAGAAAGTACTCGTTGTCCATTACACTAAATATCATACCTAAATTCTTCTGCGTATCCAACTCGGATTTGATTCGCAACCACTGTACCATATTCGAGAAAGTTTTTAAGAACGTAAAGTTGTCGATAAAGAAGAACAGCATCAGCGGGAGACAGATATCGACCGGAAGATAATACTAATGACGTTAGACGTTCCATGACCCTTTGCACAAAACATGTCTGAAAAGAGAAGCAAAAAATATCAAACTTTGATTGCGACCCGCTGCCGTTGTCGTCGGGTAGGCCGCTTTTAAGATTTCTTAACTCTCTATCCCTCGATGACTAACAACTCCTTTTCCTTACATTATCACTGCTGAATCAAATATTAAGGTCATGAAAATAAATGAAAAGATCACCGACTACAGAAGCGCTTGATTGCTAAACAAATTCTCCTTATCAATACCATGAGAAATGTATAGAGAAGTTTATGGAGAATATGCAGACTGATGTTAGGATGTAAAATTTTCAGGGGGATTAAGATTCACACTAATCAAAAGGCGTTTGTAAAGATCCACTAGAGTTCTATCACTAGTTCTGTCATCTGATTGGCTAATTGAACCTAATCGCTCCTAGCATACAATGTGCACTTGTAAACAAAATCGAAATAAAAAAAACAACAACAACAACAACAACACAAAAACTTTTTCGTTTAACTTAAGAGATTTGGTAGACTAGAACAATCTCTTAACAATCAGGCGATGGAAAAATTGAGTTCATAATCTAATTGTTCGGTAAAATCGGCCATGGTCGTGTTGTATTCGGACTTTCAGTTATGATAAGTCGTGTTCTGTTTGGAAACACACCGTGTTAGGTTTGGTTGGGGATTCAACGTTTCCACAAAAAGGCACAAAAATTTAGTTGAAATAACCTACGAGCAGGCCCTCATAACAAGCGCATGGCCACGAGCTGGAAACAATAACCTTGAGCAATGTGGGCCGATTAGAGGTCTGAAAGGAGCCTGGCATTGATTATTAGCACCAGACCCCCAGCGAATCTCCCCCCGACTTGGCTAAAACCTTACCGGTGGTGGAGAAAATAGCGTCTTGCAGAGCACGTTATGAGCGCCTGCTCGTAGGCTTAAGTTGAAACGATTCTTGTACACGAAATGACCAGAGGATTAAAGTTTGGAACAGCAGGCGCTGCATGGCAATCCCCAATGACAGACTTAAAAGAGGGAAAACTGATTTTTGCAAGTTCTGAATGCAATCGGTACGAGATTAGGGAAGTGTGTCCACCCATCTTGAAACAAATTGAACTTGAATTAACTTTAAAATATTTGGTTAATGATTATGTCAAGTTTATTTCAGTTTGTATGAAAAAACCCCTGATGATGCTTGGGATGAGCAATCTTTGCTGCATGTATGTAGTTGCGATTTATATAAAGAATTTTTCCTGCAAATTTGAAATAAAGAGCTCATGCATAACAAAAACAAATAGAATTATCGAATCATCTGACCACTTCATATGTAAAAGTAATTTTTTGTAAGACCTTGTCAAATACTTACAGTTTGTTCTTGGGTTTCGACAATCTTCATGAGCCAATAAATGTTTAGAACATTGTCTTCTACTGAAAAGCAGTTGGCCTGAAAAAGACAAAAACAAAACAAACAAACAAACATCAATAATTAGAAAGTTAATGATACACTCTCAATCCAGTTACTAGCCACCGCCCATGTTACCCGTTAAACCCTAAGAGTGACCAGCATCAAATTTCTCCCCACAATATCACCCCTGAATCACACGTTAAGGTCATGAGAATAAAGGTAATGATCACAAACGAAAGAAGTTTCTGATTGATAAACAAATTCTCTTTGTCAGCATCTTAGGAAATGTATAGAGAGCCGTATGGAGAATATGCATACTGTAAAAGGTTAAGGAAAATTTTCAGTAGAATGTCAAAAGTAATTCAGGCTTACTCTAGTGATGCTTTACTGCGCTCTGGTCAAGACAACTCGCATCAGTCTCTCAGCCAATCAGACAACTCGCATCAGTCTCTCAACCAATCAGAAGAAAAACTATAACTAATCTCGACTTGGCCGCTCGCGTTTTCTGAGCTTCAAGTAAGAAGCAAAAAAAATGATAAACGACGTTTCACCAAATCAACAAAATATGATATGCAAGCCTAACCTGGCGTACAGCACACATCAGCTCAAACAGAAGCGAAGTAGCATTGTCCAGAACCTCTTTCAATAATTTGTCAGTCTAAAAAGCAACGGCAAGTATACATTATTTATACAAGCAGGGGTTTCATGACTGGGCATCCTAACGAGAATTTTCTGACAAAAACTAAACACTAAGCGTAGATTCCTTTATGTTCCATGCGAAAGTAGGCAAGTACCGACACTTGTGTATGTGGAGGTCCCACCTTCTATTGAAAACCCAGGAAGAGTCTACACAGAACATCACTATCAATGGAACCCGAGATAGCCAGAGTACTACACAAAACTTAGACCCTGATAAAGAATTTCTAATAAGGAGCTCTTTTCGATTGGGTGGTCGAATCGAGGGAGCAGTAATGCCATACTATGATCTGATTTTCTTTTAAACTTAATAACCACTAAGTTCACGAGTCACCAGGACGCGCTTCAGCAGTAGTAAACCCTGGTAAAGGCATTTGAAGACAAAAATCCTACCTCTTTTTCCCTATCTCCCACTGTAAACATGTTCCTGTCAGCTCCCGACAACAACAGCTGAGCTGCAGGAGAGATGCCAGCTGGTTGCTGTGATGTGGTTAGAGGATGAAGGACAATGCATTTCAGAAGCTCCTTTATGGCTTGTCCCCTATATAAAGAAAGCACTTCCGCTGAGTTAGTGTCTGACTATAAACAAAGCCGTTACATATGTGTAGAAATCCTACTTTGACACACTAAGATATACTTTTTTCTTCAATTGGTAAAATTGCAGTTCATCTGTGTGGATCATTTCTTTGCTTGATCACTATACATCCACAGATCACATGAGATTTATTTAATAATGCAAAACAAAAGTACGCGTATATTTTGGCTGGTTCTTTCAACTGTACTTCTGATCTATAGGAGGATAAACGCCTAGATGACGTCACCACTAACAATTTTTGGCTTCTTTGTAACAAACATTTCATTTTGCTGTGGGTCTGTACAGTAATACAAGTACAGATGACGTCAAAATGTGGTATTAACATCTCAAATACACTCGGCTGCAGTCACAAAAGGCATCATATTTCAGATTAGCTGAAAACGAGTGAATTTCTTGGGTAACACGAGTACGAAGTTGTAACACGATTAAAAAAATGTAAAACGAGTGAAAATATCAAATAGTGCGCGTTGCCAAAATTTCGTCCGTCTTGATTTTCTGTGATGCGTTTTTCATGTAGGTTATTAATAATTGACAACATAATTACTCGTGCAAATTGGTGTATGTAAGCCTTATACATTTTCAAAGACTACAAATTACATTCGCCCTACGGGCTCGCGCAATTTTGTTATTTTTGAAAAATTAACTCGATTTACTCGTGCTTACCAACACCAAATTGTACGAGAAATCTTGTTACTACCTATTCTTATTATTTGAAAAGTAGAATTATACACGAATAGATTCCATATTGCCGTGGGTATGTGCAGTAGCTTGCAACTTTTTTTGTTCTCACCAAAATTTGGTTGTCGTCTGTGATCTTCTACTGAAAAGACGAACGCCAACATGGAAGCTGTTTTGGATTATTGCATTAAATAAACAATAGCACCTATTTGGCGCGCAAATATGCACGGATATTTATCCAGGGTCACTAGCAGTTCCGAGATGCGAACCGTGAGCGTCGAGGAACAAATAATGTCCAAAGACGAATATAAAGGCATATTTTCGCGCAAACTAGAGGCTATCGTGTTTACCATCCTTCACGCGCGTGAAAAAGCGTTTAGAAACAGCCTACTGCATGCAGGGGAGGGATGTTTTCTTTTGGGTGTTCTCTGCTACAACTTTAACAACCAGAAAAGATTTACCTTCTTCTGTAACAACCGCAAAATCCTCTCTCATCCGTAGTGGACGTAAGGTTTGAAATTGGGGAATATCACTTGGGTAATAATCTCGCATATCACCCAATTTAGCTGGGGAATATTCGTTCACAGGATGCCCCTAAACCAATCACGCGTGAGCAAAAATATTTGATGGACCATAAACGTCGTTATACAGCAGTCACTTACACTTCAGATGCCGCAGCATCAACAACTTACTTGTGAGCTTTGATGACCATCAGTCGTGTAGAAAGAATGTCTGTCTCACGAAACAGACATACAAATGTCTGCAATAACACCACAACAAAGCTGCAAATGAACAAGAAAATTGTATCCAAACCAGGACGTACACAAGGTTTATTCCAGAGAGCGGAGTTGCATGATTTCAGCAAGTCAAGAAAAATTGCCGCATCTAATTTACCTCACAGCGTCAAATGGGGCGTAATTAATTGTGTCCATGGATAAGTACTCCTTTCACGCAGTATTTCCTTTTTTTTCCTTCGTTTTGGATGGAAAGTATTCGCAGGAATAACCGACGGCAAGATCAATATAATGGTTACTACATGTATATAAAACTCACTTCAAAATTGCTAGCTTTTAAAATCTCAACTGCCCTTATCGTTTTGCAGCTGTCTAAACTGTATGTGTAGATATGATTATACACATATACACATTTTTTTAGCTATCCTATATTGGAGCCTCTTTCTTACAAAGTAGCCCCCTGAAACTAAAAACTTAGGTCCACTGGGCCCTCTATGACTAGAATAAACCGTGAGTACAAAGCGCAATAATTCACCGGAAAAAAAAAATATCCGTTAATAAAGTTCATCCTTTGTTATAAGTGACTGAGTGGGAGGTCATGACTAACCGACCAAGCACAGCGAGGTTCCGGCGTCATGAAAGAGGGTCAAATACGATGATATACGGTCATATGATAAAAACACTTACTCAAGCTCATCCTCTCTGTTGCTTCCTTTCTTTCGTGATGATGAAGATTGGCTGCGGGATTGCGGCATATATCGCTGAAGCTGACTCACCATGAACAAAAAGAGATCTGGTGACTAAAAGTTGTAACGCATTCAATACTCGGCGGCAATAATGCAGATCAGATTTCGCAAAACAGAAGTGGCAAAAGGGGACATTATACTGCGAACGCCAAACAGAGAAGACGATTACAAATGTATGTGACACGTGGTAGAAATACGCGACAATGAAATTGCGTTATATCAAATCGCCATTTTGGATGCCAATCCAGTCATATAATAGGTTGATTTGTACTTTGTGGTACAAGATACTCTTCTGATTGATTGCATACCATAGTGCCTTCTTATACTACTAATAATGTACATGAAAAAAAATTCCACGCTTTTGATTGGCTGAAAACGAGTGCATTCTCATGTAAAACGAATGCAAAGTTGTAACACAAGTGCAAAGTTGTAGCACGAGCACAATTTACCAATAGCGCGCATGCTTTCAAAATTTCGTCTGTTTTGCTATTCTGCGATATTTTTTCATGTAAGTTATTGACAGGTAATAGCAAGATTTTTCTTGCAATTTGGTGTACTAAAAATTGCACTTACCCTACTGGCTTATGCAATTTTGTTGCCTTTATAAAAATTTACTTGTGCTTATTAACACTAAATTGCACTCGAAATCATGTTATTATCTATACTAACAGACAACAAAGTCAAAATTGGAAAAAAAACAGATCATCAACACTTTCATCATTGAAACCTACCTTCCAGAAGTATTTTTTTAAGTTGAAACTCTTTTCTGCTGCGGTCAAAAGTTCCTGAACAAGGATAAATGTCTTCTCCATGATATGAGACTGAAGGATTTCTGTCTTCAGCTGATTAAACAAGTGCAACAACTGTGAACTAAAATGAAAATGTGAATCAAAATTTTTGTGCAAAATTAAACTTTCACCACATTGTTATAAGCCTCAACTATTACATGTAGCTATTTTTAGCTTGCAGCGTAACACATGCTAACACAGAACTTATGAAATATTTTCTCTTAAGGTCACAGGGTATTCCAGCCAGGTGTTTTTATCATTTATCGACAGCAAATACCTCTTACTAACCAAGTTCAAGGTCTCTACTGAAAGTTTCTGACCAAGTTTCTTCAGCTCAGATATGAGACCCAAGCATGAAGCATGCAGGCATCAATTAGGAGAACCCATCTTCCAATAAGTAGCCCTACCTCACTTTCTTTTAGCCAAAATTTTAAAGCAGCACCTGGGTGCTTATATAAGGAAATACTGTAACAGTATTTGACAAACCTTCTGTCCCCACAATTTGAACTTTAGATAATTATTGACAGACAGCAATACAAGCTGTACTCACTTGTCAACTTTGTTAAATCCAGTTGGTGATGTTGGCGTGGAACTCCTTCGACCATGATGGAGTGTAGATTTCTAGACAGAGGGAAGCAATCAAGTGACAAATTCATGATTCCTAAGAGTGGCTAGCACCTAATTTCTCCATACAATTTAACCAACTGAATAAGGCATTAATGTCACTAGCTGATCACCAACAAAAGAAATGCTGGATTTTAAATTAATTTCTCCTTACCAACACCTTTGGAAATGTACAGAGAACAGTATGGAGAATATGCATACTGATGTTAGGTTGTAAAGGGTCAAAATTGATGACATAATAAGAGAGTAACACTTGTATTAAACTTAAATGTAGAAATATTTCATCATGTGGACTTACATGTAAGTTTCAACAACGAGATTTACAAGTTCTGTCCACTCATTGAAGCTGACAAACACAGAGCTGTCAACATTAAGCCTTTAGCCAACCAAAACCACAGACATGTGTGCAATTTTTAAATGGCTACTTTCACTTCATTTTATTTAAATCCCTGATAAAAATTTCCTCAAGTATTCCACATCTCTCAAAGAAATTTAAAAAGCAGTCATTTCCCAGTTTGGAGGAGAATGAAATAGAAAATTTACTAAAAGCAGGTTTACCAGTAGATGACTAAGAACCAAAACTATGTTCAGTTCAATATGCTTGAAGGTTCGCGTAACCTTTTAATAATCACTAGGACATTAAATTGAAGTTCCAACACTTGCACAAAACCCGACAAAACTGATGCTATACTTGGCTCCACAATAACCTGGTGGTCCTCAATCTCTTAATTGCCTCTTACTTCCAAACTTATAGTAAACCTAAATACAGTGCATATGGAGAGCCAATTTTTTGTGGCTCTTTCACATGAAGTTGGCTAATATGCCCAGTAGCTCAAACTATACTGATCTGACTGAGCACTGTAGAATTATCTCTGCTTAAACCTGGTTGTCGTATGTAGGATAAATCCCAGACAATTGGCGTTTTAACTGTTTCCCAACTGTCACAGAATTTTCAAACAAATGAAAACTTGATATGGCACAGATACTGACTGTCTGGGATGGTCAAACATCTCCCAGATTTGATCAGGGAATGATCATGATATTTGGAAACTTCAGTTTTTATTGTTGGAGAGGTTGGCAATAGTTTTACAGTACCACTCACATATGTGTTAACTGCACAGACAAACTTCATACACTCAGATGCAAGATAGTCAAATGCACATTTGCAATTTTTTTTAGCACTTGGAAAAAATGCGCAACTCTTATGTCTTTGTTTTTCAGTGCTGTAAGTTTTCTTTGTATTACATTGTTGTGTAAAATAAAGAACTTTTAGCTTTGAAAAAGCTATGAGTTGACAACAGAAAACTTGCATAATGAAAAAGGCTATCACTTTAAACTCACACATGTTGCATGACTTTGCAAAATTTATTGCATAACGAGCAGTGGCAGTAGATCTGCTTGATTTGAGTCGTTGATGAATCAGAAGGGAAGGAAAATGTCACTCCACAAGGTATCAAAACATCTGAAGTATTTAGTGAGTAATGAAGCAAATACTCACTAATAATTTTTTATGCTTCCCAATAGGCCATTTTACAGTTGTGTACTTAGTTGCCAAGCCTTTGATTTGGAGTGAGGCTGAAGGTGACCTTGTTGTGTTAGAGACCAGAATCTAGTTAGCATGATAACAAAGTAATTTGCATTTGAAAAGCAGCAAGGTTTGTATTATAACAAGGTCACCCTCAGCCTCACTCCTGTTCAAAGGCTTGGCAACCAAGCACACAACTGTAAAATGGACTATTCATTCATTGCAATCAGTCCTTTGGTAGCTTAGCTGCAGACTAGCCCTGAGTCACAATTAAAAAAAAAAACAAACATGCAAAAGAATGTGGTACAGACATCTGTTGATCTCCAGGTATGTCAGCAAAATCTGGGATGGTTAGGAAACAGTAAATTGTCAATCACCAGGAAATTTCTAGATTTTGTTCATCAGTACCTACATTGATAGCCCATGTAGTTGTAAATACACACAATACATGCCCGCATAGCTTACTAAAAGGAAAAAAAAAACTTACCAAAATGCAGTTGTTCCATGTGCTTTTAAGATGCATGTACATTGGTGATTTTTCAGAAAGGATATATAAATCCATTTCCATCAATTCAAAGTTGTTGCTAGAAGAATCATTGCTCTCATCATCAGAATAATAGTCCAATTCTCCCCCACTGTCCAAGGAACCATTACTGTCACTACCATAACGACTCCTTCCATAGGGGGAGCATGCCCTGTTTTGACCACTAGAATCCACTGACTTTTGTCTGTTAAAATTGTTTGATGTACACTGATATGAAATCTCAAGTTCACTACTGCTGGAGCTACAATTCAACTCATCATAGTCATTGCTAGGTTTCTTCTGCTGTGAAGCTGTCATTTTCTTTCTTCGCTGCTGACCAACATTTCCTGATCTCAGTCTTGCACCTGAGCTTGACTGCGTGATCACTGATTCATGACCTGGAGGAGGCGGTGGAAGAGGTCGTGTATTTCGGGGTGATGCAGAAACAGCACCAATATTATTAGTTGACCCTGAATACAATTTGCTGTGTTCATGCCTTGGATGTCGCAGATCAGGATCTGAAGCACTTAAATGAAGTCTGTTTGTCTGTACTGAAAGATGTTGTGTTGTGATTGGTTGACTTTCCACACGTCCCATTGATGTTTTAGATTTAAGGTTATCTCCCACTTGCGGTGTTGAATCTACTCTCAACACTGGAGATGTGCTGAGAATGGAAGAAGATTGGAGAGCTAACTTCAATGCTGAATTGTTTTCACTTGAAGGAATGGCTACTTCTTGGCTTGATGCTGTTTGCTTAAAAATCTTTTTATAAACTAACAGAATGTGCTGGTTCTTGGTCTTTAAATCTCCCCCAAGAAATTCTGCAACATCATGGATCTGAAAGAAAACCAATTTTGCATTGAAGAATAATCTTCATTTTACTCTTGGAAAAACCTGTTTCCTGACAAACAAGTTCAAGTACAGTGTTCTTTCATCATTTATTCCAAATAGCTCATGATACAATTTCTTTTTTAATTTAAAATTATACATAAGCATTGTTTCTATCTCATGATCTTCAATCATCTCTAGAGAAATTGGAAAAAAAAAATCCAATTCTGGATTTTTGGATGCATCTGGCCAATGAAAGACCCAGACCTAACAAAATGACCCACCCACAGCCTGGACCTACAATAGAGTCCAGCCCCCTTGCCAAATCCCTTAATCGTCTAAGGATCACCCATCAAAGTCCGTGTGAGCTTGAGAATTGTTTGTTTTGACAAGAAACATGGCACGAACTGAGACAGGAAACTATTACCATAAAATAATGAATTTTTGTTCTAGAAATTATACGAAAGACCTCATGCTAAACTATTTTGACTACATGTCCCAGGAGGTTTGGAGATTTAAACAATCAGCGAAATGTGCACACTGTGTTAATTATGATTTTACAATATTTGTGGATCATCAATCATTTAAAGCTGATATTTCAACACAGAATGAAGTCGTAAATATGTGCGCTTTAACCTTGGCCGATCTGAGAACATCAATTATTATTTAAATTTATTTGTCAAAAGGTACTTTATAACATTACACCTAACAGAGCGAAATCAAAATTAGGTCGATCGCTTGAACTTCAACACCATTAAGATTTTTACGAATCGCTCTTTTGTTGACTGAATACATTTCTGTGCTTGTTTTAGCGATATCGGGTAAGATATACAGGAGATCTCCGGAAGAAATTCATATTTATCAAATCCTGGTGTAGCAAATGAGCTTTACACTGCCGACACCTCCAAAAAATTAGCTGGAGAAATATTCCGGTTACATGTACCTAACAAAGCCGGTCCGTAACGATGATGACGGTTTGTCAAACGGTAGTTTTAGTAGGACTCACCAGCTCTACAGATGTAACGCAAGCTAAATCCACACGTAGTCTGATATCTTTCGAAGTCCTCGGAGGATTTTCAGTTATGTAAAGCATTTCGTCGCCGAGAACAGCGAACTGAAAAGTCTTCTTAAAACCATCTGCAACAACAACGCATGGTTCGATCACTCGAATACCTTCATAGCGATCTTGCGGCAGTACACGCTTCAAAAAGCTGTAAACTTTCTGGTGTCTCTGAGCTCCTTCTTCTAAAGTGGATCCTGCCATCGAAATCGCTTAAATGATACTAATATTGGCGGAGAAAAAGGCCACGGTTGACACCGCAAGCCCCTCCATAACTTTGCTGTTACGCGCGAGTTGTTTCTGTTTTGTTCACGAAGGCATTTACGTCACCCAAAAATTAACCAATAGGAAGACAGCTTTGTCAAAGTAACGCGTGCAAGATCTCGCGCGCGCTTTCTTCAAAGAAATCGATTCAAGGGTTTTGTTTACGTTATTCAAATGTGCTTTGGAACTAACCAGAAAAATATTAACGGAAAGGGGGTGAAAAAACCGATCTTGTAGTGAAAACGTGAAATTAAATAAATCCAAGCAGACAGTTTGTTGAACGCTGAAGTGTTAACCCACATTTATTCCACATGAAAAGTTTCTTAACGTTGGACTTGGCACTGTCGATGCAAACATATATATATTTTTTTTTTTTTTTTTTTTTCGCTTTTCCGTTTTCTCAATGGTTCCTTTGTTCAAATGTTGATAGCTAGAATTTTCGAGAAATTTTAGGGCGGACTTCTTTCATTGTCTACGACTTAACAAGAACACCTGTCTAGAAAATTTTTAATGGCGCGTTACTCAAAATGTTATCCTCTGAAACTGAGTGATCAACACGTTTTCAGTGCTTAGGTAAAACGTGAACATTAATTGAAGACTACACTTAATCCAGAAATCCTGCACGTGTAAGAGGAACGCGTCGCAAGTGTACTGTAAATGGACCTTTCCGCAAAAATTAAAGTGCACGAGGGAATCTTGAATCATAATTTATCATATGAATTAGAATTTAAAATATCGTTCCAGGGATAGCGGACGAAAATAAATTCACTGACGTTAATAAATGTGCCCCCGAGGCTGATAAAGCCATTTTTTAACAAACATGTTTTTCTCTTGTTATTTTCGTTGCCAAGATTCAATCAGTGATATCAGTTATATTTTTGGCAAAACGGTTTTGGATGCATTTAGGTAAGTTACGATGCTCTAAGTTAATCAAAGTAGCCGAAACAAAATGCATTTGCTTTCGCTCATTAAACGTCTGGGAGGAAAAAAAAAAAAAGGCAGTGATACACTAAACCTGCATTTATTATGAGGAGTTTTCCACGAAGTTTTACTTGGCAATGTAGGGGAAAAACGATTATTTTTCTTTTGGTTTATTTTTTCCTTTCCTTCTCTCGCTTCTGTATTGTTTCGACGAGTTCCCTTGTCCAAGGGCGGGTTTTTTTCATCGCCAGTAACTTCACACCAACACCAGTTTAGGAAATGGCATGGGCAATGCATAGAGTCGCAATGGGGTGACGTTTTTTACGACTAAAAGTTTAAATGTTGGCAATTTTACGGCTACCGGTTAGTTTATTTCCGTAACGTTTGACAGAAATTTTTCTAAGGTTATTTTTTTTTTAAGAATACCGTTCAGAAATTGTCCACTGATTTTTATGCCTTACGGCTGAGTATTTCCTTTTTTTTTTTCGTTTTACGGCCAAAGGTTGAAGCAGGAAAATATAAGCAGTTTATGTTCTCTCATTGGGTTGAAATGATTCCTAAGGAAAAAAAAAATCATGAATATATATCCATCGATTTTTTTTAAAGTACCCTACCACTGTCTGTTTCGAAACCAGATTAAGAAAGAGAGGTCAAACTGCTTGGTAAAGAGATATGATGGGCCAATCTTAATTAACCCTTATATGCCTTGGCCTGTACTGGAGCTAATCACGCGCTACATTTCATGGGTTCACGTGCACAATACATTTTGAGGTAGCTGGAAGAGAGGGTTTTCAAATCAAAACTTAAAAAGAAAATAAAATGCCGCGGTGGATGTCTGGGTTCTAAGAATTGATTACAGACAGGTTAGTTCTGAGAAAAGCTTGACCTGTAACAACCCCAAATTAATTGCGAAACTCAGACAAGATTTTAGATAAAAAATTTCACGAAAGACCACTAGTGTCGTCAGAATGAACCCGCGACGTGGATTTCTGTGCGTAAAGAAAGATTAATTGGACGTCAAGAGGGCGCTCAGAAAAAGTGAGAGGATCCTCGCTCGCTATTTTAAGGGGATTAATTGGCCGGAAAAATTTCATGGAGTTGACCGAGACGTAGTTTGTGGGGTAAGAGCGATTTGGCGTCGCGAGTTTGCCATATCGGTAGAATCCGGGCGCCAGCATTAAGCCAGGTTGGTTCGCTAGTTTTTTCACGATAAACCGGGGCATTTCGGTCAGGTGTCAAGCTTCAAAGAGTTTTCTACCGAAGAGAAATTTTTGTAAAATCTTGATTTTGTACAGAGTTTTAGATACTGAGAGAAACTGGTACGATAAAGATGCGGTTCCAGAGGGGAGATACGAAAATCTTCCCCTGTGGATGACGAGGGAAAGAAACGAGTTATTTTCGTTGTGGCGAGCGATTGACATATTGCAAAGGAACCCAACTAAAAGAATTGGACTTGAATTTAAATCCCAACTTTTGATTCTTGATTTTAGAGAAGATATTGAGAGCGAAGAGTGAACAACTACCTTACAAAGACTACGGGACAATCCTTCGTTTTACAATGGAGCACTTGCTAATGACATTTTGCATATGCGTGATTTGAAAGAAGTCAATGGGAGGGTAACTGACAGCGATGTAAGAAATTTTACGTCGAACGTCAGAAAATCGTACCATACCCTCAAACATTGTAGTGATCCCAACCCCGTGGCCCGTGATTGATTACCTGATAGTTTCTTGTTATGTATGCGAAGGGAAGAAGCTGACCTGTCTGCTTAAACTCAGAGATGTAATTCTGAGAAGACAAAGAATTGGGCATCGGCGAGTTCGTCCTATCGTTGCATCTTCCGAATGAAGATTCAAACCATCCGTCAGCTTCAAGAAAAGTTGGCACGTTTATTCAAGATATAGCCCACCATCTTGCTTACGTGTCGAGCTTGTAACGTGATCAGCAACATCTAAGTCATTCTTTTACCTTCACTGCTACATCGGAAGGTTTTCATCAAACTTTACACTCCGTGGGCGTCAAAAGTTATGTACAGAATACTACTGAAATAATTGAACACACTGGATTATGGATTCACATTTTCCTTGCTCTTTGAAACTTTTAATGAATTTTTGTTTCTTTTTCAATAATGAATATAATATCATGATAATTGTTCATCTCTTTTTTTTTGCCCTTTTTCACAAACTAGAATCTAAAGATTGCAATAGACGGATTCTTTCCCGCGAATCGAATCAGAAAGAAATCCAAGTAGCAGCTTTCTCAGCCAACACTGCGTGATTTACATAAATGAAACAATCACTTCGCAAGCATTACTCAGTTTAACTGCACTTTGACTTACAGATTCGTGCAACTCTGCACTGATATATCAGCATTACTCGCTTATAACAGTAAAGTGAACTGAAGGACGCGCCATTGGGGAAGAAAATAGGCAACAAAAAAAAAAAAAAAATGATAGTGTTGTCCATCTGAGCTCGTGTCGAGGATTGGCCACGTCGCAATGCGAGGGAAGCATATGGCAGAACACAATTCAGAATTTCTAGGGACACCATTGACTTATCCATTTCTGTATTACTGTTCTACAAATCTAATTTTCGGCAGGTTTATCAAATTCTGTCCGTTGCCGGTGAAAGGTCTAAAAGACACCTCGTGAAAGGTGAAATAACATAATTTACTCCAGTTTCACCTGCAATTTCCTGGGATGAATTTCCTCAAAGTTCTGGTCGATCGATATTTTTTTTAAATAAAATCGAATGCTCAATTTTGAATAAGCTTTTGTCAGAACGTCTTACTCGACAGTCCTTTATCATAAAGTCAATAAACTGTTCTCAAGAAGAAGATATGATCCATCCATAAGCTGAAACGAAAAACAAAAGGACCTCTAGAAATATTGAGAAAACCGATAGCTGGCAGAAGCCATGACGCCATGACGGCCTAAGATTACAGTCACAACAACAACGGCCGTGCCTTCAGAATAAACCAACGCGCACACAATTTCTGTTTTGATAAATGTGAAGTACATATATCAAGGTTTACTGTAATATATATTTTTTATTTTTTTTTTTTTTTCCGCGCTATATTTCATGGGTTCACAATACTTACGAGTTGGGTTACCACTACACCGGGTGAGACACATTTGAATAAAATTTTCGTCATAGTTTTAATTTGTTTGGCTAAAAATCTCTCAATTTCTTACAGCATCTGACAACGAACAAAATAACAAATAATAAGAATAATAATAAGAAAAAAATAAGTAAAAAGAATCTCTCGCTAAATTATTGGGGAACAAGCCGACAGATAAACGCTCAACTAAACTCAAAATTATCATGGCGAAGTTTATTTATACAGTGACAAAGATATGGATGACGAAGCTTATAACTTCCCAGGAGTTCGTCGGATACTGTAATAATCTCTTAGTTATGAAGGCTTGGATTTATCTGAGATCTGTTGGACAATTAATAAAAAAACAGACAAATTATACGATTATTCAAATTTGTGCTAAAACTTTAATTTCTTTTTTAAGTAACCCTCTACGTTTTTCCTTCCTGTGTCACCTCTCTTTTCTTTTTTTTTATTTCTAAGTGATAATGTAAAAACGCTATTCTGCCTTACTGCCTCAATAAAACTGACCAGCAACAAGAATTAACAAGTACAATAACAACATACTAAAAGATAATAAGAAATATTGCATTGTAAAGAGACAAACAAATATAAATACAGCACATCACGTTAAAGAGAATAAGAATGAAAAGCAAAAAAAAAAAAAGGAGGATACCGTATATTTGTCCCATTTCTTTTCTGGATCATACGGCTCCCATCTGCTGGCAGGGAAAATATGTTTATTCCTCTCGTACCATGAACGGAGAACAACTTTCCCAGCATGTGACTGTAGAGAGGAAAAATAAATTAAATAAAATGGAAATCAGAGACGGGGGCGTCCGTACATGTACGATCGGGTTTGTCAGAAAAACTCTCTGATTGTGAAGAAACCCGCACTTGCGATCACATACGTCTGCCATATGTCAGCAACGCGGAGTTCAAGACGTGTATAGTTTGAATTTATATTTGCATCCCCTTCTCTGCGATAGCCTTCGTCAGCTGGTCCGCGTTTCTCTACCACAGGCCTCGGTGAGAGAGCGATTGGTCACGGACTACGAAAGCGCTCAAAATCACACTGAAAAAGTAATCCAAACTCACACGCATCCACCCTGAATCAGACAGTGATGTGCAAATAACTCACCTCGTCTTTCTCCACGGATGCGTCGCTAATCACTCTAACATCTTCATGGACATCAAAACTAAATAACGGTCCGCTTTTACCGCGAGCCTTGTTCACAATGAAATCATAGAAAGAGTAATGCTGCAATATGAAAATACAAGAAGGTTAGGTTTCGAGTTGCCGGAGAACCATTTTCTGTTACACGTAACCCTCCAGAATTTTGTCAGACCTCCAAATTCATTGCTATCCACTTAAACTCCTAATTGGGGAGATCATGAACAGGAAATGGTCTCAACCCCTTGACCACTAAGAGTGACTAGCATCTAATTTATCCCTGAATCACAAGTTAAGGGCAAGAAAATACATGAAAAGATAAACAATAGAGAAACTCTTGCTTGTTAAACAAATTCTGCTTGTCAGTACCTCAGCAAATGTATAGAGAACTTGCTTACTGATGTTAGGATGTAAAGAAGTAATCAAATTTACACATCACTGCAATTTATAATTCCGTAAAAATGACTTTCCGAAGTTGTTCCGTTTAAAAAGCTCTCCTTCAGCATAGCTTAATATTCAGTTATCTTAAATTTTTTTTTTTGGACCCACTTTTTACTATGTGAATCTTTTCCACGAATGTTACTCACATGAGGTATAATAAGATCTTCCTTAATGTACATTAAGTTTTCAGTAGTCACAGCCCTGTAAAAAGGGAAAAAAACAAAGGCTATGATAGGTAAGTTTCACAAAAGTCCACGCTGTGACTGTTTTGGCTGCCATGGTAGGAAGAAATAAAAAACAAGGAAAAACCACCAAAAAAAAGAAAATTTGCTGTGAAAATCGCCAACTTGGTGACCTCTGATGGTCAAAGAGGGACAAAAATTTTTCTACATCGTTCTGGAGTTTTGTACAAAATATCCTTTATCCTTCCTTCCTTCCCTTGTTTTTGGTTTTTTTGCTTTTTTTTTGTTGTTGTTGTAGTTGATTTTCGTTTCCTTTCAACTAGAACTTTATGGTTGGCGACAATTTATAGGAGTTTCAATACTCTTGTTGTTATAGGCGGCTGCCGATGGTGTAATAGCCGGCTGTTTCTGGAAAAGGCGTCGTAAAAGCGATACCCAAAGAAAAAAAAGCTCCTGAACAGACGGCGGTAAGAGGTATTTTAGGTGGCAGCAGACTGCTTGTAACCAGCTTTTCCTGAAACCTCTGCATTTCTATGATTCTATGTCGCCAAATAGTGTCTTTGAAAAAAATTAGCTTGGAGCCCTGAAGGACTGCAAACTTAACCTTTTAACTGCCAAGACCTAATTGTTAATTCTCCCATCCAGCTGCTACACGTTTCCTTGTAAATCAGTTATGAGAAATTGGTTTTAGATCAAGACAACAATTACTCCTACCTGATAAGTATTCTCATTACATGTTTGCTGGGTAATGTAAGGGTATTTTTGGGAGAAGTTTCATGTTAACCCAACTAGTTTAGCCTTCAAGTTATTTTGGATGTTCCACTACTGTATGTACTGTTTATTTATTTATTTATTTATAATCATATTCTTGTAAATTCTTTTAGTTGTTTACAGTAGTAGAAATAAACTGTTGTTGTCGTTGTTAATCACTAGTGGGAGTTTAAGGGTTAGGAGAGAGTACACTCCTCACTAATTATGAAAAAAAGAAAAGGACTCAGTGTTTGTCGAGTAAAAAGCTGTGAATCCCAAATGGTGATCCATGCTTTCCAAGTTTCATAGACTTACCTAAACTCAGTAAAATCTTTGCGCAATTGTTCGACGCATTTTTGAAGGAACTGAGAGATTGTGTTGCCTTTCTTCATCTGTGATGGAAACAAAGAGAGAGTTATTTTATATATTTATTTTAGACGTATTCATATTCCTGTCTGGAGTTCAGTTCATTTGAACCTCACCTTTATTGTTCTCCTATGACCAGATCCATCCCAGTAACTGTAAGTGATTTCCACGTCTTCATCTAAAATGACAAAAGCAAAAATTTTATAAACATGAATGGAGATTTGGCGAAAATCCAAACATAAAACTAGGAATTTTTTTTTATTTTTTTATGCAGCCATTATCTTCCCTTTTTAGACACAAGGTTATGAGTCAATTCTCATGGACTGAGAACAATGGTAGCTACATGTATTCCCAGAATGCTTAACACCTAACGATAAACTAGCACTCGTCAGTATTTTACATGATTTTTTATCTGTTTTCTGACACATCTGTACAAAAGTTATTCTTGACCTGATGCACTAGACAGACTGTCAATCAGAAAGAAATTAGACTAGAATTTTAAAATCTTGAATACACAGTGCAGACATGTGTAGAAACAGACCTCCCTTTCTGTCCACAACTAAATATATCTTTTGTCAAATCACTATAACTCATTTACTAAAAAAACTCAATCATCCTTCCCATAACATGTGCACATGAATGCCAGTGTATTTGACAATTTACAGGCAAGGGTGACATTTTAGGAGTGTTCTTAACCCTTCAACACCCAAGATCTGATTGTTAATGCTTCCCTGTGGCTGCTACACATTTCCTTGTAAATCAGTTATGAGAATTCAGTATTAGATCAAGATAACCACTTCTACCTTATAAGTTGGAGTTTTCTCAATACCTGTTTGCAGGATAATGTGTGGATATTATAGGGAGAAGTTCCATGTTAATCACTTCTGGGAGTTAAAGGGTTAACTGCACAAGCTGGTTTGTTGAGTGTATAAAATCATAACATAAATTTAGATAATAACATGATTTTGAGTGCAATTTGATGCAAATAAGCACAAGCAAATTTTTCAAAGACAACAAAATTGCTCAAGCCCTAAGGAAGAGTGCAATTTGTGGTCTTTGAAAATTTATAAGCGCCTATCACACCAAATTGAGAGAGAAATCAAGTTATTACTTGTTAATAATGTACATGAAAAACATTGCAGTAAATCAAGACAGACAAAATTTTTTAAAGCATGTGTGCCGTATTTGTAACTTACAATTGTGCTGTACAACTTTGCACTCATGTTACATGAGAATGCACTCATTTTCAGCCAATCAGAAGTGTGTAATTTTTTCATGTCCATTATCAGCTAAATTATAAAAGAATTTTGATTGGTTCTTACTAATCATTCATTGGAGGACAAACACATAGATGACTTTGCTTTACCATATAAAACAAATAGGTTTCACGTTGCCTTAGGTCTGTACAGTAATACAAAATGTAGATCACAGAAGACAAAAATATATGGTAAGAGCATTAGTGACTTGTGTGTCCCTTTTTTTGTTCTCACTACATTTTTACATTTTTTGTTATCTTTTACTGAACAGAGGCACAACAACATGGAATATATTTGTTAAATGTTACTTCGCAAAAAACAAAACAAAACAGAACAAAAAAAATCTCTTTTTCAGTTCTCACTCTTAATCTTCTCTTGTTTTTCTACCCATTCTTGTCTGATCTTTTCCCTCTCTAATCTTTCCATCTCCTGTCTCAAAAGAATTCCCAAAATTTATTAATTAATTACACAATGCAGTGTCCATTTGTAACCAACATTATACTACATGTATATACATTCTACATAATGTGTTATTTTCCAGTGGTGGTAAGAAGCAAAATGAATGGTACATGTTTTCCTCACACATCTGTACTTCAGGGCCTGAAAATGGGTTATGTGACCTTGTGCAGGCAGTTGTTTTTGCTCCATCTGCTACTACTAACTCCTTGTTCACATATTAACGTACCTCTCTATCCCTGTCTGGCAAAAATGACGTGTCCACATCAGGATTTTTCCCAAGCTTTTTCTTTTTCAGTGGGACAACTGTTTGAAAAATATTAGAATTCACACATCCTTACATTCAAGGTTACCAGTAATATGAAATTTATATATGTGAAATGCAGCATAGGAAATAGAATCTGATATTAAAGTGATCTTCACAGTAATGAACACTTCTTAAGCAGCAGTGAAAATATGGCTTAAAGAAGAAAAAAAAAATTCAGGCCTGTATGGGATTAGAACCCACAACCACTGAGATACCGGTGCAGTGCTCTACCAACTATACTAACAAGCCAACCGGGAGCAGGTCATCATGATAATATTATTGTAGTCTTTACCCTTCTTTTTTAAGCCCATTCCTCTCTTCCACCTCTCGCATTCTGTACAGTTTCTGACAGGTTTTCTTCTACTTCAAGCTGGATTGTCATTTCCATTCTTATCTGCTACGCATTGCCTTGTAATTAGTCTAGGGGATTTGGTGTTAAGTCAAGATAACAACTTCTAAGCTTAACCCTTTAACTCCCAAGATCTCATTAGTAATTCTCCTTACTGTCTGCCATACAGTTCTTGTGATGTTAGTTTTGAGAATTTGGTATTGGATCAACTAAAAATACTCTAATTGATATTTTTCTTTATTCTCATCACTTGTCTGCTTGATATTGTATTGGTATCGTAAGGAGAAATTCTGTCTTGGTCACTGATGGGAGTTCAAGGGCTAGTAGGCCATTTTACAGTTGAGTTCTCAGCTGCCAAGCCTTTGATTTAGACTGTGGCTGAAGGTGACCTGGTTGTGATAGAGACCAGTATCTAGTCAGCATGATAACAAAGTAATTTGCATTTGAAAAGCAGCAAGGTTTGCATCCTAAAAAGGTCAACCTTAACCTCACTTCTGTTCAAAGACTTGGCAACCAAGCACACAGCTGCAAAATGGACTATTATTCTCATTACCTGTATGCTAGATTATGCATGGATATTCTTGGGAGAAGTTACATTTTCATCACTTATAGGATTCAAGGCCCAAAAGACATTACAACATATGGGATCAGGAATTGAATTCTGACCTCAAAAACCAGAACTGCAAATTTTCCTCCATGTTTAGCCAAGTTAAGTGAGCCACAATTTGTACAACATAAATTTAGAATGAAGAAATTGAATAATACCTGGTTGATCATCACTGTCTTCACCTTCTTCATCCTCATCAAGGTTAAATGACAATGCGGAGGTTTGTTTCAGTTTTATTTTTTTCTGTTTCTTTTTAGAGGATTCACTGCATAGAGGGGGAAACAATGATTGAATTCATTTGTAGGATAGAAAATTAAACAATTGCATATCCGATGCATTTCCAGAGAATTTCAAAGTTTAGTTGATAGATAACTGAATTTAAAGTCTGCACTTTACTGCAACTTACAGACCAATTTTTTTTTTCATCAGGTTTGAAAGATCTCATAATACACTTTTTTTTCATTTTTTATAAATCCAAATACATTTATAAATGTATTACATTCAAGAAATTTTGGCAAATTTCATTATCAAGTTATACCCTTAATAAATAATCACATCATTAATGACCAATCAATGAGTTGATAAATTATTTACAATAAATGATGAAAGTACATGAATTACATTTGAACAAACCTTTCAGTTTCATCTGATTTAAGCTTTGCAGCCAGCTGCTTTTCATGTTCTCGAACAAGATCCTCTTGCTTGGCTCTCATTTGATCCAGGGTCACCAATCCTTGAAAATAATAATAATCATAATTTTAAAAAAAAACATCTATTTACCCCTTAACAATTTAACTCCCAGATCAAATTTGTAATTCTCCTTACTGTCAACCATACAATTCTTACAATGTTAGTTCAGAGAATTGAGTATTGGATCAACTAGTTATCCCCATATTGTTAGTTTTCTTTATTCTCATCACTTGTCTGGTTGATATTGTATCGATAGTGTAAGGAGAAATTATGTCTTTGTCACTCATGAGAGTTAAAGGGTTAACCCTAAGAGTGACTAGCATCTAATTTCTTCTTACAATATTACCCCTGAATCAAACATCAAAGTCACTAGAAAAAAGGAAATGATCACCAACGAAGCTCTTGATTGATTAACAAGTTCTCCTTGTCAGCACCTTAGGAAATGTATTAAAAACAGTATGGAGAATATGCATACTGATGTTAAGGTGTAAAGGCTTATGGATAAGCTAAGTGATTGCATCATTTGTTGCTGAGTGTTATAGTTTACTGTACTCTGCATTAAAACAATAGCGTTTTTCACACTCAGAAGTTTATAAAACATTTGTTTGAAAAAATATCATGTTTCAGTGATGGATGCCTTCCTAATGTGTCATGCTTCTGCATAAAAGGCAAAAAAAGAAAAATTGAGATCGTGGCTTTTGTTACTGTGATAAGGTGACCTTTACAGTTGAACTGCAGTTATGGATAAAGAAATTAGAGCCTCAATAACTCATTTCTGATTCTAGTCTTCATAAGTATAAATGTAATAGTCATAAATACTGCAATCTAATTAGCTATGCTTCGTGTTATCGTGCTGAGTGCCCGTGAGCAGCAAAACAACCAAAATTAAAAGCAAAAATAAGCTTGTCTAGCAATGAAATTTTAAGCGACTACTACATTCATAATTTTTTGGCCAATATTAGCTCATTAGTGCTCGATTCTGTGTGAAAAATCTGGAGCTCTCAATCTAATTGTTTAATAACCCGTCAACCACAGGCTTGCACAGGTCCAACCAAATCAGGTACTGAAATGATTTTCACGTACCGATAGTGCTTGATTTTAGTTGCTGCTCTACCACATCATAATGAGTAGAAAATTTGTTGCTGATGTCGGCGATCTTGTGTTTCTACGATAAAAAACCAACAACCTTAACATTACCACACGTTTTCTTTTACAGATTTATGATTCAAAGATCGGTGGGTCAGGAAGTAAATTTTCCTTGAGCAAATGACACGATGATTACCTCAGATATCTTGTTTTTCGCGGCTTCAATGTCGGCTTTCATTTTTTCTCGCCTTTTCATCAGGGCCATGGCCCTTGCACCTTCCTTTGCAGCACCCTTGTATTCCGCCATTTTGCTTTACTTCCCTCGACAAGACTAGTGCCAGATTTCCGCTGAAGTTTATCATATCCATTGGGGGGGGCGACCGCTGAAACGAAGCACAGCATGAGCTTTTTTACCAGGCCCCTGTTGAATAAATCCCTATCCGATGAACAGCCTGCTTATCCCTTGAAAAGCGATTTTCCCGTTGGATAGCGTTATCCGCCCTGTGAACAACTGGGCATAGAGGGCGAAATTCTTGGTTTCAGATTTTACATTGTGTTATTTTAAACTCGTCATCATTATCTCTTATGCCGTACTTTATTCACGATGAATATACGCTGAATCCTGGCTTACTAGGTTTTATTATTTTTTATTAATTTATTTATTTTTTATCCACACATAAATCATTTATTTCGAAAAGAATACTTAAAGGATACTTAGCATGGGTTTAAAAAACGAACACAATTTGGAGCACAGTCCGATTAAAAAAAAAATGGCACTTTAACTAGTATAACGATTATCATTTAACTGACAACACAATTACTCGGCACCAGTCCTTCTGTTGTTACTCGGCAACTTTACTCTGCTGAAAAGTATTTCATTTGGGACGACCTACCGGTTGGTTGGATGTTTTTCAGCAAATACATTTACCATGGTCACGAGAGAAAAAGCATCCGTGACAAAATTGATTAAAAAACGGCACCTTTCAAATGTTTTAAAGTAGCTCCGCTGATAACTTTGCAAGCTTCTTTGCAACTTATAAAAGAAAGCTGGCAGGGATATAACCGAGTGATTCAAAGTGAAAATTTAGAACATTCCGTATTCTTCATGGCGATATGAAACCAAGATGCAAAGTATTGGAAATGCTAATTGACGGATTTGTTGGATTCGAAATTTGGAGAGCATTTTTCTTTGTATTTACTTTTGTCATTCGTTTATTAAAGAAGAAAAAGTTACACCCCCAACAGTAAAAATTAAACGAATTTCCCCCAATGAGAATAATATGCGCCAAGCAACAACAACCTATTACGCATCCAAGATCGAATTTTTACATCTTACTCAGCTACGCAGTTTAAAGCTATAAAGAAAAAAAATAAATAAAAACTGGTGAAAGTTACTTCCGATTTTATCCCGAAACAAGAATACGGCTTTTCATCAATTTCTTTAATAGGTTTTTATTTTATCAGGACTTAGCATTATTTGTTTATTCAACCTCACTCAAACTCACTCATGGTTATAAAACGCTATTTAAAATTTCTTACAAAGTAATCATATGAAAAACTCCATTTTTTTTTTCTCTTTTCATCGACAACAACCTTAGAATGTATAAACTCCTTTGTCCAACTCTACTTCGCAAAAGGTAGGCATGCATTTTGCTTTTGTTTTGAAGAAACCAAATCAATAGGGTTCTAAATTGCTTTCATTATCTAAGCATGAAGCCCTAATAAACAACTTAAATATTAGTATTCTAGAAACAGTGTCTACATCCGAATAAGGGAACATTACACGTATAAACTAATTATGGATTTCTAATTCTTATTGGAGCTCAAAGATCTTTTCATTCACTTTCTCTCGAAGTCTTGGGTGACGAACAAGTTGGCTCCAATCAGGTACAAAACTACTCTTTTCAGACTGTTTCATCTCTTTTTATGTTCCCCTTTGATTTTAGAAAGTCGCGTGTCAACACAGCCGTCCAATTGCCCGTGGCGTTCTGAATTCCACGCATCGTTAGGGAATAGGCTTTCCTTTCAGAGAGACATTTTTTTCTTTTTTTGCTTTTGTTTTTTGCTTTTTTTGTTTTTGTTTTTTTGGGGAAAAACTGCCAAAACAAGTAAGGGAATGCCAGTTAATTGTTTTCAGCTCTAGGTAAATTTTGAATTCGATGAGCCCTGTATACTAATCTTTTAAGTACGCATGTGTGCTCAAAGATATGTTCAACTTGTTTACTTTCGACATTCATTCACCATCAGGTTTTCCTAGGAAAATGGGTAAGAAATAAGTCGAGGGATAAAGATAAGAAAAAACGTTGATTTTATGTTCATCCTTTTAATTTTACAGTTTTACGAAAAATCTACAGAATGGCTTGTGCGAAGGGGCTGATCATTACCCTCCTCGGTTTCTACATGTTTACTGCCATTCTTGGCAAACAGGTAACTGCTCTAGAAAGTTAAGGCATGAAGTTTGCGGCAGAATAGATAGATATGAATATTACTGTTTTTCCTTTACTACTCAACTAATCCGGAAGAAAAGTAACAAGATACCCTGCTTACGGCCACTGCTAATGTAAAACAGTTTCGTATAAGCTGAAAACGGAAAGCAAGAGGTTTATTTTTTTCCGGTACACGCCAAAAACTTCTCGTTTTTCGCTTTCAACCGTTTACACTTTTTGGTAAAATATTCTTACAAGAACCGGCCTTTATTTGTCGCCTACGGCGGCGGGGGTGGATGGGGGGGATTTTGTCGGGGTCACATGGGTCTCAGGGGGAATGGGGGGGGATCAGTTATTGCTATGGGGGAGTACGGAAAATTGAAAACACTACAGATTCTTATTGGGGGCATCAGGTAAATGTGACACAACCAAAATCCTCAAACACCCCCACAAGGTAAAATATTTGTTTAATCTGTGTTCATTGTTTTGTTTGTTTGTTTGTTGCTGTTGTTTTTTTGTTTGTTTGTTTGTTTGTTTGTCTTTGGTGATTAAAGGTTTTAGGAAAAAAAGTCAGTAATAATCAGAATTCCCCCCAATCATTTTTTCCTCCACATCAGAAGTATTTTTGTTTGTAAAACCTTCTCAAGCAAGGTGCTATCGTGGCAACAAATTTAATTAACAGCCTTCAATGGCCGTGCATTAAAACTGGAGCGAAACTCATAGAAGCAAAGATCTATAACAGTAGTCACGGTGTCACACTATGCTGTTAGCGTGACATGTAGAGTGACCGATTCATTGCCTAATGGTGGACTTTGACGAAAAGATTATGCATAAGATTGAGTGACTTATAAACTATTGATTTGTTTTTCAGTCTTGTGTGAGTCCCGATGGCCAGGAAGCGTGGGATAAAAATACGAAGCTATACACTTCCGATTGCAGTAAGGAGTGTACTTGTGTTGGTGAAGGCGAATACTTCTGTGTAGACCTTTGTCCCGTGCAGATTGCCTATTGCAATGTTGGTTACGTTGCGAGGTTCAAAACGATAAAAATTTCAAAAAGAGGAAGAGAATGCCGATGCGATGGTAAGAGGTTGATCTGAATTAGCAGTAATCTGCAATAGTACTTTAAAAACAAGTCATCATGTTGAGCACTTTTGTAATTCCCTTTCATCATCTGCTTGCAAAGATATTTTTGCCCCGACCTTTTTTAATTATTAATTTTTTTTTTTTCAACGAGGATGCGAGCAGAAGAGAGAATATAATTATTTTTGATGCGCCTTAATGATAATCAACCAAATGAAAAAAATTTGGTTTCGTACTCCCAACTTCCTTAGGGACGACTCCTTATTAGTCGCCTGATGAGAGGGAGGAGGGCTCTGGTATAATTTTTTTGGGGTGGGGAATCACATGCTTTTCAGGGGAAATTGAGGAGGAACAGTCGTCGCCAACAGAGCATACAAAAGTAGGTCCGTAGAAAATTGACTGCTCATTACCTGCCAAAGAGGGGGGTCATTAGAATATCGAAGTGCCTCATTTGGGGTATCAGGTAATTATTATCGTTGAACAAAACAATATCTCAGTTGTTTCGTCTAATATCTCTTGATCATAATCCTGCTTGTTTTGATTTTTTTTTATTTTATTTTTTACAATTAAAAGAACGCAAGAACTGTATTATATATTGGACTTTTGTTTTTCTATTTTCAGAGTTTGATAAATGCGTCAAAAACAGGATGTGACCACGGTAACAGAACGAAGGTGCTAGCCCTAGGTTCTTCTGAGCGAAAAATACAATTGTAGTCATTAATCAGGGTAAAAGTATTAGTACTTGTTGAAAGTATTAAAGGGTGTTTCAAATGTTATAGTGTCTCATGGTGTTTGTCACACAAATTTCCTCTTAATATGAAAAGGATTTCAGGAGATGAGATAAACAGTGGCTAATTAAAATTACACCTAAATGTTTTATAATTGATTCATTTTTCTCGACAAAGAGCCATAAATACAGTACGAACCGGCTAACTTGCGCCCGGTCGACTTGGACGTAAAAAAGTAAATAATCTTCGAAAGTCTACTTTATCTTAAGCAAATTTTCTGCACTGGTCCTTAGGTTCACTATAATCTTCCAGCGATAAAACTCTAAATTAAATCGAAAACTGGCGTTTTGCCAGTTTTACAATGGATCGTGAGCTGAATAGTAACTCTAGTATGGAGATTTCTTTATACATAGAAAAGATCGAAGCCTTTTTATTCTTTGTTTCTTAACTAATGACAGGTAACAAGAAAAGCCTGTGTGTCTTTTCAATGGATTTTTTGGTGCTAAGGCAAGCAAAAATTTGTTAATAACATTCAAATGTCGTGCACTGCACACAAAATACTGAAATCCATTTCCCAAATGAATTTAGGCGACGTAACAGACTTAAAAAAAAAGGGGAAAAAACGAATAAATAAAGAAGGAAAAAAACTAAACAAAAACAAAAAACAAAAACAAAAACAAAAACAAAAAATCAAGGGAGAAGAACAACTACCAAACCTAACATGCTACTTGAGGTGACTGGGAACGCCACATCAGTTATGTGAAGTTACCATATCTCTCACATTTCCGGAGAGCCGATTTAAACTGTTTGCTCTTTCGGTTCCGTTCCTCGTTTCCTGTTCCTATTTCCCTGTTCGCAGTTCTTCGTTCTCCATTGTCCGCGTTCCGTTCCCCATTCTCTATTTCCCTTTCCTCGTTCTCTATTCCCCGTTACCTGTCAACTGTTCCCGTTCCTTGTCTCCTGTTTCCTGTTCCCTGTTCCTTGTTCTTCGTTCCCTGTTCCTCGGTTCTTCGGTTCCTGTTTCCTGTTCTCTATTGACCGTTCACTGTTCCCCGTTCCCTATTCCCTATTTTCCTTTCCCAATTTTCCTTTCCCTATTTTCCTTTCCCTATTTTCCTTTCCCTATTTTCCTTTCCCTGTTTTCCTTTCCCTATTTTCCTTTCCCTATTTTCCTTTCCCTATTTTCCGTTCCCTGTTTTCCGCTTCCTATTTTCCGTTTCCTATTTCCCATTCTCTGTTCCTCCTTCCCTGGTCTCTGTTCGCCGTTCTCTTTTTTTCTCTTCCCCGTTCCCTGTTCCCTGTTCTCTCTTCACCGTTCCTTATTTTCTCTTCCCCTTTTCTCTGTTGCCTGTTCTTTGTTCCCCGTTTTCTATTTTCTCTTCCCCGTTCTCTGTTCCCTGTTCTCTGTTCTCTGTTTCCTGTTCTCGGTTCTCTGTTCTCTGTTCCCCTTCTCTACGTTCTCCTGTCGGCTCTCTGTTCACCATTCCCCGTCCACCGATCCTTATTCCCTCATTTTTTTTGTTCCCTAAGGTTAAGGGAAATAAAGAAAGACAAACAGGTAGGCAAACATCGCCCTCTTCTGTGGGTGTAGGGCTTCATTGCTGGACTTTTATTTGTTGTTTTATCAAAACCCCACTCTCGACATTCGCATCCTTTTGTCCTAGAAAATGTGGCCAGTTTCGCATTTATTCTTTCACTTTTATTTATTTTTAACATGTTAGTTGATTTCTTATACATATTTACTCGTTTCCTATTTTTTCATTTCCTAGATGTATAGTGTTAATTATCTTTAAACTATGCATTTATGCTGTAAGTAGTCATTTTTTCCACTAATTCACTTGTCAAGTTGCTATCGGACGTTTTGTCATCTGACAGTGCAATAGGTCAATCACACTCAAAGTTGTAGTTTAAATCAACCAATCACAGCCTCGGTTTCAATCAACGTAGAAACAATAATTCCTATGTCAGTCTTTTAATGCAAATTTTCTCTTTCTGTCATAACTTGGCTATACTTCTCTTCTCGCAAATTGTACTTTTTATGATTAATTAGTAATAAGACTTCGTGGAGTCCAATTCGGTCTGTAATCGCACTCGTGATAACAAAGTATGATTGGAGACCGAATTGGACTCCACGGTCCTATTATTATTACTTATTAAGATAAATAAGTAAACAACTTAGCTAATCACATCCTTTTTTCCTGATTATGTGTATATTCAAATTGATAAAGAGCGGTCATCTAGCTCATCTACAAATCCTTTCGCTGTTAACCCTTTGAACTCTAAGATTGACTTACATCTAATTTCTCCTTACAGTATCAGCCCTGAATAAAACAAAAAGGTCACGAGAATAAAGGAAATGATCATCAACTTAAGAACCCTTGATTGTTTAACAAATTCTCCTTGTCAAATCCCTTGGAAATATATCGAGAACAGTATGGAGGAAATGCATATTAACTTAAGGATGTAAAGCGTTAATTAAGCTATTTTGTAAACACAAGCTACTACCTGACTGTTTATTTACATAATATAATAATGTTGAGTTGCACAATATGATTAGAATTGCAATCATAATTTCTAACGTGCTTATCTTTTCTTCTTCGACAAAAAACAGAATCCAGCGAACCTCTACAAAAGGTGAAGCGAATCAAGACAAAGAGATAGAAACGATCTAAGCGAAACAAAGTGGTAAAAAACGGCTTCGACATAATCACACAGGAAAAGGCGTGAACTCGTCTTAAACACATGTAAACTAAACCTAAACTGACGCAGAACTAAATCTAAATTAATGGAAATAATCACACAAACCCAAATGAACAAAATTCAAAATGAAACCTTACACATAAAACGTACAAAGCAACCATGTTTAATAATAAATGATCTTTAACGTAATCTGATTCATTCAATTTTCCTACTCTTTTCCTTTAGTTTTTTTCATTTTATTTTTATTATTTTTATTTAATGTAGAAGTTGGAGAGTTTAGCGCACTTCCTATTCAAAACTACAGTCAAAGAACCTTTGTGAATGTTCATTTCCCCCAAACTAGTTAAATTCAATTTTGTGGGTTAATCTCCCGGAAGGGAAAGATCTGAACCCGTCTGTGTGGTCGTTGGCGACATAACATCTTTAAAGCTCGCCTAAAATCTGGTATTCTCATAGAATACAATATCGGATTCAAAAAAGAGTTTGCGTAAAGCAAGACAATTGAACCACCTTGCAAACGGAAAAGCGCTATTTCAGACAAAGAACTGAAAATGTCAGTAGCAAAATAAAGAGAACTAGTTATAACATAAGGCAGCCACAATAGGAGAGAGAGAGAAGTCACGGTGAACAAAGTAACGGTCAGTTTCCTTTCCCTATTTGCCGCGCCATGGTGTCGAGGCTGATTTCCAAAGCGAAGCTTGACAAAAATAAAAACGTAAGAGACACAAATAACCAAAAGACAAATGAAGATGAATGAACTCCATGCGTAGTAATAATAGTCCCATTTACGTGTATAGTATTGAATCATTATTAACGCAAATGAAAAGAGTAGTGCTGTCAACCAGATAGCCACGATAAGAACCCAGTAGACTGAATTTTTGATCGTACGATGTCTGAAGGGCCAAAACGTTGCATTCAGGCGTTCTAGAGAAATAACAGTCATATTCGTTAACGAAACAATAGGAAACCAGAGATGTAAGACCTGTGGTATCTGATACCAAGACAGCGTATTGTACCTCCAGAAGTTACATGTCGCTCCAACATTATAGAAGAGGTCGAGTGTAGAAGTTCCCCCGGATATCATGTCTGCAACTGCTAAGTTTATCACCAAGTATGTGGATCGTTTACGAAGATTACGATCTCTACAAAATGCAATCACTGTCAAAGAATTCAGTGTTATAATGGCGACAGATTCAGTCAGGCCCACAACCATCCAGGTTATACACTCAGGTGAAGAAGCCATCGGAGAAGTCTTTTTCTGTTCCAAATAGTTGAGAAATGTTAGAAATTTCCGGCAATGATTTGAGAAAAGATTACTAACCTGTCTTTTATAGTGCGAAAGAGACTAGTCTGACGTAACCTCTACATTTTATTTTGGTAGCCTTTCAGACAACAAAGTTTACCCATAGTCTTACATCCCTCCTTCGGTACGTTTTCTTAAATGTTAACTACGTCCTTTAAAAAAAAACCCTCTCCGATATGAAGACGACCTTTGTTTCCCTATTGGTCGTGCAGAGCAACTAGTTTGTATAGCTACTTAAGACAGCCATCACACTGCTTTGGGCTGTTTCAAAGAGATTTTGAACGCTTTTTACGAGTCAAATATCAGTGACTATTGAGCCCGTAACTTTTCGTTCGCGTAGGCTCATTATTGTAAAAGAAAACTAACATTCTGACCCCAAAGTTCGCCTATTCTCTTACTCAAATTGAAATAATTATTTTTCAGTAAAAAATTGTAGTTGATAGATCTTATTTTTTCAATTTATTTTGCTTTATTTTTAATTCCTGCTTGGAAAATGCCTTTCTATGCTTTTGTTCATTTTGTCGTGTCGCATGGAATTGACCGCTTATTACAGGAATAAGACTTTTTCAAATTCATTGGCTACTTTCTGTGCGAGACATGCGACATAGCCTTTTACTCATCGACGACGCACCACAATATATTTCATACAAACATGATATGCGTGAACCAATTAGATTTGGCCTAGACCATTTAGATGAATGACAGCTCATTTGGTATGGCTCAAAGGTTCCCAGAGAGAGAATTATGTGAATTGAAATCTACGCCTCTTGCTTGTTTTTGCAATGTTTCAACGCTTTTTCTCAGCTTTAGCCTTATCGCCGACGCAATTTACGACTTTCTTCTTGGATGGTCGATCCTATTTTTTTTTTATCCGTCAATAAAGTCGACTTAACCTGCCGGTAAAGACTATGAAAAAAGAAAAAAAAAATGTAATACATGGTCCTTGTAGATTTGGAATTTCTCTTCTCGAGATCAACTAGCGCGAACTCGTGAGACATTGAGCTGAAGACTCGTAGAGAAACCCTATGTCTGCGCCCGCCATGTATTATTCACAAATTATCTTGAATTTAGAAGTGAAGACTGACAATTTATCCAGATGGGATACAGAATTGATAACAAGCGTTGGAAATAAAACACCAACACTTCAAAGATGTTCCTTTGTCCTTTTGTTTCTATGTCGCATGTTTTGTTATCATTATTATAGTTGTTTTGTAATCAATACCAGTTCCATAGTGAAAGATATCATCGCCATCGTGACTATTATTCTTGTAAACATGTTTATCAGCATTTCTATCGTAGTTCAGAACTGGTCCGCAGAAAAGTTCAAATAGTTTGTTTTTCCACTTCACCTGGATCTGCATACCAGATATCAGCACCACTTTATTTCGCATTTTTCATTTACTGATTAGTTTTCTCAGCCAGATGCAGACGTGTTGATTTCCGTAACTCATAACTCTGAAGCTGGCAATGGATTATGGGCTTCCTCCAAGTCTCGGTCGTCGTTATTTTCATATTTGAACGTTCTCAGTACTAGCGCGTTTCTTTTACTTGTGCGTTTAATATTTGCTTTTGTTTTGTTCTCCTTTCTAATTTTCTTTTTGGAAAAATGTATTTGAAGTAGTCTTCTTTCATTTTTCCCTTTCTCTTTTACCAATTGAGAGTAAATGATAAAACTAAAATAGAAAGAAAAAAAGGCTATTCATTTTTGCTTTCCAACAGATGCGCATCTCCATAGATGAACGTAGGCGTAAAAAAATGTTTTTTTATTTATTTTTATTTTTTACAGGGGCTAATAACAAGAAAAGCATATCAAAGGAATTTTTACAAAACGGATATCATTCATCACCTTAAAGTCAAGCGAGTTTCGAAAACTGACACTCTATATCTGAAACTCTTTTCCATCCAAGATATCTGCTGCATTCGCCAATTTACTCCGCTTGTTTAGTAGTTTTTCTTTTTCATTTCTGAGATATTCCTGCCACGGAAGACGGTTTTTTTTTTATCTTTTCAAATTATAAGAGTCTTGAATTAAATTTAAAAAAAATAAGGAGGGAAAATGTTAGGGAGTCCATGAATACTCTCCGACTAAGTCTTGTTATTACCGAATTCTCGTGACACATTCTCATTGGAGCATGTGGGAGTATGAAAAAGATACATGCTAAAAAACATAGGCTAATAACAAGTAGAGCATATCAAACGAATTTGACATAAAATGGTTATCATTTGTTGCCTTCAGTCGTGGTATCATACAAACAGGTGTCGAATATCTGAACCTATTTCTCTTTGACACACATTTTACTTCGATCGGCCGAAGATATCAGCTGTAGCTGCTAATTCAGTCCGCTTTTTCGAGTAGTTTTCCTTTTCATTTTTGATATAATTATGCCACAGAAGGTTTTGATCTCCGCATAAAAAAAATTGGATATCCTTCAATCTTGAGTGAGGTTTTAAGTTATTTTCATAGTTCAAACAGCCTCAAATGAATCGACCCAAGTAAAAGTGTATTGGACAACCCTCCTCCATCAGAAATTCACCTTAAAATTTAGGGTGAACTCTCTTTTAATTTAGAAACATTAAAATAATTTAAGAGGAATTTGTTAAGAAAATAATCTTCAAAGCTTACCTTATCTCAAATAACTTTCTTAAAAGCGTCCTCAGAATCGTGCCATCCCCGCCAGGCGCCTGCATGGCAAAATTGGCACTTTATGAGCTGTGCACAGCTGTTTAATAAGAAAAAAGTCGATCGCGAGCTGAATAATAATTAAGAATTAAGAATTTCTGTCTCTAACATACCCTTCGATCGACTAGGCAATAGCGTCGTTTAAAATTAGTCGAACCCATTCAGTTCGGTGACAGATAGGTTACACTTTAGTGATTTCCCCTAGTTTTCCATAGAAAGAAGCAATAAAGACGCTCTGAAGAATTTTGCATGATTCTGTTAACTTCTTTTTAGGAAACAGAGATGTTTTTCGTCTTGTCGCGAGCGAGACAAAAACAAAAACAAAAAAAAAAGAAGAAAAAATCCTGAATCCACATTTACCGACTCAAAACTTACCGTCTTTGTAATTCTATTCAATCTAATTTCAGTTTTTCTGTTTTCATTACTGGTAAAAGTGGCATTAAACAAGTTAAAATTATAATTTCAATGTTTTCTTGGTGCTAATTAAAGACGTGGTAGCGTTTTCGCAATAAATTAACAATAACATTCAATTGCCTTGCATTGCACACGAAATTCTGGAATCCACTTCTCTAATGTACTTTAGGAGACATAAAAAGAAAAAAAAACTTTGCAATTACTTAAGAAATACAAAATAGGAACAAGAACAAACAAACAAACGACTGAGGGTGAAGAAGGACATCACGTGACTTGACTGAAGTGACCAAACCTCTCACCTTTCCGAAGAGCCGATTTGTGCCGATGAACTTTGCCAAGAAAATAATCTTCAAAACCTACCGTATCTCAACTCACTTTCTTAAAAGCTTCCTCAGATTCTTTATAATCCTCCGGCGATAAAACTCAGAATCGAACATGGCGTTTGCAAAATTGACATTTTGGAAGCTGTGCGCAACCGTTCAACATGGAAAACGTCGATCGTTATCTGAATAATAATCTTTCTTCATACGTATTCTTTGTTTCTTATTTAATAATATATAGGGTGGCCCACAACTGTCACGGCAAAAGAAATAACCTCGCAGTAAAAGAAAAAGACTCACGGCAAAAAGAATAACCTCGAGGCAAAGGTAAAAGATTACGGTGGCCCGTAACGGTCACCGTATCTTTCCTTGTAAAACTCAAGTTTTATTTTTCAAAACTAATATTTTTTTTTTCCAAAACCCAGGTTTTTTTCACCACAAAAACCTCCGAGTTTTTCCCTGAACTCAGGTTTTTCCACAAAACCCAGGTTTGTTTTCCCACAAAACCCAGGTTTTTTTTTTTTCCATAACCCAACTTTAAGGCATACACCGCAAGCAATCTTGTCGCGGGCTCATCGCAGTCCGCCCTCTGACGTCCAAGATGGCGGAAGTAGTAAAGTCAATGCAGGAGGTGAGTGCATTTCACGTTTGATTATGAGGTTAATGAATGACAGAATTACGACGAGCAAGCTTTGCCCTTGTGCATATCAGAGATTAAATATTACTGGTTGTGAAATGAAGGAAAAGTAATAGACTTTCGAAGAAGAAACTATGCAGCTTGATGAGAGGCTTCGACATGTAGTTCTTTGCTATTATTATCAGCTATACTGAAACTGTACCGTAGTGTGCGATTGTGTTTGATGAGTTTGGCCCATGTATGGAACAGGCCCATACGTATGACGATTTCCATAAGCTAAATTATCCTATTATTACAGGAATCTGCCGGTCTTTGTTGTCGTGTTTGCTTTAGTTGACTACAAGCTGAAAGAAGGGAAGGGTTTTACACAAATTTACCGATGGTCAATGAAAAACACGTTACTGTCTGACTGCGATAAACTCAATTCTGTTGTCGATCCTGATCTCACAATGCATGAGCTGTTCCATTAAACATAGCATCATATCCCCGTTGTCTGTTGGCTGTTGTCTGTTTCCTGTTCCCCGTTCACTTTCTCTATTCCCCGTTCTTTATTCCCTGTTCCTCGTTTACCGATCCTTATTCTCTCATTTTTTATTGCCTAAGTTTGAGGTAAATAAAGCTATTCAAACAGATATGCAAACTTCACCCTCTTCTACTGGGTGTAGGACTTTAATGCTGAAGCTCGACAATTGCATCCCTTTGCGCGAGAAAATAGAACCTGTTTCATATTTTTTCGTCGACTTTTATTTATATCAGTTTATTTTTAATACACATCTACCAATTTCCTATTTTTTTTAATTCATACATGCATAAGTGTTAATAATCTTGAAATTATGCGTTTATGCTGACAGTATCAGTCTTCATCATAAAAATTTCAATTTCCTCGATTGTGATTGGTTTGAAAAACTCACACTTTTTCTTTTAATTTACTTGCCAAGTTGTTATCGGAAAGTTTGTTATGGAACAGTTCGATAAGCTAATCATATCCAAAGTTGTAGTTTAAATCGACCAATCACATCCAAAGATGAGTTTAAATCAACCAACTACAGCCTCGGTTTCATTCACCATAGAAACACTAATTCCTTTGTCAGTCTTTAATGCAAATTTTCTCTTTCTTTTATAATTTGGCTATATTTCTCTTCTTGCAAATTGTAATTTTTATAATTAATTGGTAATAGGACTTCGTGGAGTCCAATTTGATCTGTAATGGCACTCGTGATAACAAAGTATGATTGCATACCGAATTGGACTCCACTCAGTCCTATTACCATTACTAATTAAGATAAATCTTTTTTTTTTGATGTTGTGTATATTCAAATTGATAAAGAGTGGTCATCTAGCTCATCTACAAATCCTTTAGCTGTTAACCCTTTGAACTCTAAGATTGACTTACCTCTAATTTCTCCTTACAGTATCACCCCTGAATAAAACAAAAAGGTCACGAGAATAAAGGAAATGATCATCAACTTAAGAACCCTTAATTGTTTAACAAATTCTCCTTGTCAAATTGATTTTAGGATGTAAAGCGTTAAGCTATTTTGTTATGAAAAACTACTACCTGAATGTTTATTTACACAGTGGGATAATATGAAATTGCACATTATGATTGAAATTGTAGTCACAATGTCTAACGTGCTTATATTTATTTCTTTGACAAAAACGGAATCCAGAGAATCTATACAAAACATGAAGCGAATCAAGGCAAAGCGATAGAGACGATCAAAGCGAAACAAAGTGCTAAAAAAGGCTGAAAAAAGTGTGAACTCATCTTAAACACACGCAAACTAAACCTAAACCTAAAGTAATGTAGATAATCAAACAAACCCAAATGAAAAAATTTAAAAATGAAACCTGACACATGAAACGTACAAAGGAACCATGTTTAATAATAAATGATCCTTAACGTAATCTGATTAATTCAATTTTCCTCCTTTTTTCTTTTCCTTTTGTTACTTAATGAAGAGATTGGAGAGTTTACAGCACTTCCTATCAAAAACTACTTTCACAGAACCTTTGTGGATGTTAATTTTTCCCACACCAGTTAAATCTAAATTTGGGGGTTAATCTCACTGAGGGGAATGATCTCAACCTGTCTGTGTGGCTGAGGTCGTTGGCGACATAGCATCTTTAGAGCTCGCCTAAAACCTGGCATTCTCATAGCATACAATATCGGAATTGAAAAACAGTTTGCGTAAACCAAGATGACTGAACCAAGTTCCAAACGGAAAAGCGTTATTTCAGACAACGAACTTAGAATGTTGGTGGCGAAAAACAAAAAAGTAGTTATCACATAAGGCAGCCACAATAGGAAAGAGAGAGAAGTCACAGTGAACAACGTAACGGTCAGTTTCCTTTCCCTATTTGCCGCGCCATGGTGTCGAGGCTGATTCCCAAAGCGAAGCTTGACAAAAATAGAAACGTAAGAAACACAAATGACCACAAGACAAATTGAGATGAATGAACCCCAGGCGTAGTAATAATAGCCCTGTTTGTGTGTATAGTAATAACCTATTATTAACGTACATGTACATGAAAAGAGTAGTGCTGTCAACCAGATGGAGATGATAAGAACCCAGTAGACTGACTTTTTGATCGTACGATGTCTGAAGGGCCAAAACGTTGCATTCAGGCGTTCTAGAGAAATAACAGTCATATTTATAAACGAACAAACGAGAAACCAGAAGAGAAAGACCTGTGGTATCCGATACCAATGCTCTCTTTTGTGTCTCCAGAAGTTACACATCTCCCCAACATTATAGAAGAGGTCGAGTGGAGAAGTTCCCCCGGTAAACATGTCTGCAACTCCCAATCTTATCACTAAGTAAGTGGATCGTTTACGAAGACTACGGTCTCTAAAAAATGCAATCACTGTCAAAGAATTCAGAGCTATTATGGTGACAGACTCAGTCAGGCCCACAACCATCCAGGTTATAAACTCCGGTGAAGAAGCCATTCGAGAAGTTTTTTCCTGTTCCAAATAATTGAGAAATATTAGGGTATTTCCGGCAATGACATGACAACATTACTAACCTGTCTTTTATACTGCGAGAAAGACTAGACTGACGTAAATCCACACTTTATTTTGGTATCCCTTGAGGCAACAAAGTTTACCCATGGTCTTACATCCCTTCTTCGGTACGTTTTCATATATGTTAGCTACGTCCTTTAAAAAGACCCCTCTCCGATATGAAGACGATCTTTGTTTCCTTAAAGGTCGTGCAGGGCAACTAGTTCCTATAGCTGCTTAAGACAACCATCAAACTCCTTTAAGCTGTTTCAAATAGATTTTGAACACTTTTTACGAGTCACGAATCAGTAAATATTGAGCTCGTAACTTTCCGTTCGCGTAGTCTCATTATTGCAAAAGAAAACTAACATTCTGACCCCAAAGCTCGCCTATTCCTCAATCAAATTGAAATAATTATTTTTCAGTAGTTTCAGTAGTTGATAGGTCTTAATTTTTTTTATATATCATTTTGTTTAATTGTTCAATTTCCGCTAAACTTTTTCGAATTCACAGGCTACTTTGCACAGAAAGATGGGTGACATGCCACATAGCCTGTTACCCGTTAACGACGCACCGCAATATATCTCCAACAAACATGACATGCATGAGCTAATCAGATATGTCCTAGATCATTTAGATGAATGACAGCTCATTTGGTATGGTTCAAGGTTCCCAGAGAGAGAATTATGTGAATGAAATTTTCGCCCCTTGCTTGTTTTTGTAATTATTCAACGCTTTTTCTCATCTTTAGCCTTATCGCCGACGCAATTTAAGACTTTTTATCGGATGGTGGGTCCTATTTTTTTCATTCATTAATAAAGTCGACTTTACTTGCCGGTAAAGACCTATTGCGTTTAGATGATAAACAAAATAATAATGGTCGCTGGTAGATTCGGAAATACTCTACTCGTGTTTAACTCGACGTCTCACGAGTCTCAGCGCGAGCTGGTGAGACATCGAGCTGAACACGAGAAGATAAATTCTATGTCTGCGCCCGCCATGTATTATTCACTAATTATCTTGAATTCACAAGTGAAGACTGATAATTTATTCAGACGGGATGCATAATCGAAAACTAGCGTTGGAAATAAAACGCCCACACTTCAAAGATTTTCCTCTGTCCTTTTTTTTCTATTTTGCTCGATTTACTATCATTATTAAAGTTGTTATAATAATCATGACTGGTTGCATAGTGATCGATATCATAATCATCATGATTATTATTCTTGTAAACATGTTTATCATCATTTTTATCATAGTTCAGAATTGGTCCGCAAAAAAGTTCGAATAATTTGTTTCTTTCATTCACCTGGATCTGCCTGCCAGATATCAGCACCACTTTATTTCGCATTTTTCATTTACTAATTAGTTTCTAAGCCAGATGCGGATGATGTTGATTTCCGTAAGTTATAACTCCGAAGCTGACAATGGATTATGGGCTTCATCCAAGTTTCGGTCGTCGTTATTTTCATATTTGAAAGTTCTCAGTACTAGTGTGTTTCTTTTATTTGTGCGTTTAATTTTTGTTTTTGTTTTTTGGCAAGATGTATTTAAAATAGGCTTCTTTCATTTCTCCTCTCTTTTTTACCAATTGAGAGTTAATGAAAAAACTGCAGAAAGAAAAAAAATTGGCTGAGCATTCGTGCTCTGCAGCAGATGCGCATCTTAAAAGGTGACCGTGGGCGTAGATAATGTTTTCTTAAAATTGTTTACAAAGGCTAATAACAAGAAAAATCGCCTTATGTCAAGCGATTTTCAAAAAATTAATACTCTATATCTGAAACTCTTTGCCATCCAAGATATAAGCTGCTCTCGCCAATTTACTCCGCTTGTTTAGTAGTTTTTTTAAATTTTAATTTCTGATATATTACTGATATTTTTCCTTTTAAATGTTAAAAGCCGTAAAATAAATTTAAAAAAATAATAATGATAATAATAAGGGGGAAAAGATTAAGGAGTCCATGAATGCTCTCCCAATAAATCTTGCTATTAACGAATTCTCGTGACACATCTACATAGGAGCATGTGAAAGTATGAGAAAGATGCTTTTCAAAAAAAAAAAAAAAAAGACTCTACAAAGGCTTATAACAATTACAGCATATCAAACGAATTGACACCAAACGGTTCTCATTTTTTGACTTCAGTCAAGGTATCATACAAACAAGTGTCGAATATCTAAAAAATTTTCTCTTCGTCACACATTTTACCTCGATCGCCCGAAGACATCAGTGGTAGCTGTCAATTCAATTCACTTTTTCAAGTAGTTGCCTTTTTATTTTCAATATATTCATGCCACAGAAGACGCTGATCTGTACATTTTATTTCTTTAAAGCCGGCGATAAAAACTGGGTTACCCTTCAATCTTCTGTCACCTGAGTGAGGTTTTAAGTTATTTTCATAATTGAAACTGCCTCTGATGAATCGACCCAATTTAGGAGTATTGGAGAACCTTCCCATATCAGAAACTCACCTTACCGTCAGTTCTCCCTAGAATTTAGGGTGACCTTTGTTTTAGAAACATTGAAAATGGCTAAGAGCAATTGGTTAAGAAAATAATCTTTGAAGCCTACCTTTTCCCCGATAACTTTCTTAAAGTCCCCTCAGGTTCTCTATAATCTTCCGCCGACGAAACTCAGAATCGAACAAGGCGTTTGCATGGCAAAATTGGCATTTTGTGGGCTATGCGCAGCTGTTTAATAAGGAAACAGTCGATCGCGAGCTGAATAATAATTAAAAATTAAGAATTCCCGTCTCTAACTTACTTTCCGATCGGTTAGGCAATAGCGTCGTTTAAAATTTGTCGAACCCATTGAATTAGATGACAGATAGGCTACACAGTGGCGATTTCCCGCAGTTTTCCATAGAAAGGAGCAATAAAGACGCTCTGAAGATTTTTGCGTGATTCTGTCAACTGATTTTAGGAAACAGTTTAATTTCAGAGAAAGATGTTTTTTGTCTTGTCACGAGCGTGACAAGACACACGTCATGTATGACACACGGCCATTCATACTGCTAGGATCAGCGATGTCGATAGCGTCATGTTTATTAGTAGAATAAGAAAGATGATAAGCTTTGAGTTCGGTAAAGAAATAGAGAAAGATGTCATACACGAATTTCGTAATGGGCCTCGCTCACTATAAAGTCTCTGTGGCTCTGTGGTAGAGCATCGGAGCGTGGAATCCAAAGGTCTGAGGTTCGATTCCTCATGAGGACTCTGAATTTTTTGTTTGTCCAACGCTCGCGACAAGACGAAAACCATTTTTCTCCATTTCTTCAAAACTTGCCATCTTTTTTATTCTATTGAATTTAACTTCTAAGTTGCACTCTTATTAAGAAAATAATCTTCAAAGCCTTCCTTATCTCCAGTAACTTTCCTAAAAGCCTCCTCAGGTTTTTAATTTTTGTATAATCTTCCGGTGATAAAACCTAGAATCGAACAAGGCGTTTGCATGACAAAATTGGTATTTTAGAATTCGATCTTGAGCTGAATAATAACCTATCTTCATATGTATGAAACTAAAGGGTTTTTATTATTTGTTTCTTAATAAATGATATATGACAAGAAAAGCCGAGACAATAAGTCTGAGTCACGCGACGAAAGGACGACTGTCGCTTGTGGCCAGGGACCGAAATGGTGTGGAGAATTCCTGTCTCTAACATACCCTCCGATCAGTTAGGCAATGGCGCAGTTTAACATCTGTCTAACCCATTTAACAAGGTGACAGTTAGGTGACACTGTGGAGATTTCTTATAGTTTCCCATAGAAAGGAGCAATTAAGACGCTCTAAAGAACATGATTTTGCATGATTCCGTCTACTGCTTTCAGGAGTTAATCTAATTTAAGTTTTTCTGTTTTCATTACAGGTAAAATTTGTATAAACAAGTTAAAATAAAAAATGTGTTTTTCGGTACAAAAAAGTTTTCCTTTCAATGGTTTTTGTGGTGTTAATTTAAGACACGGTAACTTCAGGCGTCTTCTGCAATAATTAACAATAACATCCAAATATCTGGGATCGGACACCGAAATTTTAGAATCCACTTCTCTAATACACTTTAGAAGACATAACAAACTTTGCAACATTATTAAATAAACAAAGAAAAAGAGGAAAAAGGAGACTGGAGAGAAATTCAAAAATAAGAACAAGAACATACAAGCGACTGAAGGTAACTGAGAACATTAGGTGACTTAACTGAAGTGACCGAACCTCTCACCCCGTTTCTGTCCACCGTTGCCTATGACTGTTGCCTGATAATACTTTTACCGACATTCCACATGCAGCTAAGACTCACGACTAGCAATGCGGTCAGTAAACTGGAAAGCAAAACGTGCCAAGTGGCGGAACACAACAATCGCTGCAAAGAGGGAAGATAATTATCTTCTTGTGCCGTGTTGAAGTGCTGAGTTGCGAAACTTATCGCTACTTTGTCTTGGCAATGGAATAAAAAAAATTAATCATCCAAACAACTTTAAGGCAATTCAAAATTACCACGGCTGGTTGATTTCTTTAACAAAATATTATGGTTTTTACCAATAACCCCAAGTGCATTCCTCTCTGTACAACGGCTTACATGTGTATAGCTTAAACCATTTAAAGCACTTTGCAGCACTTACAGGACGCAAAGGAACCGCGGGGATCACCTTTCGCGTGATCTGCCGCAAGTTTTAGTTCGTGCAATTTATGGTCTTTGAAAAATAAAACAAGTGCTTATTACACCACACTGCATGTAAAATCATGTTATTATTTGTTAATAATGTACATGAAAAGAGTCTGGGAAATGATCAGACATAGTACAATTGGCTGACAGCTCAGCTCCATGTTTTGCTCTCTGATAAGGCACGCTCTTTTAACCAATGACAGCGTACGGTAGATCGGAACATTGTTATAATTAATCATAGTTTTAGGCAACCAATCGGCTATTTACCACGGCCAAAATATATCCCACAC